GGCACATCTGTTAAAAGATAACGCAGGTGTCCTAAGGGGGACTCATGGAGAACAGAAATCTCCAGTAGAACAAAAGGGTAAAAGTCCCCTTGATTTTGATTTTCAGTGTGAATACAAACCATGAAAGTGTGGCCTATCGATCCTTTGGGTCCTGGAAATTTCAGGCCAGAGGTGCCAGAAAAGTTACCACAGGGATTAACGAACTTACTAGTCCCAGGCCTTGATACCTGTCAAGGTCTAGTTATGCATAGACTGTTATTGTGCTGGTCTGTGCATGGCAACACAACTGGATGCGGGGACGTCTTGCTAGGTCTTTGGTACCAAGCAGCAGAGTTAATTGCTTTGCTGCAGAGTCTGTTCAGGACAGACGGGTCACAATCCAAAGAATAGAGATAATCCGCAGCCTATCTGGCCCAATGCTTCGGCAGGCTGGAGGGTCCAACGCTCGCAAAGTTGTGGGTCGCAAATTCAATTTACTTGTTGCGGCTTAAGGTACGGGCTACGCCCACTCGAGAGAGTGTCTTGTCTACCGGTGGCACACACCGAGAAGCAAAGAAGTTTTGATGATAGAGTCAAGACTGGTAGTACGGAACTGGCTTGTGGCAGCCAAGCGTTCATAGCGACGTTGCTTTTTGATCCTTCGATGTCGGCTCTTCCTATCATACCGAAGCAGAATTCGGTAAGCGTTGGATTGTTCACCCACTAAAAATTTACCTATTGGTGGGAATAGTCAGGTACAAGTAGAAATTGTATTATGCTGGCTAGTCGAGCTGACAAGTATCTGTAGGTGTCAGCCGGCAACACAACCTGGATCGGGGAAGGCTAAGGATTCTTGTAATCTATGCTAATCCCGAGCAGAGTCTACTGGAGCGATCCAGCAAGACCTGTGTAGAGCGCGGAAAGGTGTGGGCTCTTCTCACGTAGAGAGCCTAAGGGACGTGCCAATCCCTCGGGAAACCGAGTCGCCGAGCGAAGGACCTACAGTCCAGATCTCAGCGAGGACATCAACGAGTCTAGGCAGGAAATGGCCTTGACCAAGTCCGGTACTAAAATGAATAGGGAACGTGAGCTGGGTTTAGACCGTCGTGAGACAGGTTAGTTTTACCCTACTGATGAATGTTAACTCAATGGTAATACGACTTAGTACGAGAGGAACCGTCGTTTCAGATAATTGGTTTTTGCGGCTGTCTGACAAGGCATTGCCGCGAAGCTACCATCTGTTGGATTATGGCTGAACGCCTCTAAGTCAGAATCCATGCCAGAACGGGTTGATGCCTACCCTCGCACATCTTAGACGAATATGAATAGAGCTTTGCTCCTGTATCGTATCATGGGTTCACCGGCTGCTCGGGCGGAAAGGCCAGGGCAGTTCGAACTCGTATGGCAATTTGAAATATGCGCGGGGATGAATCCTTTGCAGACGACTTAAATGTGAGTCCGAGTACTGTAAGCAGTGAAGTAGCCTTGTTGTTACGACCTGCTGAGGTTAAGCTTGTGACTTCTAGATTTGTGCTCCTTGCACACTTCTCCTCCCTCCATTGTGATCCTGTTGACTTGAAATCAGCGGAACCAGAATGGAAGAAGGAGAGTGTGTACACAAACAGTCGTGCCCAAGGAGGGTCTTCGTGCCTTTTGTAAAGACTTTCTCGAGCCTTTCCTCGATCCTTGAATGAAACTTTTCGAGCTCATGTACGATCTGTCCTCTCGTCCTTTGCCTTTTTTTCGATCCTCGAATGGACCCTCTCGAGCTCACTCAATTCAGTCCACCACCAAGTGCCTCTGAAGCTCACCGCGATTCCTGAACTTATGACGAAGGAGAAGAAGTGCACATCGCCTGCCTTGATGGCTTCTTCTGAGTGACCTATCCTGCGAACCTATGAAATAAATGCGAAATTCAATCTGCAAAGCAGATCATGAGCACATTTAGAAAGGTCATTAAACTGAAGCAGGAAGGGATGCTACGACATGTATTACATTCAACAAGCACAATACGAAGGTATCACCTAGCTTTTTATTTATTAATATAGAAATTACTCATCTATTCAATTTACATGCGCAAAGACAGTGCAAAAATGTTGGGTACCCTGTACGCCACCTGTTCAGGCACAAAGAATTCAATTCCCAAAGAACGACATAAAACGACACCTCAGGTACTATAGAAAGCAGATCTAAGGACCCTGCGGCCTCAATGGTTGATCTCGGCCATACACCACCATTTCGAAGCGTGCCACAGTTGCCCCTCCAGGGTCATATAGGTACGACCGGGCGAAGGCAGTATTTCTTGCGTTTGGTAGCTTGAAGAGGGCAGCATGCAGGTGAGCCAATTGACCCTTAACAACGAACGGGATTGGGCCTCCTCCCCCGTCATCTTTGAGTCGGTCATCTTTTGATAAACGATGGACGTAAATGCCATCGCGTTGTTATATTCCGCAATATTGTTCTTTGAAATGCTTGGACGTCGCATCTCCGTTGTGCAGCAGTCGCTCGAATGGTGCCGGCGGTCCTTTGATTCGACGCAGCTGGACCTGGCCGTAGTGGCAACAGCTCAGGACCTCAGGTAGACGCCTGTACCATTGAACGTACCCGCCCCTTCAAAGTGGAGTGCACCGCAATGAGTGGATTGCCTGTCACGCAACCTAATGAAAATGGGCCTTTGAAATGCTGTCTGCGTCGATTCTCATCCGACTGGCCGACGCTGCACAATCAACGATACTGGGCGGCATATGGGGAGGCAAATTGCCTCTCACACTTTGCGCTGCCCTGGTACGCTGCCTGTTCTTTGTTACCCTTTGTACAGTTTGTCAGCAAGCAATTGATCAATGGGTTAACTTGGACTAAAATTTAACCTCTCGACACTCGCGGCATCGTGCGAATGGCCGACGACCTGCAACACCGACAAACTCTTTAGTGTGCTCCTCCAATTTGCATAGATCGTGTGCAAGACTTTGACGTTGAGGCGGGTTGCGAAAGCACCTGTCGCTGAGCTTCTGATGACATCAGCAATTCTGTGATAGAACTAGTGAATGCATAAGAAAGACTCTTACAATTCTGCGCTCTTCCAATGATTGGTTCAAGCTGTTGAATCGAGACTGCCATGTTCTTAACTCCCCTTCATAGATTGATCAGTTGAATGGTCGTCACTGGTTGCGACCACATTCGCAACCGAGCTTGCTCAGAAGTTGCTCTGCCACGTCGTACAGCTCTAAAACGCTGCTGCTCTCTCGCAATTCTCTAAAAGGTATCAGCGACTCAGACACGATCAAGGCAGTAGCATCCGCTTACAGATCGGCACATACGTTAGAAAAGTTGATTTTATCAGTCCTTAATTGGTCTGGATCGTGAGCTCCCGTCGAGTCAAACCAAGTCGTAGACTCCCATATTTCACTTTGTAAACCAGTGCGTTCCACTCTCTCAGACGATATCTGGCTTCGGCATCATCCCAGAACGCGGTGCTTTCACCATAAACACCGATCCAGACATGGACGTCTGGGTGAGCGACTCGGATATCATCCGAAGACTCACTTACAAAGGCACGCAGTACATTGGCGGCCAATCTTTTAGGGTCCAATCTGGTAATTTTGGATTTGGTCCAAGGGGCACTCATTTTCAGATGCGTGTCAAAGGTGATACGATAGTATTGTGCTGCAATTTTGAATGGTACTATTTTCACTACGAAGGGTTGAAGACGAGGCCAAAACCGATCCGGTCTCAATAATGATTTGAATGTGCCGTGATTTTCAGGTGTTGGATGCATTTAATGAGGATGCGCGCCAGTGAAACATTCGGGAATTAAGAGTTTTTCTGCAAGTCATAGTGAAGACAAAGACCAACAGTTCATACCAAACAATGTCTTCGATGGACACGTTTGATGTATCAGACGATATACTCGATCACGCACTGCCCTCAGAAATCGAGCGAGAGGCTCTACAGCAGCATGCGGCCCGACGGAGACGTGAAGAGCGAGGGCATGAGAGCGCACGCGCTGACACGGAAGTGACTTAGCAAGAAAAAAAAACAGAAGCAAGAGGATGTTGCAACCAAGTTGCACATCTGTGCAATGCTTTGCACCTTATAGGATGACACGGGCACTCTTTTACTGAAGAAACAGGACAGAGAACTCCAAGACGCCCCTCTAATGGCTATTGTAAACAACCATGCCCGATATGCAAAAGCATTAGAAATGGCATGGCGCTCACTTTTCATTTGGCTCAATTGTCTACGACCGAGTCACAGCTCGAAGCTCTGAGGCTCATGCTTCTCTTCCAAAGAAAGTTTAGCCAGGCTTTCGCACTTGCTATGTGTCAGACAAGTCATTCGACAGTTCTGCAGCGGATGACGAGTCCTGCCTGGGCCAGTGAAGGAGTAAAAAGGCTACACACCCAACGATTGACCCTGTTCCTTCACATGGCTGAAAGCTTGGCCACTGGACTGTCTTGTGAAGCGATGTGGTTGCTGCTTGGGCAATGTCTCAAGCCGAACTGTCCAAATACTGCGATCATGCCTGACACCACATCCAAGATATTTGAAAGTTCTCGAGGATTGCAAAACGGTACCTTGTAGCTACGGCATGTTGAGACCTTAGTCTGCCTCCTTTGAGCTCCAAGACCAACGTCAGGGCTGCCAAACAGCAAGGGCTGGAGCAGAAATCACCCTTCATCAAGCCGGCGTTGACGCGCAAGATGGTCCAGGAACAACTCAAATTCGTCACAAAAGCACTGGACTGAACAGGACTTGCAGAATGTGATCTGGTCCAGGAACAACTCAAATTCGTCACAAAAGCACTGGACTTGCAGAATGTGATCTGGTCAGATGAGACATCATTCTGTCTGGGACAAAGGAAGAACCGGAAAGTTGACATCTGGAACGGCAGGCGTCACGATCCTGGCGCTGTCTTGCCTGCGCACAAGAACCGCGTCTTCGTGATGCACTGGGGAGCCATGGGCATCTGTGTCAACTGGCCTTGCCACATCTTTCAGTCTTATAAGGCAAAACACTGATGCACAGGTCGAGGCCGATATCGGCAACCTCAATACCAGGGTTGAAGCCTTGGGCTTACAAGATTGGAATCAGTCCACCCCCGAACAACATCCAGAACGATTCGGAAGACGAAATCAACTGAAGGCAATGCCCAAGAGATCGCTCAGGCGCTCAAGACATAGACTCTTGCTCTGCGCTTCTGTGGGCACGTCAGTCAAAGCATGAGCTGACAAGGTACAGAGACACTCCCACCGCTTCTTCATTCACCACCTTCGCGTGGTGCTGGCAGATAGTCAAGGCAATCCAATGTCCATGAGCTCGTTCCAGGACAGGGAAGGCCTTTTCCAACTTGTGGATGACTGTCCGAAGCTTCCCGACGTTGCGTTGACGCCATGTGACCGTACTGCCTTGCGCATCGACCACAATCTGGTGAGTGTCCATCAGGTACCGTGCATGTGTCGTGATGTTGTTCCAGGTGGCGTCGTGCATTGGCGTTCGTGGCCAGAGTCCTTTTGCGAATTGTAGAGTCTTTGTGGAGGGATCATCGCTTCTAGAGGCGCCGTTCGACGTGCGCTTGAATCTCAGTGGTATATTGATACGCTCAACAGATCCTGTAAGTCTGTCGTATTCATCCAGGTTGTCTGTGGGAGACTTCTCTTCCGGACTGGGTCAGTCGGTATCGAGCTTTCAGCGTGCACTGCTTATGCGCTCCACTGTAGCAGGATCAGCAAGCTCGACGCACCTCTTGCGGTGTCAATGCTGTTCAGTCGAGCCTGCGACATTTGCATCTGACCCTGTGCTACCTCAGGCCGGCAACAGACGCATCAGGTCTGCTTCAAGAGATAGGTTCTATTTTATTTCAATCAATTTCCATACTTTAATACGTGCAAGCAGACATACGCTCGACGCGTGTCACTGGGCGACAACTTGCTCTGACACACGTTCCCAAGGATCTTTGTATACAGATGCCCAAATGCTCATTTTCTGCAAAGCTCATAGATCCATAGCAAGCAACCCTTTGTAGTATCCTCATGGTTCAAAAAGCCCCCGCCCAATCATGTGTAGCTAGTTCTTGAATGTCACGTCCTTGGCAGAGAGGAATAACTGGGACCAGCGGCCTTTTATCTCTTGCTCGATGGACCGTGAGACAAAAACGACGTCATGCAGTTTGTAACATCGAAAAGGTAAGTCACCATTTCATCTAGTCAATAGCATGCCTCTCAACTACTTCTCTTGTACATCCTCCCATCTCTTGCCCGTGAGCAGCTGATATACCTGACTGTACTTCTCCATGGTGGCCTGCACCACATGAGCCGGCACCTCGACACCCTCCTTCTTGTCAATCTTGTTTTCCGTGAGCCAATCTCGCAGGTACTGCTTATCAAACGACTCTTGCGGCTGACCAACCTTGTACTTGTCTGCTGGCCAGAAGCGCGACGAGTCTGGCGTCAAGACCTCGTCAACCAGTACCATCTCTCCAGCATCGTCCAAGCCAAATTCAAACTTGGTGTCTGCAATAATGATGCCCTTGGTTGCAGCATAATCTCGAGCAGCAGAGTAGAGACTCAACGCGAGTTCCTCCATCCGTGCTGCATGCTGCTTGCCAATGATGCCTGCCACTTTACTTGGATGAATGTTTTCATCGTGATCTCCTTGCTCTGCCTTGGTACTTGGCGTAAAGATGGGCTGCGCAAAAGCCTCTGATTCTTGCATGCCGGCAGGTACATGGAGGCCATGCACCGTGCCGGATGTCTTGTACTCTTTCCATGCTGAACCAGTGATGTAACCGCGTACGATTGCCTCGATTGGCAGGATTTGTAGCTTCCGCACGAGCATACTTCGGCCGACGAGCTGGCTCTTGTACGGCTGCACTTTTGCCGGCATTTCTGCAACGCGCGTCGTGATGAGATGATGTTGAGTGAGACTCGATAGTTTGGCAAACCAAAACTCGGACAGTGCAGTTAAAATCTTGCCCTTGTTGGGAATACCGTTGGTCATGATGACATCGTAGGCAGAGATGCGATCGGTCGTGACAAACAAGAGCTTGTCGTCAAGTGTGTAAATGTCTCTGACCTTGCCTCGTGCAAGGAACTGCAAATCAGGCAGTGAAGTGTCAATGAGCGCAGAAGCCGTTTGGACTGCTTGTTCACGCACCATCTGCACAAAGTATTGATGCCATCGGTTATCTGTTGTGAGCTCTGGGTGGAAGGAGGTGCCCAAGAAGTTGTGCTGCCTGACTGCAACAACGACAGTCTTGCCTGCATGCTCGACGCTTGCCAAGACTTGAGCATCACCATGGACAGCAAGGACAGCCGGTGCGCGGATGAAGACTGCATGAAACGGCTCGGCACCGAGAATTTCCGAGTCAACTTGCGCTTCAAATGAGTTGATTTGCCTGCCGAAGAAGTTGCGCTCAATCTCGACGGACATGCCACCGAGGATGTACTGTCCGCCTTCCTTTTGCGACTTGATGCCAGTGCTCGTTGTCTTTGTGATTTCATCTGCAAGCAGGATAAACCCGGCGCATGTGCCAAAGATGGGCTTCTTTTGCTGCTGGGAGAAGGCTCTGATTTCATCGCCAAGATCTGAAGCCGCCAGTTGCTTACCAATGACGGTCGACTCGCCGCCCGGGATGATGATACCATCTAATCCTGCGAGATCTGCCGTGGTCTTGATCAAGCTAGGCTGAACATCCGGAAACTTAGAAAGCGTATCCATATGCTCAGCAAATGCTCCTTGCAGCGCCAGGACTCCGATCCTGAGGGCCGCCATGGGCCGCTCTGTCAGTGTCGTTTGAGTGTGAGTTGTCGCAGACTCGCAGCTCGTCGAATTCAACTTTTTTGTTTGCAGTCGCGACCACGCCCAAGACAGCGCCAGACTGCCACTAGTCCAAGACTACAAGGTACGTGAAGGAAGAAGAGGCTGCAGGATGTCGAGAGGCAGCAAGATGATTGGAATGCTCCAGCACAGGCTGCGTGTCACACTCAACGACTCGCGGCAAATCACAGGCCAACTGCTTGCGTTTGATGCGCACATGAACATTGTGCTGGCCGATGCAGAAGAGTTCCGCAAGCTGAAGCGCAAGAGTGTTGCGGCGCCACAGCAAGAGGAGAAGCGCACACTCGGGCTCATCATCCTCAGAGGCGAGTGGATCGTGGCCATGACTGTCGTCGGTCCACCACCGGCAGATCCGCGCGATCGTCTGAGAAAGGCGGCGCATGGACCAGGGTCTGGTAGAGCTGCAGGACGTGGACAGCCAGGTGCGACGGGCTTGATGGGTGTTGCTCCGGGGACACAACCGCTAGGAACACTCGGCACACTTGGCTCTTTGGGCGCCCCAGTCAGTAGAGGATTGCCTCAAGGACGGTGATACAACAACAGCGCTCACGTATATTATGCTATGCTCTTGCTACTGCTACTGCTCCTTGAATGCTGCCTGCTTGAGCAACTTCTCTGCTTCTTGTGCTGCTGGATTTTGCGCTTCATGCGACTCTTCGCCATGACCACGCTCTATCGCCTCGTTGACGCGTCGCTTACTCGCCTGGGCTCCAGCTCCCACCTCCTCAAAGCTGTAAAGGTGCGCCTTGAGACCGACGCCGGGAAAGACATTGGCATGCAGATACCCGAGCCATTTCTCCACCACATCGGGGTGTGTATCCTTGATGCTAATCATGCGCTTGTATGTGATGCGCTCAAAGTTCTCTTGTGTCTTCTTGTGCACAAATGGACCTCGAGGAACGGTCCAGCGCTCCGTCTTCTTTGGCATGGGCACTGGGCCTTTTGCTGGCATGCCAAGGTGGAAGGCAGCACGCATTGCAAAGTCGCTGAAGAAGGTGAGGGAAGAGACATCGTAGGAGCGTAGATGTAGCTGACAGGCAGGAATATTGCCATCTGTAGGCACGCGTGATGGCTCCAAGTAGGCTGCCATGACGCGGTCAGGCAATGCTGCCTCGCTCTCCTGTGCTTTCGCACCCTCGCGCGCCTCGATTGCAGAGGCGAGTGTCCGCTTCCCTATCTGAGAGGGCCTGCTAGCAGCTAACCTTGCCGCGCCTGTCCGTAGCATCTGTAGCTCTTGGTGTCCTGTCAGGTTGTTGCAGGAAAACGACTCGAGACAGCGGCGACACTCTACAAAGCAAAAGGCCTCTTGCGCTTGTGTCGACTAGACCCAGCAGGCTCTTACAGAAACAGCCAGGCGAGTGATCTGCTTGCTAGATATGATTGGACTCAAGGCGACACTCAATGTCATCGACAACTCGGGCGCACAGATCGTCGAGTGCATCCGCGTCCTCAAAGTATGTACTTTTGCTGCAGCAGACTCTAGACTAACGATAGGCTGGCTCACATGCTCGGATAGGGGACGAGATTGTCTGCGTCGTACAGAAGGCAAGGTCTCTCGGTGTGCAGGTCGGCAACCAGGCTGCTACACAAAAAGTAAAGCGTGGAGACATACGGCATGCCTTGGTCGTACGGACACGGAAGGAGATGAAGCGAGCAGATGGACGGTATATACGCTTTGACGACAATGCCTGTGTTCTCATCAATAACAAGGGCGAGCCCATTGGGTCGCGTATCCTTGGCGTTATTGGCGCTGAGCTGCGGGACAAGAAGTACAGCAAGATCTTGTCTTTGGCCCAGCGGGTCGTATGAGATGCTTTCATCCTATTCTGGCTATTCCGAGGGCTGTCTCTTCATAGCATAGCGTCAAATGATTTGTGTTGCTCAATCCACACCTCTTCCTACATGTCCTTCATACTGGACCGAGTGCCCGAAGACCTACGGGCTCCATTCATCGTCGCACTCTGCTTCGTCTGCTTCTACCTCAACAGTGTCTATGCCGTGCGCAACACAACCAATACGCCTACGGGCAAGCGCTTCCTGCTTGTGATTGCGCATCCGGACGACGAGTGCATGTTCTTTAGTCCAACGCTGCTCAATCTGACTTCCCACGGCAATGCTGTGCATGTCTTGTGTCTGAGTAATGGAGACGCAGACAAGCTTGGCAAGCTTCGAGAGCACGAGCTCATCTCCAGCTGCACATCTCTCGGTGTGCAGGCTGCACATGTCAGTTGCATCGACACACCCGACTTGCAAGATAGCATGACGGCAGTCTGGGCTCCCGAGAAGGTTGCACACCATCTCAAGCTATATCTAGATGGCCAGCAAGCATTCCATGCACTTATTACCTTTGATGCTGGAGGTGTCTCGGGTCATCCCAATCATGCCTCCATCCTGCCAGGTATCGAGCAGCTCTTGAATCCCGTTGCTACAAGCATGCCATTGGCAAAGTCTACAAACCGAAAGCCCAAGGCTAAAGCGGCACAGATGCAGCTACAAGGCCCAGCTCCAGAAATCTGGGTCTTGTTGACAACCAATATCCTACGCAAGTATATCGCCATTCTCGATGCATTCTGCTCCCTCACGCTCATTACTTGGCGTGTTGCACGTTCGCCGGGCAAAGGTCCCGAGAAGCGCCGGAACTGGATGACGTTCATAAGCTTGCCACACCAAGTCTTTCGTGGGCAGCGCGCCATGATCTTCGGGCACCCTTCGCAAATGAGATGGTTCCGTTGGGGTTGGGTCACGCTGAGCAGGTACATGTACATCAACGAGCTGCATCGTCAGATGTAATCACTGCCACTGGAGGTTCAGAAATTCAACAAAACGTTCTTGCAGTTGCGCCGTCTCACTCGTGCCGAGCCTACCCTGCAACGTCGAGAATTGACGCTTCAGCCGTTGAAGTTGAGCCAACGTCACCTGTTGCGTGGGCAAGCCCAAGGGCAACCCAGCAACTTGCACTTGGCCACCAGCACCCATGCGTTGAGCGTCGACAATAGCTGCAATGACTGCTTGCGTGGCGCGATCCAATTCATACAAGTAATCACCTTCACTTGCCTGCTTCATCACAGTCGAAGCATTTGGCCGCGCTGTTTTGGCTAAGACAAGGGCTTTCCATATATCCTCTATCGGTGCTGCAGCATCGTCTGTGAGCATTGTGAAGCATGGCGAGTCCCATCGTGTCATTGGATTGGGCTCTTCATAGCGAAAGATGAGCTCATCCATGACTTGTGCAGTGTAGCCTGTGCCTTGCTCTTGCTGACGAGCTTCATTGTAGCGTCGACACGCATCCGGCGGGCATCCAATTTGGACAAGGCAGTGCGGTGTACCGACTGCTTTTGCACTGCAGCTCAGTTGATATCGGAAGCCCTTGATGTAGTTGAGGCTGTCATTGATGACAATGCACGTCTTGCTCAACTCACGCTCGATAGCACTAAAGAGCAGTCCGCGTGCTTCCTTTTCACGGCGTGCTTCCGCATAGGCAGACTTGTGCACGCCGAGCGAGTCGTCCGAGATGAGGACGACCGTGTAACGCTTGATTTGAGCATCTTCTGCAGCTTGGATGCGCTCTTCCAGCGCAGCTTTTAGTCTGCATGCCCAGAGAGACTTGCCTGCTGACGGATAGCCAGTGATGGTCAGCAGGGGCATCCAGGCAGAGCAGCAAGAGAGCGCCCTTCCCTGTCGAGAGTGTCGTGAAGTGCAGACGCAACTCGTCGCGTCGCTACACCACCAGCTGCTACCAGGACGCACACAGCACACAGATGCTGCAGTATATTCTGCTCGTCTCGCGGCAGGGCAAGGTGCGCCTGGCCAAATGGTTCATCACTCTATCACAAAAGGACAAGGCCAAGATTGTGAAAGATGTCACACAGCTCGTCCTGGCGCGACGGACAAAGATGTGCAATTTCCTCGAATACAAAGATACAAAGGTGGTCTACAGGAGGTACGTCGCTTTTGCTGAAAGCATTGCTCACCGCAGATATGCTTCCCTCTTCTTCGTCGCTGGAATTGAAAACGACGACAATGAGCTCATGGCGCTGGAGGTGATTCACCGCTACGTTGAGACACTCGACAAGTACTTTGGCAATGTGTGCGAGCTCGACCTCATCTTCAACTTTCAAAAGGCATACTTTGTCCTAGATGAACTCATCATGGCGGGCGAGCTACAGGAGAGCTCAAAGAAGAGTGTCTTGCGCGTTATCGGGCAGCAAGACGCACAGGAAGACCTCGAAGCAGAGGAACAAGGACTCGGGCAGTTTCTTGCAGACATGACGCGCTAAGTCGCCCATCACAACGACGGAGTGTCGCAGGTTACGAGACGCTGCTCGATGCTGTGTCAGCATGACGTAGACGAGGCGATCGATGACATCCTGGAGAACATATAAGGACGGAGGGCGCTTGAAGTGCGAGGAGACTACAAGCAGGTAAAGATGGCAGCAAACGCAGCAGCCAACATAGCAGAGCGCGTAACGGTAAGAAGTATGTAATGAAGATCATGCTGATACCCCTTTAGACTGACCTGCCGAGTCTGACTCATGCTAGCGCCAATCCTGCAGCTGACGGAGACACGTATGCCAAGGAAGGAACAACGATGCAGGCTCTTGCTTGGTTGGGCAGCAACCACGTTGGTATGGTCGAGTCGAAGCAGCCAAAGCTCGTGGACGACCACGACGTCATTCTCAAGATCGCCGCTACGACGACATGCGGTAGCGACTTGCACTTGTACCATGGCGCGGTTGTTGAGATGCACAAGGGTATGCTCATTGGTTAGACGACGCAGCTAACGGCAGGCGACATTCTCGGGCATGAGTTTGCTGGTATCGTGAGCGAGGTGGGCAGTGCAGTCAAGGACGTCAAGCCAGGGGATCGTGTGGTCGCCTCCTTCCAGGCTGCGTGCGGCAAGTGCTACTACTGCAAGCAGAAGCTCTCCTCGCAGTGTCTCAATACCAATACATCGACTGTGGAAAACTACCTCTATGGACAGCGTACGGCAGGCATGTTTGGGTACTCGCACTTGACGGGCGGCTGGTGTATGTCCTGCTTAATCTTGTTCATGGCTAATGATAGGTGGTGGTCAGACAGAGATGGTGCGCGTACCTTTTGGAGATGTCAACCTGCTCAAGTTGCCTGACTCTGTTCCCTTTGAAAAGGGCTTGTACCTCTCAGACATCCTCTGCACCTCATACCACTGCGTCAAGGAAGCAGACGTCAAGGAAGGCAGCATTGTCGGCATCTGGGGCCTTGGTGCTATTGGACTTGCATGCATCAAGTGGTGCGAGCTGAAAGGAGCTAAGCGTATCATTGTGGTGGACACGCAGGAACGCCTCGCCATCGCCAAGAGCAAGTTTCCGCAGGTTGAGACCATCGACTTTACCAAAGAAGATGTGCAAAACACCATCATGGAGCTGACCAAGACGGAAGAAGCGCCTGGGCTGGACGCTGCGCTCGACTGTGCTGCCGGAGAGTATGCTCAATCCTTGCTGCACAAGTTCGCCAGGGCCGTCAACCTCGAGACTGACACGCCAGAACAGCTGAACCAGTGCATTACTTCTTGCAAGGGTATCCTCGGCAAAGTCTCGGTTGCAGCACTGTATGTCGGCATCACGAACGGCTTCAATGTTGGTGCAGCCATGCAGCGTGGTGTGAAACTGATGTTCAACGGGCAGGCTCCAGTGCACCTTTACTGGCAGGAGATTCTGGACGAGTATATTGTCACAGGCAAGTTTGACCCGCTCGAAGTCTTTGTGACGCATCGCATCAAATTGGAGGACACGGCCAAGGCGTACACGTACATGGACGAGCATAAGGATGACATGATCAAGTGTTTCATTGAGACACGCTTTTCGGAGCCTGCTTGCGCGGGCAGTCCTGCCTTGACAACGTTGTAGTGGTTTGAAGTAGTTATGATTGTAGTATTACTCTGCGCCAATCAGCCAGCTAACGCCGCTTGTGAGACGACTCTCGACTGCTCCAACGCTGCTACCCACCAAACCAGCCAGTTGATCACGCTTCCTTACGCGCTGACCATCACCTACTTGAGCTTCGGCGCCAAAGGTCATGGCACGCGCAGCCTGAGCTGCTTGCAAAAGCGATTTGGGCATTTCAATTATCCCACCATGAACGCTGCGAGCGCTCGATTCGCGCGAGAAGGACGGCACGCCTGCACCACCACCAGACAAGTCGCGTTCCGTTTGTTGCAATCGCTCATGCTGCTGAAGCAAGGTGTGGATACGGTCTGGTGGACATCGTACTAGAGCCTGCTCCACCACACTGCGTTGTGCTGCAACGGAGCCAAGACGGTCTGTGGGATACTTGCTCACCTGGTAGGCTACGCGCCACGCGCCATTGTCACAGTCAGACTCATCTTCACTCTCAAACGCCTCACGAGCCAATACGAGCGCGTACCCAAGGTCGTCTTCCGCAAGCGCTGCATTTGCCACAATCTCCATCAAGGTTGTTTCATGCAACGGATCCGTCTCTGGCAGGTTGAGCGCCACTTTAAGATTTTGCAACAAACCAAGGAGACGTCGCCATCGCTTATACATGCCTGGAGATTGTAGGGCCTTGGCAGCAAGGTCGCGTAGAGACTCTGCAGTCATAGAGCGCAGCTCGATAGGCATGTAGAGGTCGTGCTTGAAGGTTGCGAGTTCTGCCGATGCATCTGCCAGCAGCTGTCCACGACGCACTTCGTTGTTTGTGTGCTTTGGATGCAGTAGGCCGAGAATATCAGCTGCGGGTTGCAGAGATTTGCGTGAGAGGTCGGCAGCATTGTCGAATGCCTCGTAGAATGATTGCAGGAGTGCATCCTCGACTTGAGGTGCAGGCAGTGGTCGCGGCGAGGTGGTGATGTATGTCTTCTTTGCAATGTCCAGAGAATCCTTTTGCAGACACGACTTAAGTAGAGCAAAGTCAATTTCACTCGAGTCGAGACGTGTGAGAATGGTGCCAGACAAGAGAAGTTGACGCAAGCTCTTGAATGTCTCTTCTGAACGCTTGACGCTCAGGATACGCGTGAGTTGATGGCGCTGCGTTTGAACATCGGCCAATGAAATGGCAAGAATGTCGCGGATGGAGGGATTGTAGCGCGAGGACGAAAATTGGCGCGACGCTTCGACAAAGGATTCCAGCCGTGTCGCAGAAGAGCGCACTGGGCGTGTCAGCATGTTTGGGCGCAGCAGGCTTTCTGTAGATAAAAGTGCATCAATCGACATGTCAAGATCCTCAGCGGAGATGTCACCCTCTGGAAGATTGGATTTGAGGATTGATAAAATTTGAGAGAGGTGCGTTGTGTGAATCCTCCTTGATGCAGGCCGTGGTTCGTGCAAGTAGCATGCGCCAAGAATAGCGGACAGCAAGCCCGATTTCGAGTCCCTCAGTTCAGCATCATGTGCTACCACATAGCCAAGAATAGAGAGTAGGAACTCAGCTGATGAAGCATGTTCGAGGATGAACCGTTGAAGCGCATCGTCAAAGTCTGGTTGGTTCTTCTTGCGCGGAATCCATACGCGTTCCAGCATCTCTCCGACCTGATCGGCATTGAGAGAAGCAAACATCATGTCTGTGAGTTCTGCGGCCTGCATCGTCTCGAATTGATCGAGTGATAGAGGCCGTTGCGCCTGTAATGCTAGAAGCGGTTCTAGCATGCTACAGCGCCACTCAGACAGATGGTCAGGGAGTGCTTCAAGCAGCGATAGAGAGGAGCCGATCTGACCAACCACTTTATCTGTAGATCGGATACGCCGCTCAAGAAACTGGTCTATGCTCAGTTCTTCGAGAGAGATGTCTTGCATAGATAGCTTGACTGTAGCATGGGAAGCATCGACCTCTGATAACTCAATGGCGATAGAAGGTGGCCGTTGAGCAACAGCGCACTTGACGAGCTGAATGTAGTGTCCCTGGTCTACAGTCTCTGGAACAAAGAGCAGGATATGTAGCATATGCTGTTGGATGATAGCTTTGTGCCGCGCATAGTGCACGGCAAGCGAATCGAGCGCTGCAGCTGAAGCATAGAGAAGCGCGGCATACTCTGCGCGTAACTTGTCCATTTGCCTATCTCGACATAGCCTGGACCTTGCCCTTACACACAGTGTTACTGACTCAGACTCATTGTTCGTCAAGTTTTGTGTCGTTGGATGTGCTTCCCTAACCCTGACGATCTCGCTGCTTCTCGACTCCCTTTAATCCCTTCCAACGAGCTGCTCTCCCTCCCAGAAGACAACAGCGAGAGGCCCATCTCCCGGATCTACCCAAAGACTTGTGCAGAGCGTTTGTTTTTTGGTTCAAGCACAGACATGTCGAATTACAGACAGCAACACGCCGGACACAGCAATGGCTCCGCGCATCCCCAGGCCAACGCGCGTGTGATTGAACGTCAAGGCGCCAGGATCCTGTGTATCGCCGATATTCGTGGAAATCTCGCCTCACTCAACGTTCTTGCTAGTCAGCATGAGGCCACCCATATCTTGCACTCTGGCGATTTTGGCTTCTATGACAAAACATCCCTCGACCGCATGACCGACAAGACGCTGCGTCATGTTGTTCAGTACTCGCCGCTCGTCGGCCCGAGGCAGCGTGGCGATGTGTATGATACTCACCCAAAGAGCGATGTTCAGCAACTGCGAAGTGCCGTGGCCGCAGCCGAACCCTCGATCCTTTCTGACTTGCCAGAATTTTTGGCAGGCAGGCAGACCCTTTCTGTGCCCGTGTATACAGTCTGGGGCTCATGCGAGGATGTACGTGTCCTTGAAAAGTTTAGGTCTGGTGAGTACAAGGTGCAAAACTTGCACGTCGTGGACGAGGCGTCGTCACCCTTGTTGGCTGTCGGTGGTCTTTCGCTACGACTGCTTGGTTTGGGCGGTGCTCTTGTACAGCACAAACTCTTTGACAATGGCGAGGGACAATCCACCATTGCTGGAGCTCAAGGCATCATGTGGACGACGGCTTTGCAGATTGGCGAATTGCTGCACACCGCTGATCGGACCTACAGCACAGCAGAAACTAGGATTCTGATGACGCACCATGCACCCGGTCGGGACGGATTGCTCACACAGCTTGCTCACACCGTCAAGGCTGATTTCACGCTCTCTGCCGGTCTTCACTTTCGCTATTCTTCCTCGTACAGCGACTTTACCGTCTCGCCGTCCGTCTCCCATTTCGCTCAAAAGCTGGTGGCAAGTCGTGCTGCCTTCTTGGCAATCTATGATGTCGTCAAGCCAGAGCTGACAAGTCTACTCAGCCCCCCGCAGGATCAACTCTTGCAAAGTGTCCTCCAGATGGTCGAGTCGATGCCGAAGGAAGCATCTGAGACGGCACTACCAGTGGAAGGTCCCTTCAAAAATACTTGGCACTTCAATCTACCTGATGCACAGTTTGGCTCGCTGGTGCTTGCCGTGCAGGATGGTCGTATTGCTGAAGAGAGCAAGAGTCAGGGCTTCAGTTTTGGTTATCGACGTGGTGGTACTGCACCACAAGCTGCCCCTGTACAAAAAGCGCCGCCTGTCGCACTGCCAAGGCAGCAACCCCAGCAGCCACAAAACGAGCATGCATCAACACAAGCGAATGTGCAGCGCCAGCGTCAGGTTCAGCCAGAAAAAGCCGCGACGCCGCCTCCTATGAAAGATACACGTCCTGCACCACAGACATCCGTGAGTGCTGTCGAGACGCCACTACCTGCGGCTTCTGCAGACACAACACAAAACACCGCAAAGCCAGCAGAGGCACAGCCACAGCCATTGCAGCCGCAGCAACAGCAACAGCAGCGTCCAGGCCTTTGGGTGCAGCCTTGTCCGAGTGTTGAACGTGCAAAAGAGCTCTTCCCCTCTAGCACAGACTGCCTGATCAAAAAAACGGCCATGAACAGACCTTATGCCTACGTCTATTTTGCTTCACAAGCAGATATGCAAGAAGCACTCAAGGGATGGCAATCACTGGATCCTGCAACACAGGATGGCATTGCTGTCAAGGAGATGCGCGTCGACGGCGGTCACAACAAAACAGGTCCAGGCTTTGGCCGTACGCGTGGTGATAGTCGCGGCGGTCGTGGTGGAAGCGGTGGTCGTGGCGGCAGCAGAGGTGCCCGCGGTGGTGGTCTCGGTCGTGGTGGATCGACAATGGGCAGCGCTGGCGGTCCTGCTGCGTTGTCTTCAGCGCCTGCTCCCACCAGCAACTGAAGAGTCGTCTCCTCCTGAGGCAGGACGCTCTCCATCTCTTCACGTTGTAGCATCTGCATGACCATTTACACATATAACACGAGTAGCAGATGAAGCAGATCTCCCATAGCATTCTCAATATTTCCATCCTATGGTTTAATGGTGATGCTCTTGTGCTTCGTCCCCGAGGTGCTCCATGCCTGCGCCGACGTTGCCTTGGCCAGACTGCTATGTTAGAATCTGCATAGTTGACTGAGCAGCTTACTAGAAACAAGATGCTCAAGCCAAGGATACTAGCAACAAAGCAGATGAAGAGAAAGCCTTGTTTCACGGGCACAGCGCGTGCGGCCTCCCTGATCGACATACAAGGGATGTAGAGCTGCGAGATGAGAGCTTCAGCAGACAGGAGACTGGTTTGTCAGCTTGTATCAGCCGCGAGCAGCGTATCGGCGTCAAGCCAGATGTCGTTGAGGATGCAAAGGCTGTGACGAACGGATTGAAGACTGATCTACTTCAAGACTACTTGATACACTGGTAGATTAGAGCAAATACATCACTAGCAGTATATCAATCATAGACAAGCGTCTCATTCTCTCGCCGTTGCCGTTCTGCATCTTGCTCGGCCTTCCGTAGCGCCTGGCCCGACATCCCTTGTTGCTGCTTCAGCTTTCCTGACAACACGCCGCCCTTTTGCGCTTGTGCTTGTGCTCGTGCTTCCGCAGCACGGAACGCTGCCTCCTTGGCATCCCCCGCCGCTCTCAGCAGACCCGCGCCTGATTGTGAGTCATTTGAAGGTGGTGTAATAATGGTTGCTGGAACTGGGCCGTGATAACCTTGGCCGCCTGCTTTGCTCAAGCCTGCAGACTGACTAGGAGTAGATGCGCCCCCTAGGACATGCGCTTCTGACCTGCGCTTCGTCTGCGATCGCCCTGCCTTGTTATTGTTTTGTGTGCGACCGCGTCCTGATGATGAGAATGACGACGTGGATGGAGCAGTAGCAGCTCCTGGTGCAGTCCCATGGCCTTCATGTACAGAGGGTTTGGCTAGGCAAGAGCCCATGCAGCCAGCTCGCTTTTCTATGACTCGCTCGGGAAACTAGTATGTGGTCTATGGTACAAGTCATGCTACACGACCTTGTACCGTGTGCCACCGTCGTCTGCCAGGGTGCCCTCGCTCAACAGCCGCCGCAACTCCTTGACAGCCTCTACCACCGTCTCCTCCGACGGCCCTTCAATCAACAAGTAAAGCTTCGGCACGCCCTCCACAGCAGTCGAGCCAGGCTTGACGTACTGTCCCTGAGTCGTAATGGACGTTCCAGTCGCCTCGAGCACTTTTGCAATGTTGGTCCGGTTGGTGACGTTCCAGCGCGCCTTTTGAGGATAGTCATTGATCTCCATCATAGCACGGAAGTCGCCCGCGTCGAGGTTGTTGGATGCCTTGACTTCTGGTGTTACTGCCTTGCCTGCACCACCCAAGTTGAGGCGATTGTTGATGGCCTCGATACGAGCCTTGGCAGCAGCAACAGGGTCGAGCGAGCGCGTATCCTTGCGAGCTACAGGCCGCAGCTTTGCAGAAGAGGCAGAGACGCGCTCCACTTTGATGGGAGCATCTGCCACGGCGGAACTGCCAAGATCCTGAACAGCAGCCGCTTCCTCGGGATTGACGCGATCCGTATCAGCGAGTGCTTCATTTTGCATACGCTCCTCTTTCGCTTGCTCGTCCTCATCCTCTTGATCATCCTCTTCGCCATAGATCTTACGCTGCACCTTCTTGGCCAAATCGCGGCTCACGTCAAACTTGCCAAGGCCTTTGCCGCCAAAGCCAGATGCACCTTGACGTTCCGTGCCAGCCTTGACCTTCTCCAAGAATGCGTCCGACAGCTTCTTGAGAGGCTCTGGAATCTCAACTTGACTGAGACGTAGAGCTTTGGCAATATCGGCGGCATAGCGTTCCTGATCCTCACTCACAAACGTGATAGCTGTACCCTTATTGCCTGCACGCCCTGTGCGACCTACACGATGCACGTAATCTTCCATGTGGTTCGGACAGTCGTAGTTGATGACGAGCTTGAGCTGTTTAACATCCAGACCACGAGCTGCAACCGAGGTCGCAATCATGATGGGAAAGACGCCTGCTTTAAAGTCAGAAATGGTATTATCGCGATCCGCTTGATCTTTGCCGCCATGAAGCGAATTGCACGGATAGCCTTTGCGCATAAGCTGTGCAAGTAAGTTGTCTGCTGCTTCTTGACGATCAACAAAGATGAGCGTTCGAGCGTCCTCGTCACGATTATACAGCTCGCCGAGAATCTCAAGGACGCGATTGAACTTTTGCGGATCTGGATCTCTTGGACGGACCTCGACCATTTGCGTAATTTCTGGAGCCACAACGCTGCGTGCGCCAACTGTAATCTCGACCGGCTTGCCACGAAGAATTTTACGAGCAAGTGCCTCCATAGTTCTGGGAAATGTTGCAGAAAATAAGACCGTTTGCCGCTGAGGTCTAATGTTGTTGAGGATCTTCATGACTTGAGGCTCAAAGCCGAGATCAAACATCCTGTCTGCTTCATCAAGCACACAGTACGTGACACGCTTGAGATTGGTGACGCGGCCTTGATTAGCGCTCAGCAAGTCAATCATGCGTCCAGGTGTACAGACAACAATCTCGGCGCCACGCTTCAGTTCTGCTATTTGATCCTTGATGGGCGGACCGCCGTAAGCGCAGATGGCACGTAAATTGAGTGCACGGATGAATGGTTTGCACTCCTTGTGGATCTGTACAGCCAGCTCGCGCGTAGGTGTCATAATCATAGCGATTGGGCCCTCGCCATTGGCTAGAGGACGCTGATCCATGATATGTCGAAACATGGGAAGCAGAAAGGCGACTGTCTTGCCTGATCCAGTCTTGGCTACGCCGATGGCATCCCTTCCTGCCATGATGGCTGGAATGGCCTGCGCTTGGATCGAAGTGGGTGTGTCATAGCCAAGGCGACGAATAGTCTCAACAACTGGGGCAGAGAGACCACATTGGCCCCAGTGTGTCATGGGCTTGGGACAGTCCTTGCCACGAATAACAATGCCATCCAGTTCAAGCCGCATGGCATCCACCTCTTCTTCCGTCAGATGGGCTAGCTCTTGAGGCTCAATGTAGAATTCTTTCCTGAAGGGCTCGTAGTTCTCTTTTGCATGATCCACCGTGGCAAAATCTTTCTTCTTTTGCGCAGCTCTACGAGCGGCGATGGCGAGAATGTCCTCCTCCAGATCTGAACCGACGGCGTCTTCCCTATCTGAAGCATCGTTGAGTACGTCTTGTGCAGACCGAGTGTTGACAGAAACGGGTGCAGCGAGAGCAGTAGAGTTTTGCGCCATGAATGCTTCCAAGGGATCCACTTCGCTTTGCTCGTCGATGTCCATTGCTTCTTTCGAGTCTTCATCCTCAGCTGTATCTGGCATATGTCGCTGCTGTGGGTCCAGCTCACCGAATCCAGACGCCTTGTGCCCCTTTGTCGGTCCCTTCAAGCTGCCAATGCCAGAGAACTTGACGCCTGCGGTAGCAAGCATCTTTGGTGCGCCGTTCGACGGAGCAGAGGCCTGCGTCAAAGTCGACCTCATGGCGGCTGTCTTCACAGTTTGCATAGGTTGCACAGGCTCTGACTTCACCTCTTGCCTGATTGCTGGGGACGCAGACCCGCTCTTTGCCTCCATCTTGCGCCGTTGCCATTCAAGGAACTTTTCCTGGCGTTGTTTGAGCTTTTCCTCCTCTGTCAATGCTGGAGCTATGCCGTTAGCAGCAGTGTCTGTAGTAGAGGTAGGCTTGTCGAAGCGAGATGGGCGCTCAGTTCCCGCATCTGCACGTTTGACTGGTGGTGCATCTATACTGTGCTCCCGTCGTTCACGACGTTGCGGAGATGATGAGTATTCTGGTGGAGGCGATAATCTGCCTTCATCGCGTACAGGTCTCGCCGGTCTATCTCTGCCAGAAGGTGCCCAGCGGTCATTGCGATCCCACGCACGCTCACCACGCCGGTCGCTTCGATCTCTATCGTGTCGCCTGTCTAAATCTCCGTCGTCTCGCCGTCTACCACGGTCGCGAGGTCGATATGGACTCTCACTGCGTTTGCGCCTGCCATTGTCTCGCGCGTGTGGTGGTGAGTGCCTGCGATGCGACGAGGGTCGATGCCTTGCTGGACTGCGTGAGCGGTTGCTATCGTATCCCATGGCAAGTACCCTTCTTTTATAGAGACTAGATTTCGTTCAGCCTGTTTCTAGCTGCCTAAAGATCCGCACACTGCGATACGCTCTCCTGCGCTTCTTCTCGAGGTGTTGTACAGGTTGCAGTCGCTTGATGTCGTCTCACCAAGTCAATTACCTACAAGTTGCCACAAACTGGCACAAGCTAGCAAGTAGGCTATAGGACTGCTGGAGGAGCTGAATGCCTCCAAAGCAAGCGTCAGGCACTGCGCTTACTCACTCGCTGCTGGATGTCCAGGAACAGCGCACAGAGCAGACCATTGCACGCATCAATCAAGCTACCGAACAGCTGCTTGCTCGCTTCACTCAAGTGACAGCGCTTGCACAACACTCTGCCGAACGGGAAGCTACTGAAGAAGGTGCTGATGCACCAGCTCGTGCTTCGGACGCTCAGCAAGCGGCACGCTCCTTGCAAATAACGAATGCTACAAGTGCCATGGTGCGTGCTTTTGAAGAGCTGCGTCGCATCATCTATGAAGTCAAGGAGCTCTGGGTGCTTGGCGGGGATGTGAAGCTCAAGGATCAAACAATCGAGCTGGGCATCGACCAAGAGAGCATGTCTCTCGGGGAGAAGCAGAAGGTCATGGATAATGCTGCTGTTGTACTCAGCGGTCTTGGTGCATCTCTTGTGTGATCTACGCATCGATACTCTGCAAAAGACGCGCTAGTTCGTCTCCATCAAAGGGTACTCGGAAAACATCACCGAGGCCCACTTCTTTGCTCGCAACAATAATCTCGTGGTCGAGAAACTCGCCGAGTTGTGCTTGAAAGGCACTCTTGCTGCTCACGGCGAATGCTCGACTCGCAAGCTCATACAACCTGGTCGACTCGACGCCAGCACCGTCATGACTGATTTGTTCCTCTAGCAATAGCTTGAAAATCGTCTTTGCATTTTGCGATAAGGTTTGCAGGATCCAGCTGATACCGCGATCGCCCATAAGTCGTTGCTTGGAGGCCTTTGCATCAAAGATGCTCGGCTGGAGTGCCGTTTCAGCAGCATACGGCTCAAACGTCGTGGCATCATGGTAGAGGAGATTCAACGCGCTCGTTTTGCGTGCGTCCCAGAGCATAGGCGCTTTGACATGGTCGATACTGACAATAGCCTGTGTGCGCGGATGCTCGAGGATGCGCACCAACATGCTCTGCGCTTTCTCATTCCTCAGATTTTCTCCATCAATGTTGTGGATGAGCACAATCAGCGTCTCGTCATGATCGTCGAGCGCTCGCAACACGGCTGCCACATCGGACCCCGTCTTTCCGAGGGCTTGCGTGATGGTGGAACAGATGCGCCGCATATCTGTAGATGGATGATAACCTTGAATAGTGACGCAGATATGCCAGGGTGTAAAGTGCTGTTTGACGAATTGCTCGAGTAGCTGCTTCTTGGAACCGTAGCCATAGAGACACAAGGTGTGGCCGAGTGAGAGCTGTAATTGCCATTCAGTAAAGCATCCAATATGGGCTTTATACAACCGTTTGATTCCAGCTGCGTACGGGAGCTGGTGCGACTTGAGCATAGAAAGACACTCAGATTGCGTTAGGTACGGGACTTTTTCCAGCGTATTGTTGGAGGTCTTGTCCTTGCTGGCCATCTTTTCAAAGTAAACGTCCGGACCGTCCGTGATGATGGGCGCTGCTTCTGCATCGACGTCCTCCATAGCTGCGGGCAGATTGTTTGTCTTGCCATCTCTCGTCCCTTTCTTGGACGGTGTGACATCGCTTGGTATGTCTTTGGCGCCGGCCCGAATCGGCGTCGCCTTGCCAGGCGTGGCACGAGAACGTTTGCTCCTGCTGCTCGGTTGTGGATCTACCATGCTAGCTGCCCTGCTTGATCGAGTCGAGGCGCGCGTAGGTGATGCTTGACGCGTCCTAGTCGGTGTAGCTTTGGAAGGCGTCGACCTCAACGTCCGCCTTGATGCCGAGTCCGGCACTTGTCCCCTACTTGCAGGCGATGCTGTCACCTTGCTCGGCGTCCCAGCGGCCTTGGACCGACCAAGCAAGACTGGTGCGTGCTTTGCCGTGAGCTCATCATCACTCTCCGCCCTCACAGTCTCTGCAGCATCCTTTGCGAACTTCTTAGGTGATTTGATCAGGACCATGACAGGCGGCCGCTTCGAGGGCGTCAGCATACTATCCGGCGACTGACTCGCTGCACGTCGCGTCGAGCGTGTACTTCGACCTGTACTCCGCACATTCTCCGTCGCTTGCCGCTTGGGCGTAGACGGAGGTTCTTGATGCTCAGCCGCCTTTCTCTTCATCCCTGCGGCCATCCTTCCACCTCTTAAACTCTGCACAGCTGCATCGTCGCGTCTGAAGTCGTCGAGTTGTCGCTGAAATGCATTTGGGCGACGAGATGGAGCAAGCAAGACCGTCGAGGTGATAGGGCTACGGGCTACGCAAGCTAGATACAAATGCCAGGTACCAGGAGAGACTGGCTCCATCATCCAGATATTGTCTGTCGAATCCACAGGTGAAAAACTGCCATGCAGCTTCAGCATCAACCAACGCATAATTGGCCCATATGATACCGCGCCACCCACCAGCGCATCCGCTCACTGCCTGCACCCGCTCGCTCCATTCTTCCTCGACGAATCTTCGTGGCCGTATGAAGGCGGAGATGGGAGAGAGTGGAATCATGTGAATGCCATGAATGTACTCTCGATTCGCCCCAAAATACGTGGCATAGTCCACCTTGTTTTGAAAGCGAATGCCACTCACCTTGTTGCCAATGATTTGCCTTGGCATCACGCTGTTATCCTTCTGAAACAGCATGTACAGGTTCATGCTTCGCTTTTGCACAGCCAGCATGAGCCGAGCAAGTGAAGCGAGGTTCGGCAAGCCTGCTGCCATGCCATACAAGTATGCTGCAAACGTCGCAAAGGCATCCTCCGACGAACTCTCCTCATCCTTGCCGTCCGCCGACTCAAACAGGCCCTTGGCCCAGGAATGGCCCACAAACCAGTCGAAATTGCGAAAGGCAGGAAATACAGCCGTCTCCACTGGGTTCATGAAATCCTGCAGTAAAATCTCTGCATAGGCACGTATGCGTCCAGCATGCGGTGAATCTGGCGAGAGAATCAAAAAGACTGCTGCTGCAAAGACGTGGTAGCTAGAGTGAAACATGTGGTCGTTGTACCAGGTATTACCGAAATCTGCCATGGGATCCTTTTGAAATCCTTGGCAAGAGACCAAGCCGCCCCAGGTGTTGTCATAGACAAGCGGGAATTGCTGTTGGTTGTCAACATAGATCAACAAGTTTCGCTCAAAATTTTGCATCAGATGCGAAGCTGCTGCATGATTGAGCTGTGTCGCGAGCAGAGTGACTTGTGCAAGCTTCGCAAGTGCCTTGCCGCCAAAATACATCGAGTCTGCACGGCAGCCAGCATCAAAATCTTGCTGACAGTCTTGACCGATGGCTTGAGAGACTGCTGCCAAGTCTTGTTGTCGAATTTCGGGCATCAGGGCAAGTTGCGCTCCAGCTGGTAATGCCTCGTGCATTGTCCACGATTCAGCTTGGACGAGGGTCATGGGTCCGTTGACTTGAGAATCCAGTGTCGCTTCTCCGATACAACTTGAAGTCTGAGCATCAAAAGAAGCTACATGGTGCGGCAGCGCATACATGGCCGGTGATGCTGCTCCTGTTTTGACAAATGTCATCGTGTAGCTTCCATGAGCTTCTCCAGCAGTCCCTGCTAGGATGATGCTCTCCACAACGGTGCCTGCGGATTGATCCAAGACTGCTTCAGCAGCAGGCGACCTGACTTTTGCCACTTGAAGAAGTCCCGAGACCTGTGAAGAGGCCTGTAGGCAATCAGACGCCATCTGCTGAAAAGAGATGCGTGGGCCGAACCAATAGGCAATCCAGAGCTCACCGTCCTCGAGTACGAGGTGCCATTTTTGGCAGTGTGCTGCAGGCTGTTCGATCACTGAGCGAAATTGCACTTTGGAGCGCAGGACTGGCGTAAGGGCAAGGTATCTGGCTGAAACAAAAGCCATGCCCGTCACCAAGGGCATTTCAATGGACCGAGGTCCAGATTCTAAATGAAGATGGATGCTGAACTGATCTGCGTTGCTGAGCCGCAGCTTTGTTGATTCTACAGAATCGATTGCCAGCGACACAATACCAACTGGCGCGAAGCAGTACTGCGCAGTCTTTGCGCCAGGATCGGGGCCGAAGCAGAGCTGAGTAGCATTGGTGTGACCAATATCCACCCCACTTCCGTTATAGTTCATGGTGTATGGCAGAACATAGGCAGCTTGACGCTGACTCCCGAAGTACAGGTTGCTATAGAACTTGTTGGTTGGGATGGGTTTGCCGGATTGATTGGCTGGAGCGATGGATTTTGGCAAGCATGGATGACTCTGGGTTTTGTACTTTGCTACGTCTGGCTTGCCAATAGGCACAAAGACTGAATTTGAGCTCGAGCAGGGGGAGAGACAGGTAGCTTCAGCATGAGATGTCTGGTAGGCGGACGGTTTTGTAGCGTAGTTGATGGGAGGCGGTTGCAGCTTATCTTTTAGTTTCAGCGATAGATCTGCGAGCTTGTGCATGTGCCATTGAGCTATTCTGCAGTTCTTCAGTAGTTCTTCAGTAGTTCAGTAGTTCAGGAGTTCTTCAGTAGTTCTTCAGTAGTTCTACATGTAGTCCAGTAGTAACAATTCGTGCAGTGTCAGTTCAGCTCCACGTGACTCGGCGGAAGACTGCGACAACTTCAAGTAGACGGGACTACCAAGTCACTACACCAACTGTGACCAACAGGATTCCTACATATCCCAAAGCATGCTGGCCCGTTCACTCTTCAAAGGACCAGCCGCGCGTCAACTGGCCCAGGTCATCCGGCCAAGGACATTCACCACCGCCCGTGTCGCCTTTTCAAAAAGTATGTACACCCGCATTCAGAGCACATCGCTCTGTGTACAGCCTCGTTGAATGCATGCTGACAACAGACCTCACTGAAATCAAGTCTTCCGATGACCTGATCACAGAGGGAGCCCCTCCCGGTGCTATCCCCACCGACCTCGAACAGGCCACCGGTCTCGAACGTCTCGAGATCCTCTCCAAGATGGCCGGTGTCGATGTCTTTGACATGCAGCCCATTAAAATCACCAAGCTCGGTACAGTCAAGGAGCCAGTGATGGTGGACTCGCTCGACACATTCCGCTATGTTGGTTGTACGGGCGAGCACGAGTCGCACGAGACACTCTGGGTGACGGTCGAGAAGGACAAGACATCGCGTTGTCCCGAGTGCGGCAGTGTCTACAAGCTCAACTTTATCGGTGACGAGCATGCTCACGATGGACACCACTAGAGAGTCATGTAGAATGTCCACTCTGATCACTACAGCTACTATCTACGCCAGTCTCTGTGTCCGCGATCCCGGCTTCTGCTCCTACTTCTGCTTCTGCTCCTGCTCCGTGATCGTCTGCTGTATCGCTCTCCATTGCGCGGCGACCGACTTCGACTTCTCCGCCGAGTGCTCCGTTCATAGCGATCCTCCTCACTCGCCTCTCGCTCAAAAACATGCCTGCCACGTCGTACATTACTCTGCAGAGTCTGACTCACTTGTGGTCCCGTCATCACACCCACACGACCATCCTCGGAGGTACGAAACATGCTGCCTCCCTTCTTGACCTTGTTGAAGGTACTTGTACTCTGCAATGTAGCCGACTTGCGTTTCGGGCCGGCCTGTGCGAAACTTTGCCATGAAGACTTGCTTGATTCAAGGGCTTGGTCAGGTTTTGCCTTCTTTTTGGTAGGCTCAGCTGCAGGAATACCAATGGGTTGGACTATCGGTGTGTGACCAGCTGCAGGTGGCGGAGGTGGCGGTACCTTTCGCTTGCTGGTAGATGCTGTCTGTGAAAAGGCATCGGCGTCTTTCAGTTGATGCGCTTGAAGTGTCTGTACTTCATTATACTCCGTAAACTTGACTGTAAAGACAGGCTTCTCTGCACTACCCGTGATGCTCGTAATCTTGGCGAGGTAGTATTGGTGATCGCCTGTGATCCACTTGGCAAGGACAAGCTCACCCACTTTTCGAGTACGCTGGGAGGCATTCTTCTTGTCTGTCAGTGAGAGAGCAGATGGCTGTGTCTCGAGCGCAATCAAGTCTTCTAGCTCCTTCTTGAGAGATAGCAGCTCCTCATTTTCAGGATCAAGCGTGAGCACCTGTTCGATTTCTTTGAGCTGCACAGTGAGCTCGCTCTCAGTGGCGCTTGACATAGATGATAGAGTACAGCAAGTTTACAGATTACAGAGTAGCAATGCAGGCCGAGATCTTAAGCTTGGGCGTCGTCAGTTTTGGGTTCAAAATCTTCAAACTTTCAAATGTCAGGAGACTGCAACGGCCAGACAAGCAGACAAAGGCTACAGCTTGGTCTATATAGAAGACAAATGAATATGCTCATGCTACTGCCCCGTCTGCTTCTTGAACGCATCCCATGCACCATTCAGCTTTGCAAAAACCGCACCGGCAATCATCTTTTGCTCAACAGACGCATCCCGAGGAATCTTGTCTGGGTGCACTTTTGCCAGTGCCTTCATGTAGATGACCTTGACTTTGCCATCCAGCACGAGATCCGCAAGCGATACTTTTTTCCAGTTTGCTGCAGGCCAAAGCACAAGATCAAGAGATGCGAGCAACGCACGCAAATTCCCTTCTTTCCCCTTCGACCATGCTGCAATCTTGTCACCAACGACATCCAACAAGCCCTGCCGCTCCAACTCGCTTGCATCCTGCGCAGCCGCTTCAGCACGCAACTTGGCAACGCCTTCACCGCTCGGAGCAGCATGAACTGCAACCTTGACGGGCACCTTGGCAACAGGCTTTGATTTTGGCGCACACAGCTTCTCACACCGCTGCTTCGCTTGCATGGCAGCAGCACCACCTTGACCACTTCTCACAAGCGTCTGCCAGACGACCAGAGCATCTGTATGCCGTTCTTGCATCTCCAGCGCTGTTGCTTTACGCTGCATCACTTTGGCCCATAGGCTAGACATATTGATGGCTATGCTGCCCTCTTGAATTGTCTCATCCTGACCTGCTCCAGAACCAATGATAGCCAAGGCCTCCTCACAGTCCGCAAAGGCAAGCTTGGGCGAACCAGTTTGTAGATTGGCTAATGCGCGATTCGAGAGAATGCTGATGCGAGATGGATGCTCAGCAGGCAGTGATTGGAGGGCCGTATCATAGTATCCGAGTGCTTTTGTAAAATCCCCTCGTTTAAATGCCTCAGAGCCGCGCGCCTTGTTTTGTAATGCCGTTGCAGCCACGCTCGCGTCGAGATAGGGTGTGTCTCGGCGTTTCGTAGAAGTCTTGGGCGGAGCTGATGCGCGCGATGACTGCTGTGATGGTGGCCGAGCTGGTTTCTTTGGTGGCGAGAATAGGTCGACCTCTTCATCTTGAGCAGTGACTGGTGCTTTTCCCTTACCCTTGCTCTTTGAAGTGGGCGGTGCAGCAAACAGATCCACCTCGTCTGATGGAGCAGGGAGAGGCTGCTTGACAGATGCCCGGGTGCTTGTGCCACTCCCACTGCCACTACCACCAGGCATCCCAAACAAGTCTTCTTCAGGCACAGCGGGTCCCGCTGGTCGGCGCCTGCGTGAGGACACGTAATTGGCAGCTTCATCGTCATCTGCCTTGAATCTGCGTGAGTCCATCGCCGGCTGCTGCGGTGGTTGCATGGTGGATGGTGCTGGCATACCCACAAGTGTACTCGCGACACTCTGCGTCAAGCTCTTGAAACTGCCTGCAAAGCTTTTCCCGCTGCGATTGGATTCGACGCTACCACGACGACTCAGTGTGCTTGCCGTGACAGACGCCGGCAACACACCATTCGCTTCAAGTCGTTTTCGTTCAACTGGATGCAAAGGCAGCCCTTGCTCTTTCGGTTCTTCCTCTTCATCCTCCCAGCGTGCCTTGGATTTACCCTTCTCTTTTCGCTCAGATCGGTCAGCATCGCGCATCCAACGCGGCCGATCATCAAGATCCGGTGCACGCGCAGCACTCGCATTGTATTCCGCAAATTTGCGTCGTGCCATGGCCGACTTATTGGTAAGCCAAGAGTTGGCGGTAGCAAAAGTTTTCGTTGCAAGCTCATACGTCGTGTCCACCCAAGCGCCATTGGCATCCTGCGTCTGACCGGGTCTGCCTTGCTGCTGGACGCGTTGTCGTTGTGGTGCGTTCACGGGTTGACCTTGTAATTGCAAGAGAAGTTCCATGGCACCTTCCACATCCACGCCACTTTCTGTGTTGGCCAAGGCAACTCTTGCCTGTGCTGGTGTGAAGCCCATTTCTACAATTTGCTTGATGTAGGGTAAACGTGGATCACGCGCCGGTACACCCCAATCTGGCTCACCTGTACGTGCGCGTGTCTCGTATTCGCGCGCAGAGGCCATCGACTCTTCCTTCGCGCGTCGCAAGTCGTCATCTTCTTCTTCGCTGTCACTCAAATTGATTTGTTCCATGGGCGGAGCTGATTGAGTAGAGACGGGACGGCCAAGGTTTCCAAGAATGTCATCGTTTTCATTGTCGTCGCGTGCTTTGCCTTTACTTTTGCTTCTCGAAGCGGCAAAGACACCAAACGTGTCATCGTCGTCAATCAATCCCAATGTCGAAGGCTGAGGTGTGCCGCGTCTGGAGCTAGTGACAGCGGAACCTGGTCGACTTGGACTGTCTGGTGGTGGAAAGTAAGTATCGTAGTGTTTTGGATCTGGCCGCTCGCCATTGATGACGGCAAGCAGTTCCTCTGTCGTTTCGGTGTCTGTTTTACGCAAGCCCAAGCTCGGCTCGGGCTGGAGTTGCGTAACGACAGGTAAACTTGCAGATGCTTTAAAAGGATTATTCCTGCCGGGCACACTCACGGCGCGATCGACGCCAAAGTGCTGGTCCAGTAATTGTGCTTGCTGCAGTGCTTCGGCTTCTTTTTGCGCCTGCAATGCCTGTGCTTGGGCAGCAAGCGACATATTTGCTTGACTCTTTTCCTGCTGCTTGCCAAAATTGACGAGACCGCCGAATGAATCCGTTGCTGGCTGTGCTGCCTGCGCTGGACGTAGCATTTGGGCGCTGTTGCCAGTGAGGGCGGGCGAATTGAGCCTACTGACGCCATTACTGGCTGGTAGGGAAGCGAAGGGGTTATGCTGCCGTGCAGCTTTGACAGGGCCTTTAGCGGTCTGCTGGGCCTGCGGCTTACTCTGCCAAGAGAGGTCAAGCAGGTCGTCCATGGCTGGTCTAGCAAAGCATCAACGGGGAGAGAGTAGCAGTGATCAGATAGAAGCGATAGGTGGCAGCTTTGGCTCTAGTCAGCTATTGAGAATTGTCTAGCAGCTTGTCTTTACAGCGTGTCTTTGCAGGTGTATACAATGCTATACGTAGTCTGCCATTATGACGCTGCCGTAGTCCCAATTTGCCGTGTGAAATCCAGCACTCACGTGAAGTCATGGAGCAACCTCAATCTGGGACCCATCAACTGCCCCCCTGCCCCCAGACCACAAATCCCCCCAAAGAAATACTTCCATGATTGTAACGGGACATACCTGAACAGCAGACGCACTGATTCCCTTCTGTTCTAGTGTCAGGGTACTGTGTAGCGTGCGCTACTCATCTTGACTCAACTGCCTGTGACATCAAGTCCAGGCAGAGTGCTGTTGCTCAGCTCTTGACGCATACAGACGTCTCCAGGCTCTGAGTTCACCGTCGCATTTGCGCATATACTCTGCTATGAGTGCGCAACGTGATATGGACGCGCCAGTCTCCCAAGCCACTCAAATGGCCGCTGGATCTGTCGAAGTTGGCAATAGCATCCCGCCTGCAAATGCTGCCATGTCGGAAGCAGACGCAGGACGGACTGCTGCGCGTACGGGAGGTATGGCTGCTGCTCCGAATGCCGGTTTGGGTGTTCAGTCCATTGAGGGCGGCACAATCCTGGCGGACGACAAGCACAAAAAGAAGAAGCTTGCAAAATGTATTGTTCAGTGATGAACTCCGACTGGTATCCTCTTGCTGCAGTCTTCCCTTGGTGTCAACCAACGCTCAGTCGCTCTCTGGTCAAGCTTTACCGTGACTATGGCTCTTACAAGACGCTACAGTCTCGTGTCTTGCGTCTTGCCGGCAGGTGCGTACGTTGACAAAGCAGCGGACTGTGCAACTGCGGCTCTCTGTGCGCACCGGCTCCTTCTCTGCAATTCCAGTCTGATGACTCATCGCGGCTTGCGCTCTCTCTACCTGTAGCGACTGCTTGTCGGCGATTTTGGTCGCGCGCTACGTTGTTGGAGCGACGCGGCATTGCTGGAACAAGTATGCGTGATGGGACACGCAGCCTCTGTTAATATGGCCTGCCTCGTCTCCTTCCGTCACGGACATCTATCAAGTCTTTTGCCTCTCAAGACAACTCGGAATCAAGCGTTCGATCGAGCTTTGGTCCCAGCATGCCGTCGATTTACGCGTCAATGTCCATGTATCGTCTCGCCCGTCTTCGGCGTCACTATGACCAAGCCCGGCGACGACTTGGACGCGCTTCCTACGACTGTATTGCCGATGGGCCATTCAAGACTTGCTTTGGTATCGTCTCTCTCGTCTCTGTAGCTACTCTCATGCCCTTCCTCCTCCTCTGCCGTTCCCTTGCCGTGCCTGCATCCTCCCGTACCCGCCTCCCGTCTCTGCCGCCTTCCTCCTCGTCGTCCTCGCTGCTGCTTCTCTTCCTCCTCTCTGCCAACCACACAAAAAGCAACTCGGCACCGACGGGAACAAGACTGGGCCGGGCCTCTTGCTTCAGTGCTCTAGAAGAAAGCAGCAGTCTATCACTCAGGACACAGAGCAGAGCATCCGTGTGGTTCACTGCCTGCGCTACGGTATAATGGGTAAGTCTCTTTTGCTCTTTGGCGCGTATGGACCTTGATCCGATCGACTCGGCCGCGACTGTCACAACGCGCGTGGCTACGGGTATGGGAGGTGAGCGCAGACGTCGCTTCGGTGATCATGCCAGCGACGCAGCTTGTACCGCCCTGCACGCCTGTGGACTGGATGTCGGCGTGTGCGGCTCATCTTCGCAACCCGCACACACTCTATCCAGGAACACCCTGGCGCTTGTGACGTCGCCTCGCCGTTGTACGAACGGACATACAAGCCATCGATGCAAGGACCTTTGAAGGGTGCCTACTAACCTCTAGTAGCCACATCACCTCCAAGCCAGACGACGCGGCCAGAGAATGCAACAACAGCTGAAGTGTCGCAAGTACCGATACCACTTGTCGCACAACCTGTTGCTTCTGCTGCTGTTGCTATAGAAAAGGCTTCTTCTGCGAGCTCTCTCTCTGATGTGGAAGGTCTCGCCGTTCATGCTGCCACGCATGGCGATGCGCCCTCTGCCTCTGAAACAGAAACAGACGCAGCACCGAGTATGGTCGAAGACGACGATGATGAAGAGGACGAGCTGAGCGCGCCTCCGACAGATGATGAAGACGCAGATGAAGATTTTGCTCCTGCTCGACGGAAACCTGCCTCTAGCACCTCGAGTCGCAAGAAGCCAGTCATTCGCAGTGACGATGAAGACTCATCTGATGCCTTTGGGAGCAAACACAAGCGTAAGCTCTCAAGACGTATGCCCATTCCTTCTTGAAACAAACTGACATTAGCAACGAGCAAAGTGGCTTCCCGCGCACCGTCAGACGACGGTGACAGCGACTTTGAGGTTGGGAGACGCAAGAAAAAGCGTCGCCTCGCTCGTAAGCCTGTACGGGCCTCTCCTGACAGTGACGCCTCATTTCGACGGCCAGGTGTCAACTATGCCGAGCCTGATAATGATGATGATCTGCTTGCGAGTGACGAGGAGATGGAGTACGAGTATGTTGCACCAACCACTGAAAAGCAAGATGCCATCGACCTGGTCTTGGACCATCAACGTCTCGCTACCGAAGGCGAAGCAACAGATGACGTTGAGCCAAAGCGTAACCTTGAGTACCTTGTCAAGTGGCAAAACTATTCACACCTGCACAACACCTGGGAGACATACAGCTTCCTCTCTGGCTTCAAAGGCGCCAAACGTGTCGACAACTACATTCGTCAGTATGTTGTGATTGACGCCGAGATTCGACGGGATCCTGCAACCACACGCGAAGACATCGAAGCAATGGACATTGAGCGTGAACGCCGTCGGGAAGCGCTGGAAGAGTTCAAGTCCATCGATCGCATCGTAGACGCGCGTGATGGCGACGATGTCACCGAGTACCTTGTTAAATGGAAGCAACTCTACTATGACAGTTGTACATGGGAAAAGGCATCCGATTTGAAGGACGAGGGTCAGCCATTTGTGGATGCATACCTAGATCGCGCGAGCTCGGCCATTGCGCCTTCACTCAGTCAAGCGTATACCGCCACCAACCGGCCAAAATTCAAAAAGCTCGAGAAGCAACCTTCCTACATCACGGGTGGCGAGTTGCGTGACTTTCAGTTGACTGGCGTCAATTGGATGGCGTACCTATGGTCCAAGAATGAGAATGGTATCCTGGCTGATGAGATGGGACTCGGCAAGACTGTTCAGACTGTCTCCTTTCTATCCTACTTGGTGCATGGCTTGCGGCTAAATGGTCCATTCCTCGTCATTGTACCGCTATCAACTGTTCCGGCATGGCAAGAGACACTTGCTCTGTGGTCAGCCGATCTCAATTGCATCACGTACCTTGGCAATACCAAGGCAAGAGAGATGATTCGTGATTATGAGTGGTACGGTCGTGGTTCTCGCAAGCCAAAGTTCAACATTCTCCTTACCACTTACGAATACATCCTCAAGGATCGAGCCGAGCTGGGCAGCATCAAGTGGCAGTACATGGCCATCGATGAAGCGCATCGTCTCAAGAATGCCGAGTCACAGTTGTACGAGGCCCTTCGAGAGTTCAAGTCCGCCAACCGTCTCCTCATCACCGGAACACCCTTGCAAAACAACATCAAGGAACTTGCTGCACTCATCGACTTCCTCATGCCCAACAAGTTTGAGATTGCACAGGAAATTAATTTCGAGACGCCAGACGAACAGCAGGAAGAGTACATTCGCGATTTGCACAAACGACTTCAGCCCTTCATATTGAGGCGACTGAAGAAGGATGTGGAAAAGTCGCTGCCATCCAAATCAGAGCGCATCCTGCGCGTAGAGTTGGCTGATTTGCAGCAACAATATTACAAAAACATTCTGACGCGCAACTACAGCGCGCTCAATGCAGCATCGGGTCCAGGTGCGCAGCACAATCTTCTCAATGTCATGGCCGAGCTCAAAAAGGCCTCCAACCATCCATACCTGTTTGATGGCAGCGAAGACACCTTCATGTCTGTTGCTGGTGGCGATCATACCCGTGACGATGTCTTGCGCGGTATGGTCATGAATTCAGGAAAGATGGTACTGCTGGATAAGCTCCTGACGCGCCTGCGCAAGGATGGTCATCGCGTTCTCATCTTTTCGCAAATGGTGCGCATGCTCGACATTCTCTCAGACTATCTGGCTCTTCGTGGTCTGCCCTTTCAACGTCTCGATGGTACGGTACCGGCGGCAACGCGTCGTATTGCAATTGATCACTACAATGCGCCCGACAGTCCAGACTTTGTGTTTTTGCTCAGCACGCGTGCAGGTGGTCTTGGTATCAACCTCATGACGGCTGATACTGTTGTCATCTTTGACTCTGACTGGAATCCTCAAGCAGATCTGCAGGCTATGGCTCGGGCGCATCGTATCGGTCAGAAGAATCATGTCATGGTGTACCGGCTTGTATCAAAGGATACAATTGAAGAAGATGTGCTTGAAAAGGCGAGACGCAAGATGATCCTTGAGTATGCCATCATCTCGCTTGGTGTGACGGACAAGTCGCATCTCAAGGTCAAGGACAATTTGACAACAAACGAGTTGAGCGAAATTCTCAAGTTTGGCGCATCCACCATGTTTCAAAAGAATGACAACCAAAAGAAGCTTGAAGACCTCAACCTCGATGACGTGCTTGAGCATGCAGAGAATCACGACACAACAGGCGATGTTGGTGGTGCATCGATGGGAGGCGAAGAATTCTTGAAGCAATTCGAGGTGACCGACTATAAAGCAGATGTCACTTGGGAGGACATTATCCCAGCTGAGGAGCGAGCACGCATCAAGGAGGAGGAAGATCGCCGGCGAGAGGAACTCTTTCTTGAAGAAGAAAAGAAGAGTGCCTTGGGTCGCAAACGCAAGCCAGGGCCCGACTTTGTGGACACCCTGCCGCCAGACTCGACCATTCGCAAGAAACCTATCGACCGCAGTGATCCGAAAGAGCGACCAGTCGGGGAGAAGGAGGTACGCAATATCTACAAGAGCATTCTCAAGTTTGGTTCTCCAAGAGAGCGCTGGGATCTTGTCATGGCAGATGCAGAAGTACTTGAGCTCGACAAAGCCAAGGTGACCGAGGTGGTGAATGACTTGTTTGAGAGTTGCAAAAATGCGATACTGGAACAGAATGCTCGTGACAAGGAGTCTGGCTCGCCTGCGGTGCCGCAAAGGAAGAGAAAAGCGCTTCTCCTCAGTGTTCGTGGTGTGCGAAACCTGAATGCCGAGACGTTCCTGCAGCGATCGACCGACTTGAGCTTGCTGCACAAGTTGACAACAGACAAGACGCCAAAGCAATTCCGACTGACTGCGCAGGTTAAGCCTGTTCATGGCTGGACTTGCAGCTGGGGTGTTCGTGAAGATTCCATGTTGTTGTATGGCATTGATCGCTATGGATTTGGTTCTTGGAATTTGATGCAAGCGGACGAGGAGCTGGACCTGAAAGGCAAGTTTTTCTTGGAGGATCCACGCCACGAGGACAAGGAAAAAGGCGAAAACAAAGATTCACCTGGTGCTGTACACCTGGTCAGGCGTGGAGAGTACTTGCTGGGTGTGTTGCGAGAAGACGAGGAGCATCGTGCCAAAGGCGATATGCGGCGTTATGTCACGTCGCAGCCAAAGAAGAAGGCATCGCGCGACTCTTCTAGCCCGGCGCCTGGCAAACGACTCAAGACTTCAGTCAACAAGCTCAAAAAGAGCACGAATGGCAGCTCGTCGCCACTTTCTTCATCGTCCATCAAAAAGCGGGCGGAACCAGAGTCTGAAGTGGAATATGAATCAATGGATGAAAATGCATGCAAGTCCATCATGAAGGCTGTCAAAGACCCTCTCAAGCGTCTGAGACGCGAGGGAGCCGAGCTCAAGGATCACGCTCTGGCTGTGTGTCTCAAGGAAGTCTTGACCCAGGTCGGTGAGTTTATCGATGCGCAGGTCGCAGCCTCAACAGATCCCAAGCTCGAGAAGCATCTATGGCACTTTGTGACATACTTTTGGCCTACGGACATCAAGTACCTGAAGCTCATTCGCATGTACGCAAAGATACGCGAGGGCAAGCGTAAGTAGGGTTGGTATTTAGAATTTTATTTCCGCCATGCAGCTGTGACTGCCACGGCACCTGCCGATGTAGATGCGAAAGTCGCACGCTCTCACTGCAGCACTGGCACGGGCAGGCAGCAGCAAAATCCCCGGAGCTGGGCCCAGATCTCGGAGCCTGATCTCGCGATAGAAACAAGCGCAGATGCTCAGACTCGAGACGTCATCTGGCGTCCGGGGCGTTATCAGACGATATCGCGGCATCTACACACTTCCTCTCTCCTGCACACGCGCCTTTGCTACAGCTACAGATATGGCGCCTATGCTCGATCGCAAGACTATCAATCCAAATGTCCTCAATGCGTCTTATGCAGTGCGTGGCGAGCTGGCCATCAAGGCAGAGTCGTTGCGTAACGATCTCAAGGAGGGCAAGAAGTACCCCTTCGACAGCGTTATCCACGCCAATATCGGCAACCCGCAGCAATTAGACCAGAAGCCGCTGACCTTCTTCAGGCAGGTCGTTTCGCTGTGTGAATATCCTGCGCTCTTGGATGAGAGCAATAGCGAGGCCATCTCCAAGCTTTATGCGCCAGACGCTATTGAACGCGCCAAGACGCTCCTCTCTGAGATTGGCTCAGTTGGAGCGTATTCACAATCTACAGGCGTACCCTACATCCGGCAACATGTGGCCGACTACATCACTCGTCGCGACGGAGACAAAGTCCCAAAAGCCTCTGTCGACGACATCTTTCTGGTTGCAGGCGCTAGTGCTGGTGTCCATCTCTTGATGCAACTGATGATTGCCAGCAATGATGTCGGCATTATGATCCCTATTCCTCAATATCCTCTCTACACCGCCGCGCTGGCACTCTATAACGGCACACCTGTGCCGTATTACCTTGATGAAGAGTCTGGCTGGTCAACGAACATTGACAGCGTCAAGAGCGCATACGATGATGCAAGGAAGAATGGCAAGGAGCCTCGTGCTATCGTCGTTATCAACCCTGGTAATCCCACGGGTGGCTCGCTAGAGGAGAAGGACATCAAGGCTGTCCTTCAATTTTGCAAAGAAAAGAATATCGTGTGCATGGCCGATGAAGTCTACCAGGCTAATGTCTTCCCCGACTCACCGCCTTTTGTTTCATTCCGCAAGGTGTTACTGAGCAACAAGGACTTGGAAGGCGTACAGCTTGCTTCCCTACACTCCACCAGCAAAGGCATGGTTGGTGAGTGCGGTCAACGCGGTGGCTATCTTGAGCTTCTCAATTTTGGCAAAGAGGCACGCGAGGAGCTCTACAAGGTGCAATCCATCAATTTATGTGCTCCGCTGGTCGGTCAAATTGTAGTGGACTGTATGGTCAACCCGCCGATCAAAGGAGAGCCATCGTACGAGCAATTCAAGAAGGAGGAGGATGGCATCTTCAGCACACTGCAAACACGCGCAATGAAGCTCTACGAGACATTCCAGAAGCTCGAAGGATTCGAATGTCAGCGGCCTCAAGGCGCAATGTACCTCTTTCCCCAGTTGAAATTGCCTCAAAAGGCAATCGACGCTGCCAAGGAGAAGGGCAAGTCGCCAGATGCGTTCTACTGCATGGCCTTGCTCGAGCAAACAGGTATCTGCGTCGTGCCCGGTTCTGGTTTTGGTCAAAAGGAAGGCACCGTTCACTTCCGCACCACCTTTTTGGCGCCGGGTGACTTTGGTGAGCGCATGGAGAAGTTTCACCAGGAATTTATGAAAAAGTACACTTAGACCATATCTAACTCATGTATTTGCCATTCAAGTAGAGATGAAAAGGCTTAAGCTAGACGGGCGCTTCAGACTATCGTCCTTCTTTCTGCCAAGCGGGACAAAGCAGCCCGGTACAGGAGATTTGCCTGGACATGCATTGCTCATTGAGACTGGCTTCATTCGACCTGCCAATGCAGGCATCTTTACGCTTTTGCCATATGGCCAGCGTGTCGTCGATAAGCTTGAGGAAAGGATAGACCAAGCTATGCAGTCTATTGGTGCAAGCAAGCTCGCCATGCCAACTTTGCAGTCAAAGTCTCTCTGGCAAAAGACTGGACGCTGGGCAAATCCTGAGCTCTACAAGCTGGCTGATCGCAAAGGATCAGAGTACTGCCTTGCTCCAACGCACGAAGAGTGCGTTACGAAGCTTGTCTCGCATGAAGTCAATGGCTACAAGCAGTTGCCAGTACGTGTCTATCAAATGACTAGGAAGTACCGCGACGAGATGCGGCCACGCGGCGGTATGCTTCGTGGCAAGGAATTCATCATGAAGGATCTATATACGTTTGATGATGGCTCTCAGGCAGCACAGCTGACGTATGAGCAAGTCTCTGCAGCCTATACACACCTCTTCAAGTCGCTCGAGACGCCATTCCTAGTTGCAAAGGCAGACAGCGGCAATATTGGCGGTGACTTGTCGCATGAGTACCACTTGCCCGACGCATCAGGCGAGGACACCCTACTACACTGCCCAAGTTGTAATCATGTCGCGAATCAAGAGCTGGCGACGACACTACCCATTGATGCGGAACGCGAGACGCAGCGCTTCGCTCATGCATCTTTCCCGGATACAATCTTCTTCGATGTCAGCCTCCCAAAAGGCCGAGTCGCCAACATGTTGCAGGTAGAGAGACAGGCTAGGCAATGCGATTCAACCGTATCAAAGCTACTGCACGTTCCTGCACCTCAAGGCGACGCATTTGGTATACGCCGTCCAGGTGCTACAATCTATACGCTTGATCCGCAGCGCAGTCTCCAAGTCGAAGCTGGAGATTCCTGTCCATCATGTCATCAGCCACTTGCTGCCGTCAAGGCCATTGAAGTAGGCCATACGTTTCATCTCGGAACCAAGTACTCAAAGCAGCTGGACTTTACATACAGCACACAAGAGAACAAGCTGGAGCATCCAGAGATGGGGTGTCACGGCATTGGAGTAACGCGACTTATGGCTGCTCTGGCTGAGATCAAGCGTGATGAAACGGGTCTGCAGTGGCCACCTGGCATTGCACCTTTCAAGACCCTTATTGTTGCATCCGAAAAAACGGAAGCGCTAGCACAGGTATTGTATGATCGTTTAGACGACGCTGTGATTGATGATCGGTTCAGCAAAGGTCTAATGTATCGCGTAAAGGAAGCGGAACGTCAAGGCATCCCCAACATCATTGTACTTGGCAAGAATCTCGAGCTCTCAGAAAATGTGGAAGAGCAATGGGTCGAGGTGGCAATACGGCCTCAAGTCTCAAAAAAGTTCCTACAAATGCAAGTGAAGCATTTAGAAGTCTAAAATCCCGCAAACGTCTTAGGATCACGTCCAAGCTCATCATCCCTGAACCTATCTGCCCAAGCTTTGAATTGCAAAGCCTCGAGAATGCTGACTCGCAGAGCCTTGGCCTTGGCAAGTTCTTCGCCCTGCAATTCCTTGATCGCAAGGCTTTCGAGTGCAAGACCATACAACTTGCGTGAAACATAGTATTCTGCCAAAACGAGCTTTTGCGATGGCGTGGCGTCCTTAGACCAACGCATGACTTGCTCGAATGCAGCTGGTTCCTTATCACCAGATTGTGCTTGTAGCTGGACGAGGTGTGCTTTGAGTAGCAAATCACGCTGCCGAGTCAAGTCGCGCTCGAGCTGCTTTTCCTCCTTGCTTTCTACCTGATGCTGCACACCAAAGTATTGCGCCACAGCATTCGCATCAATCACGTCGAGAATGACGCCTGCAACACGGTGCTGCTCTGCCTTACCAGTCTCCGTCTGGTCTCCGTGCTCTAGGTAAGCACCAAGTGCTTGTAAATCGCGTGGGTGGGACTTTTGTAGCGCATCAAAGAAGGATTGCTTCTCCTCCTTGTCCGTCAAACTGGCGCCCATTTCAATTTGCCGGTCCATCATACTTTTAGGCGGCTTGTCCTCTTCTTCTGGCTTTGGCTTTGGCGCAACGTGATAGAAGACTGGTCGCTTGATTTCCCCGCCAAGAGTGATGTCTCCCGTCAAAATGTCACCTGCTGCAGCTTCCTTAGGAGTATCGTCGCCCAAGTCATTGGCGACTGCAATCGAGATGTTTTGACCTTTCGCGAGCTTGGTATTCTTGAATTCCGCCTGAGGACCATCCCAGACATTCAAAAAGCTAGTGAAAATGGGCACAGAGATTTGCTTTTCAAGAGCCGTTTCCACAACAATGATGCTCTTCTTTGCCTTTTCAAGAGCAGCCTTACTTTTGTGAACGAGCTCAACGCGGACTGTATACGTGCCCTTGTCAAACTTGTGCTTCTCTGGGTAGGAGTGCCCGAAGAAAACCACATTCTTCTTGTCATCGTAAACGGCGAAGAGGTTGGAGTAGAAGGGAGATTCGTACAAGAGGCCACTCACAGGAAGGATGAATTGACTTTCAGAGTCGCGGCTTATCGAGACAGAGTACTGGAGCGTCAGGCTGAAAAGCTTGGATGCATCCTCAAGCAAGTCGCGTTCGCCAAGAGGTGCAATTGCAGCGTCGGATGGTCTGAGATGCTTGCGAATCATGCTGAGCCTAACGGCTGGCTTGAGTTGTTCAATGCCAAGGTTTGACATGGCTTGAATTTGCTTATACCCAGATCCGCCATTGATGCTCAACTCATCGCCATAGCTGCCTTGCAAGCCAGAGAACTCGAGTGTAATCTTAAGTTGCGCTGGACGATCAGCAATGGAGCTCCAAAACTGGGCAAAGCAAAATTCGGCAGTACCTTGCACCAAGCCGACAGTCTTGGTATTGTCTGCAGTCTGCGCTGAATCTGTTAGATTTTGCACAAATTGGCTTGATGTATATGTCCTTCGTTTGTTGTGCTGGAACTGAGTAATGGCCGTCCAGAGCTGGACGGGTGTGCTGATGTCTGTGGTGGCGACGGAGACTTTGACTGCAGTCACGCCTGCCGGAATGGCCAAAAAGTGGCGATCAATGGTTCCGCTCTCGACGGACGACTCCAATACCATTTTGCGTTGAATGGCTTCTGGCTTGATGACTGTGATGGGGATGCTGAAGAGCACCTTGTCCTCCCAAATGGCATCAACGGACGTTACATGCAAGCCAGTGCCCAACTTTTGAGGATTGACCTTAACCTGCAGTGGACGTCCAGCATAGGCCATGTGCATTGTCTTGGCAGTCTCAACCCAAGGAGCAGCACATTGCAGAGTGAGAAATGTCTCAAAGTCAAACTTCTCGCGCGTAGCGGTCTCTCGAATAAACGGTTTGATGTCAACCTGGTAAATGCGAGGCGCATGCACGTCCTCGGTGTTGCGCATCAAGATGCCTCGATTGCCGTCCACTTGGATGTCAAAGTATGTTTCATCGGTACCATTCACTTTAAGGTCTTCGTAGGCAGCCTGTACGTCGAGCAATCCAACCTTGAATTCGTCAGACACATCCACAGCGGTCCGTTCAAGAGCACGCTTGATGCTTGCCGGCGTCGCAACAAGCTTCTCTTGCTTCAGACCGGAAAGCAAAAGTGCAATTGCTCCAGCACAATGCGGGCTGCTCATTGACGTGCCATTGTATTGGGCTGCCCGGCTCAGGGTGTACGGTGGGATACACGTTGTAGCGCCGCCAGGAGCATACACGGTCACTCCCTTATCGCCATCTGGACTTGGTCCACGTGAAGACCAGGTGAAGGCCAGATCTCCCTCTTCTTTGCGGAGTGCGTACTGCGCCAGTGCCATTTCGCGTGAAACGTATGCGCCAACAGAAATGACGGAGGATGTCATACCGCCTGGACAGCCGACAGTAGACACGCCTGGTCCATTATTGCCTGCAGAGATGACGCAAGTGATGCCATGCTTGCGAATCACAATGTCGCGCAAATACTGCATGGCTGGTCCATCATTGGAAAGATGAGAGTCTTCGCCATAGGACATATTGATGATGTCTACTTTCTGCCGGATGGCTTCATTCATGGCCCGCATAAAGGACTGTGATGTCTCAATGGAACCGAGGCGGCTGTCGCCAATTTTGAGAGAGATGAGCTGTGCGCCAGGGGCCACGCCATTGAGCAACGGATCCGAGTGATGGGCTGCAACAATGCCAGCAACGTGTGTCCCGTGAGAGCCTGCATTGCACACGACAGATAGGATGTCGTCATCGTAAAAGTTGAAGGAATATGACATGAGCGAGGCGTCACTGAATGTGGACCATTGCTGAGAGTGCTTGTATGCATTCATTGGCTTGCTGTTGCTGAAGTCGCCTTGTTCCAATGTATCGACAGCAGCCCACGGAAGTCCGTCTTTCGGTTTGAAGACGACGATATCGTAGAGTGGTCCGGGGTCCTTGTAGCCGTCCAGTAAACCCTTGAGTGCTTTCTCCAAAGCTTCCTTGTCTTTTTTGGTCGATTCTGAGCGAAGAGCAAGCGCTTCACATTCGCTGTGTTTGTGCAGAAAGGCACGCTTGCGCTCATCTGTGATGCGCTTGACGAGCTCAGACGGCCACAACTCGTACACGCGCTTCATACCCAGTTGCCATGTTCCTTGGCCTTTCACAAACGTAGATGGTATAGTCAGCTTGCGCCCAGATAGTCCAGTGAACTGAAAGGAGTCCGACGTCTGTTGGACATCGGCATCAGCGACTGTAGTCAATCTGACGTCGCCTGAACCACTGCAGTCGACCAGGTCAAGAATTTTGGGTGCGCCAGACGGTGTTCTGGCAAGACCTACAGCGCCTGGATCTATCCCCGTATCGAGTACAGCCACCCTGACGCCGCGCCCATCGTAATCAGGGTTGGCAGCAAGAAATGCGTCTACTTTAGTTTCGCGCTTTGGCTGGAGCGAAGCGATTGGATTTCTGAGGACCATTGTGCTACAAGAACGAAGGAATCGTTGCATGCACTGACTAGGGTATACAAGCTCCTGAAGCTCTATCTACGCACTGCCTCAGTCCTCGCAGTTGGTTCTGTGGTGTCGTCGGCGTCTCGCTGTTCAGATGAAATTCGACGCGAAAGTTTAAGACGCGACCAAAACACCAGACAATTGACAAGATCATCTGCAAGAGCTTGGAGGATGGCCTGTCTCGAGGGAGTGCGTGTTATTGTGGATGGAGATGCACTTGACGTGTCGGTGCTCAGGGAAGCGCAGGCGAACGAGGTCGAAGCGCACGACCTGCAGGACCAACCGAATCCCGTCTACCTCATCACAAAGGACTTTCACTCGCCGCTCTCGTTGACGTGTCAGCAGCTCTCACACGTACATCTCGTGACGCCAAACTGGGTCACCTTCTCCATCACTAGAAAACGACTGCAGGATCCAAAGTTGTTTTCGCCAGATCCGCGCCAATTCTTCACGGGAGTGGTCATCTGCTGTTCAGAGCTGTCTACAGGCGACAAGGAGGCTATCTATGGCGGTGTCTCTGCCCTGGGCGGGTCATATTGCGAGCATCTGACTAAATCAGTCACTCACATGGCAGCCTTGACTTTGAACAGCGAGAAGTGCCAGGAGGCGCTCAATGCAAAGGTGGACGTTGTTTTGCCACACTGGATTGATGACTGTTTGCGTCTGCGACGACGCGTTCCCTCAGAGCCCTATGCCTTTCCGGATCCCAAGATTCTAAAGACGAATCTGAATGACGAATTGCCACGCGCTACACAGGATAATTTCACTCATCTCAAGGACTACTCCTTTGCGCTGGATCCCGCTAGTTTGCCAGCGGAAGAGGACGTCTTTGCAGGACGGAGTATCTATTTGGCAGACGATCTTGAGCTGAGCGATCGACTACAAACAACCATCGCCACCGTCATTGCCAATGCGAATGGCAAAGTTGCAGCAACACCACAAAATTGCGACATTTACATCGGCCGTCTGCGTGAAGGCAGTGCATACAAGTACGCTGCAGCTAATAACCGCATTGTCGGCAATTGGGCATGGTTGTACTATTGTCTTGCGCATGGCAAGTTTAGCTCACCCATGAAGCATCTCCTGCATTATCCAGTGCCCACGAGCGGCTTACCTGAATTTGCAGACCGTATCTTCACCATTTCAAACTATACAGGGTATGCAAGGACGTTTCTCGAGCAGCTCATCATTCGCCTGGGCGGGCGCTATACGCGTAGTATGAAGCCGGATCACACGCACCTCATCACTGCCATTGAGTCTGGTGAAAAGTACAATACCGCCAAGCAGTGGAACATCGAGTGCGCTAATCATTTGTGGTTGGAGGACTGTTATGCAAAATGGCAAGCACTGCCGTGTACCCTCAAATCTTATCAATACTGGCCGCGCGAGATTCACCTGATGGATGTGGTGGGTAGCACACCACTTGAGATGGAAGGCATCTTGCCCTTTTTTGAGGATGAAATTCAGCAAGCATCTGAATTGGTCATGCCGAGCTCAAAGACGCTCGATGCAGAGGAGAGTCCTGTCTTGCGTCAAATGCAAGCCAACACACCGAACCGCGCTCAGCTGTCACCACCAGCATCACGCCACTCTACCGCACGCAAGGCAAGTACTGCAGCAGCGACCAAGTTGCGTGACAGCATGCAGGATGCCAACAAGCATGCTCTTGAGCTGAAGCGCAAACACCCAGACTCGGCGACACCCCGTAAGAGTGTGAAGCTGACGAGCAAGCGTCTACTACTGACGGGTTGTCCTGAAATGTCTGCTGCAACCGAAGCAACTTTGACGGAGATGGGTGTTGTGATTGTCGAGCATGTCAAAGATGCAACGCACCTGGTGGCACCACGACTTGCACGAACAAAGAAGTTTGTTACTGCCATGCCTATTGCACATAAACTCAAGTTTGTGAATTGGGATTGGGTCATGGATGGTGTCAAGACGCACAAGCTTGCGAAAGAACAATTATACCCCATGGCTATCCCAGAAGATCAAGCGTGGGCTGAAGACTTTTCTGTTGCAAGTGTTCAAGCAGCTGCAAAGCGTCTTCAGGATGCGGATGGTCTCTTTGCCGGGCGGCTGGTGCACATTTCCGATGCTGCCGCCAATCTTGGGGGCTTTGGGACGTATCGCGAGATCATTGCAGCAAATGGCGGACAGTGCACATTGTTTGGCAAGCGGCACGAGTTTCAGAGCGACAAGCAGGTGATGATTGTGCTGGATGAGAAAGATGCAGCGCTGGCCAAGTGGCGGCGGGAGCGTAGGAAGAGTGGGCCAGGGGTCAGTTGGCAATGCTTCGACCGGGAGTGGCTTATGCAGAGCGCGATGCGTCAGGAATGGATGAGTGAGAGGGAGCTCAAGTAGTCGAGTAGTTGCATATAAGTGTATAAGCGTTCAAATTGAATTTTGTGACTGTCTATTTTACAATCTTTGCAATTTGCGAAATAAACGACCGACGCGAGCCGAATGAAAACCGTCGATGTAGTATAGTGGTTAGTACTTCCGCTTGTGGCGCGGACGACTCGTGTTCGATTCACGACATCGACATTTTTCGATTGACCACTTTTATTTTTGTCTTATGTATATCCATAAAACCGCTAGTATAGCTCATCATGCCTTCATAGGCCTCTATGGACTTGTCGACATCGATTATCAGAGCATGCCAGCGCCATCATCGCAGGGCAGAAACCATGTCGTCGTCTCCCATCTGATGTCTGCGACTCTTTCATGACGCGTCGCCAAACCAAAAGACAAAGACAAACCAGATCCAACGCAATGCCGACCGCTGCTGTAGACGAGAATAGTCTGCCGGCCATCCCAGATCTTAGACTAGCAACATGCATCCATCACCTCAGCACAGAACATCTCGCACCACTGCATGAAGCCGCCAACAAGCAGCTGCAAGACGCGATTGCTGCTGAAGACGCAGCACCCCTCTACAAGCACGTCTACCAGGAACTGAGCCTACCCGGCCTCGGTGGCAAGTTTGATCAATCTACATATGATGCCATGGCGGAAAAGAATAAGGCCAAACTCGCTGAATTCGACGAGGCCTACCAAAAATGCAAAGAGGAAGAAGGCGATATGGAGATGTTGGCGGTGCTGAGGAACAAGGCGGAGTATCTGGCCAAGATTTGTGATCATACAGCTGCAAAGGAAGCATACAAGGAAGTCTATGCACAAACAGCGACGGCCGGCAGCAAGATTGACTTGTGCTTTGCTCGACTGCGTCTGTCGCTCTTCTTTAACGATGTTCAAACAACGACCTCAGTCTTAGCAGAGACGGCAACACTCATTGAAAAGGGCGGAGATTGGGACCGTCGCAACCGGCTCAAGGCGTATCGCGGCGTGTTTGAGCTTTCTCGGCGCCAATTCTCAGAAGCAGCGGGTGTGTTGCTCGATACCCTCAGCACATTCACCTCAACTGAGCTCTGCAGCTATGCGGATGTCGTGCGTTATGCCTTGACGGCTGGATTGATTGCTCTACCACGCACGGAGATCAAGTCTAAAATCATGGATGCACCTGAAGTGCTTGCTCTGCAGGCAGACATGCCAGACTTGGTCTCGTGCGTCAACAGCTTGTATCTGTGCGACTACAAGACCTTCTTTACAGCGCTTGGGAGTGTGCAGCAAAGCATGCTTGCAGACCGCTACCTGTGTGCGCACGCTCAGTTTTATGTGCTCGCCCTCCGCATCAAGGCCTACAACCAGCTCCTCTCCTCCTACTCGAGCCTTTCCCTCACAAGCATGGCTTCTTCCTTTGGCGTGTCTGTTGAATGGCTCGATGCCGACCTCGCGCGCTTCATTCGAGCGGGTAAGATCCAAGCGGTGATTGATAGGGTGAATGGGATTGTTGAGACGCGCAGCGGTCAAGCAGGTGGTAAATCAGTCTTGTATGAGCAAGTCATTCGCGAGGGGGACAAGCTCCTCAACAAGTTGCAGAAGCATCAAAATGCATTGGTGTTGTAGTCTACTTGCGTTTCTTGTAGCCAACACGGCGTGGCTTTGCCTCTGCTTCATCAAAGGAAAACACCACCTTGCGCATACTGTGATCAGACGAGATTTCTTGTGTTTCAGGAACGACGTCGCGTGGCTTTTTGGCTTGCTTGTCTCGTGCTTCAAGCTCCTTCGTGAGCTTGGCGAGCCGTGTTTCATGCTGCTTGGCAAGGTTCTCAAGGGCCATCAAATCATGCTCCTTGCTTTGTATCACAGCCTCCTTGTGTTGTAGTGACTTTTCCAGCTTGTCTATCGTCAAATCTGTTTGCTTGATGTGATTCTCCAAACGCATCACTTCCACATCACGCGCATGCTGCCAGATTTCTTTTTCTTGCGTCAGTCGAAGCTGCTGCTCTTGTTGTAGCTGTTGTACTTGCTCCTGCAGAGCAGATACTTCTTTATTGAGCTGTGCAGATTGCTCTTGAAATGCTTTTGCTTGTTGTGCAAGCTGCTCTGCTGCCAACTGCTCTTGTTGCTTGAGCTGCTCATTTGCTCGAGCAAGCGCATCCGTGTGCATCTGAATCTGCCGTGCAAAGTCTTTCTCATTGGCATGTTGCTGTGCTTGCATCGCTTGACCTTCTTGCAGGGCTGCAAGAGCAGTCATGACACTGTCTGCCTCAAATATACTCGCATTCTTTTGAGCAAGGACACGGCTATGCTCTTCCTCGCGGTCCATCAACTTTTGCTGTAGTTGTGCGTACTTGTCAGAAAGGAGAGCAGCTGCAGCCTGCTCCGCTTGGAGATGATGTACATGCTCGTCTCGTATTGTCTGGAGTTGATTCAGCTCATCCGCTTGCTGGCGGACTGTCTGTAATGCCTCGCGCAGGGTTCGCTGCTGCAGCTCAGCTTGGTGTTGAGTAGCATGCAAGCACGTTGATGCTTGGGTCAGCTCACTTCGCAACGTCACCACATTTTCTCGCAGCTGTATCGTTTCTTCCTTTTGCTGCGTCAATTGTGCATGTAATGCCTGCAACAGACTTGGATCCAATGATGCAGACAGCTGTGCAAGACGTTCCTTCAAATGCTTGACCACCTCTTGTCCCGCGCCTGCCTTGTTTTGAAGCACGACGACCTGTTCCTGTAGCGATGCTTTGTCTTTAGTTGATTCAAGGAGCTGTGCTCGTACACCCGCCAATTCTAGCCTTCCTGCCTCTTGCATAGCCACCTGCATCGACAAGGTTGTCTGGAGACGTGTATTCTCTTCCCGTAGCGTGCGCATCTCTTGAATCACAATTGTCTCTGGACACTCACGCTTCTTGGTGCGTTTATGGGAGGTTGGCGTCATGGGCACGGCGGAGTATGTGCGTTTGGGCGGTGATTGAGGTGTTGCAAGCGATGCAGCTGGTGTTGTATCCTGCCAGGCATCTGTGCGCCATGCATCGTCTGGCTGGGTGTGCTGTGATGCTGGACGCTGTACAGAGGCAGGCGTAACGGCGCGCTTGAGGGGCACTGCCGTCGGTGCAGGAAGAGAGTGTCCTGGTTCTGCCGTCTTGGCACGGACACGAGCAGGTGCGGTGTTGAGCGATGCGTCAGCGAGTGGTATCTTGAGACTGGAGGCAGTTGGTGCTGTAGTAGACGGTGGAGGTATAGGAGGTATAGGAGGAGACGCGCTGGATTGGAGCTGCTTGGACTTGAGCGCAGTGAGTAGGGGACGTAGAGGTCTGTCCTGGCGCTTGCCCCAGACGGGGGGAGTATCCATGGAGTTGAGAGCAGAGCAGAGTAGAGAGCTAGGTAGTATCTGAGTAGTAGCTAGGTAGATGAGTAGTAGAGTAGCTGGTCGTCTATGTCTGGAGCAGCAGCAGGGAAGTATTCAGTGGTCAGTAGCTAGTCAAGTAGTAGTTGTAGCTAGTCAGCGTTGTAGTAGCTAGTCAGCATCCATAGCTGGTCAGTAGCATAGTAGGAGCTCGCAGAGTCAGGAGCATAGTACTCAAGTACCCAGATCATCAGTAGCCATAGACCATCCCAGTAGCCCATAGACCATCCCCGGTACCCATATCCAGTACCCAAAGACCATATTCAGTACCTAGTACACGTAGCCAGTGAACATAGCATCATCCCCGTAATACGCCGAGTGCCGGCTGAGCGTGCGACTGAAGCTCAACCCCAACCACGACTCGACTCGATCAACCAGACCACGGCACAAGCTCAGACACTTCCTAGTCTACAATCAAACCAACCTCGTACAGCCATGGGACTCATTGAACACCTCGGAGGCAAGACCGGCGTCATTGTCGGCGATGACGTCCTCAAGACATTCGAGTACGCTCGCGAGCACAAGTTTGCCATCCCCGCCATCAATGTCACTTCCTCCTCTACTGTCGTTGCTGCCCTCGAAGCTGCACGCGATGCAAAGTCTGCCATCATCCTGCAGGTCTCGCAGGGTGGTGCTGCCTACTTTGCCGGTAAGGGAGTCGACAACAAGGACCAAAAGGCATCCATTGCCGGTGCTGTGGCTGCTGCACACTACGTCCGTCAATTGGCACCTGCCTATGGCATCCCCGTCATTATGCACTCCGACCACTGTGCCAAGAAGCTGCTTCCATGGCTCGATGGCATGATCGATGCCGATGAAGCCTACTTCAAGCAGACTGGCGAGCCCCTCTTCTCCTCCCACATGATTGACTTGTCTGAGGAGTCCAAGGAGGACAACATTGCCGCTACCAAGAAGTACCTCGAGCGTGTGACACCCATGAAGCAGTGGCTCGAGATGGAGATCGGTATCACTGGTGGTGAAGAGGATGGTGTCAACAATGAAGATGTCGACAACAACGCCTTGTACACACAACCCGAGGACATTTGGGAGATTTACCAGGCACTCTCGTCTGTGTCCCCATACTTCTCCATTGCCGCTGGCTTTGGCAACGTTCACGGCGTCTACAAGCCCGGTAACGTCAAGCTCCGACCTGAACTGCTCGGCAAGCACAACGACTTTGTTGCTCAGCAACTCAAGCAGTCTGCCGGTAGCAAGCCCGTCTTCTTTGTCTTCCACGGTGGATCTGGCTCAGATGTGTCTGACTTTAGGACTGCCATTGACAATGCCGTTGTCAAGGTCAATGTGGACACTGACTGTCAATTTGCCTACACCATTGGTATTCGTGACTACATGCTCAAGAAGAAGGACTACCTCATGACGCAGGTCGGTAACCCAGACTCTCCCGACAAGCCAAACAAGTCACACTACGACCCTCGAAAGTGGGTGCGTGAAGGTGAGGTGACAATGAGCAAGCGCGTGACGGTGGCTCTTGAAGACTTCCGTGCCGCTGGTACGCTTTAATTGATTACGTATAGCTTTACTCTCGAGAGTGAAACAAGGCAAGCAACTCATCCATGCCCAGCCTTGACATCTTGCCACCTTCTCCCAGGGCACTCTTTGCCATTTCCCGTTTCTTATCCTGTAAGGCAATGATGCGATCCTCTACCGTATCTCGGACTGTGAGTTTAAAGACCTTGACTTCCTGTTGTTGTCCAATACGATGCACCCGATCAATTGCTTGTTCTTCAATGGCCGGATTCCACCATACATCCAGCATAAACACGAGATTTGCAACAGTCAGATTGAGACCGAGCGCGCCTGCTTTGAGGGAGCACAACAAGACACGACACGTTGGGTCTGCTTTGAGTGTAGCAAGCGATGCTTCACGCTTCTTGTTGGGCATACTGCCGTAGTACTTGACATAACCAATACCATTTGCTTCAAGAAATGGCGCACACAAGTCAAGCATGCTTGTCCACTGAGAAAACAAGATGGCCTTACCCTTATGCATGGCCAGCAGTTGCATGAGCTTCGCAAGTTTGCAGGAAAGGGAGAGATGGCCTTGTATGGCTGCTGCACAGGCATCGCAATGCTCACCTGAACAAGTTGCAAGACAAATGGCACATTGACGCGATGACATGCCGACCCCGGAGAAGAGATTCGCAAGGGCATCGACGGCATTGTCGGGTTCAGACTTGGCAGCAACGCGATACTCGGAAACATCCAATTCCTTGGTGACGAGCTGCGCATGGTTACATGCTTGTCGAAGGCGTTGTAGCAAAACGAGAACAGACATATAGCCAATCGCTTCCCCACTACTTTGCATACGCTTCAAGGCTGCCTCTGCACGATTCTCAAGACCATTATAAAAGTGTCGCTCAGCAGGGGAAAAGTCCACTTGAATGTGCTGCACGGTCCGTGGCGGCAGGGCAAAGCCATCCTTCAAGACCGCTTTCGTTCGACGAAGCATGATTTGTGACAGGACAACACCGAGTCGCTGCATGGCCAATTTGGTCTTGCCTCTCGCGACGGGCGCAGAGACCTTTTCCTTGAAGGTGGGATAGTCATTGAGGGGTGGTATCTGCAGAAATTTGAGCAATGAGAAGAGATCCTCTGCCGTATTTTGGATCGGTGTTCCCGTCAAGCACCATCGTTTGATGGCACGTAGCTTGTATGCAGCTTGCGACATTTTGGCTTGTCGATTCTTGATGGTATGCGCTTCATCCAGCACGATGCGATACCAAGTCACACCAAAGATGCCACGGTCATTGTCAATCTCGAGATCCGGGTTGGGCGTGGCGTGTTCACTCACCAAGAGCTGGTAGGTGGTGAGAACGACATTGTAATTAGCGAATTGCCGCGGCTCTTTGCGTGTTGGGCCATGATGAACATAGACTGACATGTTGGTCTTGCTGCGAATCTCGTTGGCCCATTGTTCCATGAGCGAGAGGGGTGCAACGACGAGCGTAGAAGGGATGCACGCTTCGTCTTGCTTGCGATTGGAGAGCAGCAGCGCCATTGTCTGTACCGTCTTGCCGAGACCCATATCATCGGCTAGCAGACCACCAGCAGCTTTGGCCTCTCTTTGCATCAAAAAGGTGAGGCCCTCGATTTGATGTGGCAAAAGGCGACAGACCAATCCCTTGACGGTGCCTTCCTCTTCTGTGGTCGTGGCTTTGGATGGACTCGCCACGACAGAGAAGCCCTGATCTAGGAATTCTTTGAGCTCTTGGGCTGTCTTTGCGGGATCACTTGACTCGCTGGACGCATTGTGCATTGGAAAGCGACTAGAGAGCTCAAACATGGGATTCCGCTCAACCTTTGGCTTGACGTCCTTGTCCTTTTTGAATACTGGTATCGCCTTTCGTCCACCTGCTTCTCTATCCGCCGGCGTCTCTCCAACACGCGGTACACGGATAGGCACGGCTGCTGGCTTCGAATCAGTCACCTTCTTTTTGAACGATGGCAAGGGCCCAGAGACACTGCGAGGACCAGGAAGGACATCGATGGGCGGGAAACTAGAGGGACTCGGGCCTGACGTAGGTTTCACCTTGTCTATTGTATTCACCGGCGCATGACCCGCGCGAAACGGTTTACGCTGAATAAAGATGCTTGGATTGGTGGATGATTTTGGTGGTTGAGAGATGCGTGTCAGCGGAGGAAGGCTGCCTGGTATATTGAGCGTTGATTTGAGCGGCGATGGCTTGCCAAACTGGATCTTGTCTGCATCCTGCTTGTCCATCGAGGCATTTGGTAGCGCGGTCAGTTCGTCGCGTCGGGTTGAAAGTGTAAAAGTGTTTTGTTTTTGTCGCAACTGCAACCAGCTCAAGTTACTGCTCTACCAGACTACTGACAATCTTCAAGCTTGGCCTGCTGTAGTATACTGGTCTGTGGCACTGGGCTATCTTCTCGCTGTACTCACACGCTCATGTCATCTATGACTTCTTCATTGTTAATGTGTATTTTAGCAAGACGCACTCGATGGATATTCAGGGCCGAAAGTGAGAGGAAGATAGACTAGACTGCTAGATAAAGTGTCTCTACTTCGACGACAAGGCATCCACGCCTGGCAAGACTTTGCCCTCGAGCAACTCGAGCGAGGCACCACCACCCGTCGACACATGCGAGAGCTCGTCCTCCCTGCCAAACTGTTTTGCAACGGTTGCTGTATCACCACCACCGATAATCACAGTGTTGCCCTTCTTTGCCGACTGGCAGCACTCCTCAAGCAATGCCTTTGTACCTTTGGCAAAGTTCTCAAACTCAAACACACCGGCTGGACCATTCCACAAGATGGTCTTGGCCTTTTGTACGGCAGCGGCAAACAACTCTGCAGACTTGTCGCCTGCGTCGAGACCCATGAGACCATCCTTGATGCCTTCACTGTCGGTCGCATACCCAACTTGGGCATCCTTGGCAAACTTGTCGGCCGTGACGAAATCCGTTGGCAAGACAATCTCGACATTGTTTTGCTTTGCCTTTGCCATGAGATCCTTGACTTGCTTTGCACCGTCCTCGTCATAGAGCGAGTTGCCAATCTTCATATCCTCGAGTACCTTTTTAAAGGTGAAGGCCATACCGCCGCAGATAATGAGGGAGTTGACTTTTGTCAAGAGGTTGTCAATGAGCTGGATCTTGTCGCTGACCTTGGCACCACCCAAGATGGCCAAGAAGGGACGCTGTGGGCTTTCGAGGGCTTTTGCAAAGAATTCGAGCTCCTTGGCCATAAGAAAGCCTGCTGCCTTTTGTGGCAAGTCGACACCAACCATGGAGGAGTGTGCACGGTGAGCAGTACCAAAGGCATCGTTGACGTACACATCACCGAGCTTGGTGAGAGACTTGCGGAAGGCATCAACATCTTCCTTGCTGGCTTTTTGCTTCTTGCCATCAGCATCCTTGGAGGAACCTTCTTCCTCGGCGTGATAACGCAGATTCTCCAGCAGAATCACTTGTCCACCGGAAGCCTTGGCACAGGCCTCTTCGACATCCTTGCCAACGCAGTCATCCAAAAAGGTAACATCCTTTTTGAGGAGAGAGCTCAACTCCTGCTGAACAGGCTTGAGGGAGTACTTCTCCACACGCTGTCCATTGGGACGTCCGAGATGAGACATGAGAATGACGGCAGCGGCTCCCTGGTCGAGGGCATGCTTGATGGTTGGCACGGCACCGACGACGCGCTGGTTGTTGGTGATGCGTGTTCCGTCGAGGGGCACATTGAAATCGACGCGGATGAGGACACGCTTGCCCTTGAGATCGAGATCAGTGATGCTAAGCTTGGAGGAGAGCGACATGTTTTCGGGGGAGTAGTTGTCAGTTGGTGGGCGGTTGAGGTTGAATTTGGACGACGACTCAAGAGCCACGCAACTCCCTGCTACCACCACATTCAGGCCATTTCTTACTGGCAAGATGTCCAAGGAAGCCCCAGTCACCGTGGATGACGAGTTTGAAGACTTCCCTCATGAAGGTATTGCTTTACTAGAAAAAAGAAACGCGCTAATCGCAGATTGGGACGATGCAGAGGCGAATCTCGGCGTAGACAAAGTATGGCAGGATACGTGGGACGATGATGATGTGCAGGATGACTTTTCCAAGCAGCTGAAGCAAGAGCTTGCCAAGCAGGATGGAACCACAGACACAGCCATGAAGCAATGAGCTATGACAAATGTATATGACTACAGGAGATGCGCATACTCTTCCGCACTTGCAAATGCCGGCAACTTGACCTTTTTCTTCTTCTTCTCCGACTTCTCATCGTCTGTCGCCTTGCGCTTCTTGTTGTCCTCTTCAGAGGCTTCGGAAGCTTCTTCGTCAGACGGTAGCAGGTCGTCCATGTCTTCCAGGAATGCACTGTCGCTTCCTTCTTCCTCTCCTTCATCGTCTTCTTCATCTGCTTCTTCATCTTCGTCCTCCTCGCTGAGATCAGACAGGCCCTCAAAGTCATCCAAATCCACGTCCGACTCATCCGGTGCTTCCACATCCGGCCGTGACTTGACAAGTGCACTCCACACCTCATCCTCTTCCTCCTCTGCATCCGCCGCATGCTTTGCTTTCGGTTGCCGGACCTTGTCATTAAAGTACTTGTGGAAGAAGACCTCATCCGCAGCCACCTTCTTCACCGATTGTCGCCAAAAGGCTTCCGTATTGACGGGCTCTTGCGTCTGTGCAGATCGTGCCTGGCTGGAAATCGTACGTAGTGTATCGGATGCCATGGGCTGCATGATACTACCACCTTTGGTCGTCGCCTTTGTCTTTGCATTGCGATACACGAACCTGTCCAAAAAGTGTGTGAGTGTATGCAGCGTCAAGTCTGGCTTGGATGGCATCGGGTCTTGCTGTACGAGACAGCGTGCAAAGAGACACACAGATGGATGGAAGTGTGTCAGGAATGGAAGGAGTTCCCACAGCTTACTGCCACCTGCTTGACAGAATCGAGGATCACGGCCACGGCCATCATACCCGGCTTCCTCTGTGCCTTCTGCATACAACTGCCGTAGACCAGGAACACTGCGTTCTAGCTCGCCGAGTAGGTAAAACAAGGCACAGATGAATGGTGGCTGATGCAGTACACACGACTGAACAAGTCTCTTGGCAAATGCTGCGCATTTCGCTGCATCAGCGCCTCGTAGTGCTTTAAACAGCAAATTGAGGTAGAGTGCCTGCTTGCTGGATGTCAATAATCGTGGATCACTAATGCTCTCATACAACGTTCTGTAGAAGCGATCCACATTCTGCTGCTTTGCCGTTGGCGTGGTGGAGACTTGCAGCAGCAATATCAATGCCTGGATGGAGGTATTGAAGTTGCTAGCATGCGTGATGCGGTAGAGGATATCGAGATTCTCCTCAAACACACTCTCTGGCAAATCGGCAAAGGGGAACGCTCGATTCACCCCAGTCAAGACGGCTGAAATCATTTTTTGGTTGAGTTCATCTTGTAGGACATCTGCCTGTTCAGCCTCCTTCTCCCGCTTCACCTGCTTGCGATTCTTCTTTGCCTCTTGCTCATCTGACTTTGCTGTTTCCTTGTGCTGGATGAGTTTTGCAAAGCATTGAAAGTAGAGCTGCACAAGTGAATTAGCAACAGCCGTTTCCTTTTGTGAAAGGATCGTTTGATTCATGGTGATGACGGTGTAGTATTGTGCCATGGGTGGCATGCCAGGTTTGAACAAGGCCTGCTCGAGTGCAGCAACAATAATGCCCTTCATGGCAGGATGCGCTTGTTGAAGCTGTAGCAGAAAGTGAGAGCACTTGGAGGCAATCTTCTTATCGCGATCGCCGAGCTTGTTGACAAGCAATCGTAGCAAGTTTGCCTCTTGCTCTGGTTTATCCTTGAGTAACTCGTAAAAGTAGCGAACCATGTGATTGCGTGGGAATGGCAAAGAGTCAAGACTGAGTTGCTCCATGAGGCCAAGGAGTTCAAAGTAGAAGCGTTTGAGATAGTCTTCAAAGGCAAATAGAACGAGGTGCGCATCTGTGATTTCGGGGCTCGTGACGGGCATGTCTTTGAAGAATCGTAGCTTGCGGTCTGGAAGGACACTGCCTTGCAACAAATCCTTGACGGCCGCAATACTCGAGACTGCTTCATTCCTTGACTTCTTTTTGCACATGGCAAGCAGTGTATCCATGCTTTTGACTGCATGAAGCGGTGACTCCTGAATCACAAGGGTAATGGCAGAGATACGATCCGTCAATGTACCACTGCGCATGATGGTCGACAAGAATTGACGATCTGAAGACTTGACGTGGTCTGAGGTGGCATACCGTTCTGCTTCCTGTGTGAGCAATTGCTGTGCCTTGGCCAATTGGCGCGATATTTGAAAGTCGGCAGGCGTCTCTGCTGGTGGAGTAAGTGGAGCAAGGGGTATCGCGTGCCAAAGGGCTGTAGGCTCAATGAGCAGGCCGTCTGTTCGTGGTGCTTCTTGCACAATGACTTCTGCCTTGCGCTTTTCTTTGACCTTGACTGGCGCAGCCTCTTCTTCCTCGTCATTATCGTCTGAAGCAGCATCATCGTCGACAGTGACTTGATCCACATTGCCATTCAATCCAAGCTCTTTGGCCAGTTTCGCCAAATCTCTTTGCAGATGCAGATCCTCGGGCTTCTTGGCCTTCTTCTCTGCCCTCTCTACAGGTGCAGCTTCGTCTGCATCACTGTCGAGACCCGCAACCAGCGCCAGATCGGCCTCATCGCCGCCCAAATCTCGAATATCCCGCAGGAGCTGTTCCTGCTTGTCTGCCCTTGATTTTTCCTGCTTGAATGATTTGTTCCGCCGCCGCTCTTGCTTCTTGTAGTCTGACATGGTCTCTGTACCTGGGCCTCTCTCCCCCTCGTCTCCAGCTGGTCTCTTGTATGCGGTGTCGCTCTTTCTCGTTTGATTTTAAATTTTGGATTTCACACGGCGACTGCACTGTCATCACTGCTGCTACGAGTAACTAACTGGTGACTATTAGCTATTACTGAGATAAGAGGACATGGCAAGCATCCTCTCACCCTTCCTCGCATCTCTCGCCGATAATATCCGCGCGCGCCCCATTCCCTGGCAGGGATACCAGCGCGCAGGCCTCATCACAGATGAACAGGTCGAGCGCATCAAGGCCATTGACAAGCAGCCTCTTGCCAAAAAGCGTGAACTGCTCGAGAAGGAATCTCGAGAGTATGCACAGCTGCTCATGAAGCTCGTGCGGGAAATGAAGCGCGTGGATATCTTGCAGTATACGCTCGTGCTGTTGTCAGACCTTGCACAGTCATCAGAGGTGCTGAGTGAAGCGCTTGCACAAGAAGATACAGCGGCGCTTGTTGCGCTACTAGATCATGAGGATGAGCAGATCCCGTTGCTTGCTGCACAGGCACTCAATTGCATCCCTACGCCCTTGTCTACGGATGCACAAGCGCCCTTCTTTGCGTGGTTCAAGCAGCAAGCCGCCAAGCGTGATCACCCAGACTTGCAATCAGTCGGTGTGCAGGGACTAGCCAATGTTTTGCGGACAAGTAATGTACGTGCTGCCTTTTACAAGGACAAGGAGAATGCGCAGCAGCTTGTTGCATTGCTCACAAGCAATGGCGGTATTCAACTCACCTACAATGTTCTGCTCGTCTTTTGGCTGCTTTCGTTTGACAAGGAGATTGCTAGCAAGCTGCACGCCGACCTCGAGCTCATCCCGAAATTGGTGCATGTCCTGCGACACAGTATCAAGGAAAAGATATCAAGACTGGCTGTTGGCATTCTTCGCAACATGGCCGCCAATAAAGCGGATCGCCATACCATGATTGCACTCGATCTATTGCCCCTCCTCAAAACACTACACAGTCGCGGGAGCGCTGATCCCGAAATTCAAGCAGACCTCGATGCATTGCTCACATACCTCCAAGACTCACAGGCTGAAATGACATCGCTTGATGCGTACAAGGCAGAACTCGCATCAGGCCAACTCGCCTGGTCGCCCGTTCACCGCAGCGAGACCTTTTGGCGCGATCATGCACGCTTGTTGTTGCAGCATGAAGGAGATTTACTCAAGCAACTTGCACGGATTCTATCTACAGCAACGGACACCGTCTCGCAAGCCGTGGCAGCACACGATGTCGGGTGTTTTGTCAAGGCGAACCCGGAATCTCGCAAGTTGGTGGAACGGCTGGGTGCCAAGACGAAAGTGATGGAGCTGATGGCGAGCAAGGATCCCGAGGTGCGGTTTGAGGCGCTCGGGACTGTGCAGATTCTGCTCTCAAAGGCCTGGGAGAAGTGAGTCTTGTCTCCTAGTTGATGTATAGACCCAAGACGACATGTTGACCAGATCTCTGCTGTGCACTCGAGGCTTCTCGAGCTTCAGCAACTTCAGCAAAGAGACTCGCAAGGTCATCTGTATCGGCCGCAACTACGTGTACGCATAGCAGCTGCTCTGATCCATGTAGAGAAAGCAAGAGCTGACGGCAGAGACCACATCAAAGAGCTTGGCAACACGCAAGGGAAAGAGCCCTTCTTCTTCCTGAAGCCGCCGTCCTCGATCCTCGCACCAGATGAAGGTCCTGTCCAGCTGCCACGCGGTATCCACTCGCACTACGAAGTGGAGCTAGGCCTGGTGATGGGCCGCACGGTACGCGACCTGGACAAGGAGGACCTGGCGGGTGCTCAAGCGAGCATCGCGGGATACTTCTGCGCTATAGACATGACGGGTCGGAACATGCAGGAAGCGTGTAAGCGCAAGGGACTGCCGTGGACGACACCGAAGGGCTTCGATACGTACCTGCCTGTCTCGCGCTTCATTGATGCAGCGCAAATTACAGATCCTGCACGCGTCTTGCTGGAGCTCAAGGTCAATGGCGAGGTGAAGCAGCGGGATTCAACAGAGCTCATGATTTACAATATCCCCAAGATCCTCGCGCACATCTCGAGCATCATGACACTGGAGAAGGGGGATATCGTGCTCACGGGGACACCGAAGGGCGTTGGGAAAGTGGTTGCTGGGGATGTCATGGCGTGTCGGATGGTGGATGAGGTCACAGGCAGAGACATTGCCGGCGCAGAGATCCAGGTGGAGTGTATGGACCGTGATGGAGGATACATCTTCATGGAGTAGCACATCTACGCTTCGTACCACCACTACGACATAGCATGAGAGTCCTCGGATTGGCTGCCAGGCATGGGCAACAGCTCACACGCCGTCGACTGCTCTCATCGGACGCATCGATACCACAACTGAAGAGACGAGGACTGGCGAGTGTCGCAGCGACATGGGTCGGGGTGGTGGGTGCTTCGTCCTATGCCGGCTACACGCTCGCCAAGGCCATTGAACCAGCTCATACCCTTCGCATCAGTGACTTGCCAGCAGCTGCACAGCAAGCACACATCGAGCAAGTCGAGCAGCAGATTGCACGGCATCCCGTCATCCAGCAGCTTCGACAACGCACCGACCTCATCGAGTCTCGACCGCATCTCAAGATTCACGAAGCGGATAGACCGCATAACTTGACGGCAGGGACACTGGCTGGACCTGGGAGAATTACCATTGCACCGCACGTCTTTGGGGACAGGCAAGGGACGGAACTCTATGTTGTGGCACACCTTGGTGCAGACTTGTGTGGGCACGATGGCATCGTCCATGGCGGTCTGCTTGCCACTTTGTTGGATGAGGGACTGGCACGTTGCTGCTTCCCTGCACTGCCAAACAAGATTGGTGTGACGGCCAACTTGAATGTCGACTATCGCAAACCCACCAAGGCCAATCAACTCGTCATGCTCAAGGCAAAGACACTCAAGGTAGAGGGACGCAAAGCATGGGTCGAGGGTAAAATTGTCTCAATGGATGCAGATAAGGAAGGAGATACGCTGGTGCAAGCCAAAGCACTCTTCGTTGAACCGAAATACGCAGCTCTTATGAAACGCGTTGTTCGAACAGATCACTTGGAGTAGGAAACGGCATACCGTGTCAAGCTGCCCCAGGTCTGGCCGCGCTGGACTCGCGTTTGTGATGCCCACGCTGGGAAGCGTGCTGCATCGACGTACCGAGCAGCTTCCAGGCATACACCAGAGCGATTGCCAAAGGTGCGAGGCTCACCTGCCAATTGGACATTTGTGCCGTCTCCCGTGTAGAATTGGAAGGACGGCTCGGTGGTCGACGCAGTCAGCGTGACTCCAGTCTTGTCACTCGAGAGCGTTGCAAACAGAGCAAGCTCGCCTCTGCGTGTATCTGGCAGACTGTTGTTGGAGTCGAGCACAAAGCAATGATCACTCGACCCACCTATGCCTGACTCTGCGCCTAGCGTCACAGCCTTGTCTTGCGCATCTGCAAATAGTGGATGCGATTGGATTTCACCTGTCGGAATCAGCTCGTCGTCCACCGCCATGTACTTGTCCGTAGCCAGCTTGACCTGCATTCCATCAATAGACGGATTGCCTGTAACATTAAAGTAGGAATGGTTTGTCAAGTTGATGAGCGTCTCATCTGCATCCCCAACGAGCACGGCGCTGTACTCGACGTCAAGCGCGATACTGTTCTCGCCAGTCTCGTGAAGTGTATATTTTGCCGTGACTTGGACTGTCCCTGGGAAGCTCGTCTCTTTGTGTGTATCCAGCAGCGTATAGGTCACCACTTGAGCATCGCCGTCCGTAGACACAGCAGCATCAAACAGCTTGAGGTGGTACGACTCTGCGCCGCCGTGCAAGACATTACCGCGTTCATTCGCAGGGATCTTGTACTCTTTGCCATTCAAGGCTAGCAGACCGCCCTGGATACGATTAGCTACGCGGCCGACCGTTGTGCCAAAGTATGGGTTGGACGCATCTCTATAGTGCTCGGGGTTCTTGAAGCCACAAACGACATTGACCTGTGGAGCATGTACAGTATAGCTAACGAGCGTTGCTCCAAGATTACTCAGCTCTACCGTGGCAAGTCCACGCGGCTTCGACTGGATAGTCGTGTACTCTGCCATTGAGCTCGTGTGGTTATGGTACAATCTACATAAACACCTATAGCTTGGCCTTCTTGGCCCTCTTAGCACTCACAGGTACACCGCCAAATATGTCTGCCATCTTTTGCTTGTATTCCTCAGTCAGTTTGAGCGACTCGCGTTTGATGTTGTTGTCCTGCCTCACAAAGGCCGCCCATACCTTTGCCTGAGTATTGAGGAACCCAGAACACGACAAGGCGCAGTTCAGCGGCTGTTCCATGGGGATCAAGTGGCCGGCTCTTGGCATAATATGTTCAATGGAGTGCTTGCACCTCGATGTCTGACCCAGTCTGACTTCGGCAGTCATATCAGGCGAGCGTTCACCATAGATGAACTTGACTGGACACCTGATTTGTGCGAGATTCCTGAATGTGAATGTGGCACAATCCACATCGGCGTCCGTCATATCCAGGTGGTTGCCAGACATCTCGGAGGGTCGTTTTGGGAACCAATGCAAGAAAGTGTAAACTTCCTGTGAGACAAGCGTCGAGAGGCGCACAGGTCCTTCTTCCGCTGCATTATCAGAGACGGCAGATGGCGGTGATACGGGAACCACGCCATACTGCATCCACATCTCAAAGACTTTTGGTTCCCAGCTTTGATAGAAAGGTGACTTGAGAAAGCCTTGACGCGCAGCTTGTCGTGAGGGAAAGTCTTGACGACGACGCGCAGACATGTTGGCAATATTGTTTGGCTTGCCCACCCAGCTACTCTTGTTGGAACCCGCATCAAACAAGATTGGATCCATCAGGACAATCCCTTCGAATAACCGGGGATGGATGACGGCGAGGTATGCAATTTGACAGCCTCCCATAGAGTGACCGATTCCAATCAGCGGGCCGTCGACTTTGAGCGCACGAATCATCTCAAACAGATCGAATGCACCATCATACCAGGTCACGACATCGCCGAGTTTGTCAATGTTGAGGTTGCCAGACATGTTTTGGTGGGCAGCATCCAGGATGTAGACTTGCTTGACTTGCTTGTTTTCCTTGAAGAGGTCTTCAATAAAGGGCTCATAGAGTTCCTTGGGGAAGCCATTGGCGTGTGCCATGATGATGTTGAAGGTGCCTGATGCCGGGAGAATGGCAGAGCGCGAGTAAATATTGCCGCAGCACTGCAGTCTGTCATTTGCCTTGTTGGTGGAGCGTGGATGGCTTCTTGGATGAGAAGCATTGATTGTGAAGATTTCCTTGTGCATCCTGCGAGTTTGCCAGCTACAAGCCTAAGTACTTAGCAGCAAGTATATGTGGTCAGTGGTCTGCTTCTTCAAGTCGTCATGCGGGGCCTCGGTCGGAATTTGCCGAGATTAGATAACAAAAAGTGCAGCAGTCCAGCAGCTGTACCAAGTACAACGCTACTAGAACGCAATGGACAGCCTCTTCTGTTCGTTCGGCATGTTCATTGTCGATCGCATCGTCGAGGAAGACGGCCGTGTTATGGATGACATTCTTGGCGGCGCAGGACTCTACGCAGTGAGCCAACGCTCTACCACGACACGCTGACCTCAGGCTGTCGGCGCACGCGTCTTTGAAGAACCAGGCAGGATTGGTTTCATTGCAGACTATGGCAGTGATATGACACAGGCCATGAAGGAGACCATCCAATCCTTTCAATTTGACTTGCGTGCGCGCGTTAGCTCAGCACGGCTATGCACGCGTGGTCTCAATACATACAGGCAGGGCGTACGAGCATTTGAGTACATGACACCCAAGATTCGCATCATGGTGGATGATCTGGATGATCGGTTAGCAGCCAGTCGCAGCTTCCACCTCATTTGCTCACCAAAACGCTGTGTCGAGCTCGTGGATTCCCTCATCAAACGACGAGAAGCACTGGGTATACACATTGAGCCATGGACTATCTGGGAGCCTGTACCAGATGCTTGCTTCTATACACCATCGCAGCGTGCAGACTTTGACACTGCGATGGACCGCGTGAGTCTCGTGAGTCCTAATGCGCATGAGTTGTGCGGCATACTGGGCGTTGGCCAACCACCTGCTGATGTGCAAGAGCTTCAGCACCTGACACAGCTGACAAGAACGCTCAGCAAGTCTTGCATCAGGCTTGTGGTGCGTGCAGCACATCTAGGAACACTGCACTGTTCACAAGATGGCGAGGTTCACCACACGCATGCATACTTCGCACCTCAGGACGCACCTAAAATTGTGGATACAACAGGGGCTGGCAATATGTTTTGTGGCGCGTTGGCTGTTGCCCTTGCGTTGGATTGCACGCTGGATGAAGCTGTCGTCAGGGGCAACGTCGCTGCCGCTCTGGCCATTGAGCAAACAGGCTTACCTGTGGTGGCAGAGTCAGAAGGTGTGAGTCTATGGAATGGACGTGACGTCCAAACCGCTCTGACAGAGTACAGAGAGCGTATAGCAGCGTAGATAAGCCCAACTATCTCATGTTTCTCCTGATGCACAAAATTTCAAATTCATCTTCAAAAATATCTCCTCAACCCACGACTGCAGCTGCATGGGCTTGGTCGGCCGCTTCCTGAGCCAGCTAGCGTGCTTGCTCTATCTTGTTCTCTGTACTATCGCTCTCTATGGCTATTACTGCACATACTACCGCTACAATCTCAAAGGACGACAGGACTCAGCGGCAACAGAGCTGTTGGATGATGAAGATGCAGACTCTCCCTGTGTCAGCATTCTACGGCCTATGCGGGGTCTTGAGCCACTTCTGGAAGAATGCTTAGCCTCTGTATTCAATCAAAGCTATCCCCTGGATAAGTATGAAGTCATCTTGTCTGCAGCAGAGGAAGAAGATCCAGCTGTGTTGATTGCACGTCGTGTCATGGCAGCTCATCCACATATCCAAAGCACGTTGATCCTTGGCGACTGCCCGGACGTCGGACCTAATCCCAAGATTGCAAACCTCGTTCAGTCTTGGGCAAGGGCAAAATATGAGATTCGGTGGATCTTGGATAGTAATGTGCTTGTACACCCTGGCACTTTGGCTGCTGCTGCACGACACTTCACAATACGCGATAGACCTGTTGTCAATCTCGTTCATCACTTACCTGTGGCTATTGCGCTGCAAGGTGCTGGACTGGGGGCAAAACTCGATGCACTGTACCTCTCAACGCTGCATGCAAAAATGTATGCTTGCATCAACGATATCAGTGTGGCGCCTTGCGTCATGGGTAAGTCCAATCTTATTCGTGCATCTGCACTAGAAGACGGGCAAAACAGTGGTATTGCACGGTTCGCCAAGTATATCGCAGAAGACCATTTGATGGCAACGCACGTCTGGCGCGGTCGGCATACACACGTTCTAGACCGCGATTATTGCGTATTGCAACCCCTGCAAGATATATCATTCTTTGGATTTCTTGCTCGGCGTGCACGTTGGATACGTGTGCGCAAGTACATGGTCACTGCCTCAACATTGATTGAACCTTTCACTGAATGCTTTGTGCTCGGCTTGATGGGCGCCTATGCGATGCATGCCGTGCTAGAAACCAGCGTGCAGACGTGGCTAGCACTGCATATCCTTGCTTGGTTCTTACTGGACTATGGACAAGCACAGGCACTCGCACAACACGGCGATGCCATCCCACAGCAAGCACGCAAGGCGATACCTTTGTGGGAATTCACATATGTCTGGTTTCTGCGGGAGTGTACGGCATTACCTGCATGGATTTGGGCCATGAGTAATGACAAGATTAGCTGGCGTGGTACACACTTTGTGATACGACGTGACATGACGGCTGTACGAGCATAGGGGGGTACATGAGCTTTGATTATGATGCACTGAACTGTAGTAAAGAAGAGCCCTACTTGAAGACGCGTAGAGCAAAGTTGACGACCACGGCCGCTAGTAGAAAGATGCACAGCATCGTCGGGCCAAAGCGGTCATCATAAGGGCCTGATCCACGTTTGCGAATAGCGTTTGCGCGCCAGTGATAGGTGACGAGTGCGTAAATCATGGTGGCCATAGCGACGAATGTGAAGAGGCCAGCAGAGATACGTCCGACCTTATCGCCAAAGTTGAGGAGGCCGACTGCGAGGCCGCCGAGAATGACGGTGAAGTTGAGCCATCTGTAAGGAGGTTAGCGATTGTTACGAGTGTGCGCTGTAGTAGAACGACATACGATAGGAAGGTGCGCTCGTTTGCAAAGAAGACTTTTGGTTCTACTCGAACAGGGAGGGCGATGCGCTTGCCGGGCTAGGTATGTTAGATGCGGTCGCATGGCGGTAAAAGGGCATACGGCGGACTGAAGCAGCGGCTGCGATGACATGACGTGGGGGAAGTGTCGCCTGCGATGAGCTGCCTGAGTCTGAACTGAGCCTGGTCCTAGTCTATCAAGCCTGAACAAGGATCAAGGTTTCTGGCTGTTGGTCCTGGTCCAGTCTGGTCGTTGCTGTCTTCCGCCAATCACAAGCGAAAGCCGCCCGCATGTGCTGCACTGGGGGCGAAATGGTGAGTTGGGTGGAAGACGGGTCTGGTGAGGACACTGGAGTGGTAGATGGCAGGAGAGTAGCAAGGGAGTCGCAGGGGAGCGATATCTAGTGCAGGGATACCAACTCAAGCGAAAATAGTAGGGAGAATATGGAATTATAGCGATTAAACAGATTATTCGAGCATCAATTCTCTGCTCAGGCTTAGTAGATTATATGCTTGGCTATTAGAGGCTACTCTCATGACCAGAGCCTATTGTCCCCATGCTTTTTCTAATTAATCGTGCTTAAATCCATAAAATAGTTACCATTTCACTCGATTTCAAATTCAACTGCAACTGCACACGACCGCGACTCAACACCAAGTCATGTCGAAGCGCTCCGTCGTCTCTGGCCCAGTCAAGGATCCGACAGGCAACTATCCTAAGCTCCTTCGCCTCCTTGACCAGTACTTCCTCAAAGAAGCAGTCCCGGATCGTTCTGCCGTAGCGGCGCTCGATACCCTTGTCCGCATAAATGGCGCCGTTCTAGAGCGCCCAGAGAGTGTCAATCTCCGCTCTATCCGTACAAGCGAGCGCGAGATTCGCACACTCATAGAGTATGGCGGGACAGACATCCTCACACAGATTGGCTGGCAATTTCGCGTGTCACGCATGGAAGAGACGTGGCAACTACCCTATGATGCAGACTTGAGTGTGCTTGGGGAACACCAAGCAAAACTGGTTGAAGCACAGCGCACACTGCAACGTCGGTTTGCAGCAACCAGGCAGGATGCAGCGCAGGCGGTCGCGCGCGAGAAGGAAGCCAAGTTGGCAATTGTACGGCAAATTGAACAAGATGCACTGGATAAGAAGCTGCAGCAGGCAATGCGCAAGGGAGAGCAAGTGCCTGTGAAGCAGAGCTTGGATGAAGCTAGAAAACAGGCCGTTAAGGAGCGTCTTGCACGCCAGCAAAAGAAGCAGCAAGAAGAAGCTGCAGCGGGGAGAGGGGCGAGCAGCCAGGCTTCATCAGAGCAATTACCTGGTTCATTCCCTCAGGATGATCAGATGCGAGAGACAGTCTCTGGCCCTCAATCTGGCCTAGGCTATGATCATCCGGACGACGACCCTGATGAGGACGACTATGACGAAGACGACTCAGATCAAGACATGCCAGCCCAAGGTCGACGTGTGTCGCGCACAGGACTACGCTCTGCAGGCGGAGCTGGTCCTCCGCAGCGACCGCGTCGTACACAGCCGAGTCCCATTGATGTCAGGAAGAAGGAGCCGCCCAAGGAGCGATACCAGGCAGGTACGCATACCCTCGGCGGGCCTTCTGCCTAGATGATAGGAGCATACATAAGTAGCGATAGCAAATGAGTATTGATGTGACTTGGTCGACTGAGCATTCTCCATGCTGACATCATTCAGCGACTTTCACCCATAGCTACACATCTATTGAAAATGCTTGCTCAGCGCTACTTGACTGAGCTGCCGCCGCCCAAGGCCCTCGCTCTCCAGCGTGTTTGCTCTACGCTCGCGCTTGCTGCCATGATTCTTGTGTACATCTCCTTCTCTTTTGGCCAGTACACGCCAACCATATGGCAAATATCGCAAGCGCATCACACTTCATGGACGCCCAATACGCCCATGACGTTGGATCTCTTTCCCGCAGTCTTGTTTCTCTGCCAGTTACTGTATCTTGCACAGCTGCTTGCCTCAAAGAACGAGGCACTCTTGGCGTCTGCTACAAATGGCGTCTCTTACCACTTTGTCGGATTTGGTCTGCTCGAAGTCGCCTTCATTGTGCTCTGGGTGAAGCAGCACTTTGTATGGTGTGTCCTGGTCCAGTCCATCAATCTGGCTCACCTCATCATCCTCTACCGGCGACTAGGGCCCACGCCGTATGCAGCCACGACAACCAATGCCAAGAACCTCTATGTTCAAATCCCCACAGTCAAGCTGCCTATTGCGTTGTGCACCTACAACATTGTGCATGCGCTGTCCATCTGTCTCGAAACAAAACACGTCCGTCGCTCGCCTCTGCACTTCATGCCACTCGCAGTCATTGGCTTGTTGATGCTGCTTGCTGTCTTTAGAAATCGAGATGCATTACTGGGCCTGCCACTCAGCTACTTGCTCTTCTCACTCGGCACTGAGCAGTACCGTCACCCGCACGGGGACCATGTCACTTGGATCATGGCGTTCAGCTATGCATCGCTGCTGCTTGTCCTCAGTATCTTCATCGGGGTATGTTTTTGGCTGTCTATGGATGCCATGCTAACAATCAGGTGCCGAGACTGCGCTATGCGAGTGGTCTTCATACAGCAGAGACACCGGAGCAGCGGCCTCTTCTTTCCTAGCCTCTCTCTGAACTCTAGAGCATCCCTTAGCCTGTACTTGATCTGATCTCTTCCACTTTGCTGCAAACAAAAATATCACAAGTCAACCACGACGACCACGACCACAAGCCTCCATATTCAGCTTCGCTCTCCATTGCCAAGCAGCGGGATCTTCGTGCGGCTGGCTCAGTCTTCTATCGGCGCGCTATTCTCTGTATTTACACAGCATCGACTCCTCCTACTCGCCTTTATCCAGTGTCTAGACACGCGCGCATCACCGTGTCGTAACGCCAATCACAGCAGCCATCATGGCCGCCGCAGTCGCGCAGCAACACCAGCATACTCTTCCCTCTGACCCGTCACGCATCAGTACAAACTCCAACACCTCGCATACCCATCATGAACACAAGACACCCGTCAAACGGCGCAATCTCGGTGATTGGGACCTGGAAAAGACCATTGGCGCTGGATCGATGGGGAAGGTGAAACTAGCACGGCATCACATTACGGGCGAGCAATGCGCCGTCAAGATCATCCCGCGTGTTCGGCAGCGAGAAGGTGCAGCGCGTGATCCGAGTGAGCAAAAGAAGCGCGATCATGATGAGAGTAAAGAGATTAGGACGATTCGAGAGGCGGCCATCTCGACCCTCCTCAGTCATCCGTACATCTGCGGCATGCGCGAGATGATGATTATGTCGCATCATTACTATATGCTGTTTGAGTATGTCGACGGCGGACAAATGCTCGACTACATCATCTCCCATGGCAAGCTCAAGGAGAAGGGCGCTCGTAAGTTTGCTCGACAGATTGCAAGTGCCCTCGACTACTGCCACATCAATTCTATTGCGCATCGCGATCTCAAGATTGAGAATATCCTCATCTCAAAGGAAGGCGACATCAAAATCATTGATTTCGGCCTGTCAAACTTGTACTCCCCGCGCTCACAGCTGTCGACTTTTTGCGGTAGTCTTTACTTTGCAGCACCCGAGCTCCTCAATGCAAAACCCTACATCGGTCCAGAAGTCGACATTTGGTCTTTTGGTATTGTGCTGTATGTCCTTGTATGCGGCAAAGTCCCTTTCGATGACCAAAACATGCCTGCACTGCACGCCAAAATCAAGCGTGGCCTGGTCGAGTATCCCAACTGGCTCTCTGCTGAATGTCGACACCTCCTCTCGCGCATGCTTGTGACGGATCCTTTGCAGCGCGCCAAGATGGACGAAGTCATGCAGCACCCTTGGATGCTCAAGGGCTACGATGCACCGCTCGGCAATTTCGCAATCAAGCGAGAACCGCTTTCACTACCGCTCGATCAGCAAGTCATCAACGGCATGACGGGCTTTGACTTTGGCGACCCTGCAAAAATTGAAAAGACCCTCACAGATGTGCTCACCTCTGAAGCGTATCTGGAAGCAGTCAATAGTCACTTGGAGCACAGTAGCAGACAATCAAAGGATATGCTGCACGATGACCCAACGCGCGCGTACCACCCACTCATCTCCATCTACTTTCTCGTCCAGGAAAAGCAGGCCAGAGATAAACAAGCACGCGACCCACCCAAACCCATTAATAACAAGACAAGCTTGCAACTACCAGCGATTCCGGTGCCTGAAGTAGCACATGCGGCAGATGCCAGCTACGAAGTACGTCCACCGCCACCGGCAGAAGCACATATCGCGCGTCGTCCACCCGTCTCACAATCTTCTGCGGCGGCTGCTGCTGCGCGTGCTCGAGCACGGACGCATGGTGAAGCGGAAGTACGTGATGCTTTGCAACAAACGCATCTATCAGCACCTACCTCATCGACGCCTCCGGGCGTGGAGAACAAGTTGTCTGGCTTGTTTAGACGCATGTCATCGCGTCGTTATCGGGCAGACAAGTCGCAGTCGACTTCCTTTCCTGCAGTCACGATGGGATCCTCTGCACCAGCCTCGGCAGCTCCCGTCTTGGCAACACCACGTAAATCGCTGAGTGGTCGGCACTCGCGTGATGAAAGCGGATCCGGAACGCCTGCGCAAGATGCAAAACTCGGTCGTGCGGCCAGTGTCAGTACTGCACGGCCGCTGTATATTCCACCCAGCAACGGCCTGCATCAGGCAAGTGGCTCATCGTTTACGCCACATCGCGAGGAAACCTCCACTTCAGTGGATGATCACTCTGCTGGTGCAAAAGCACACGCGCTTCGTGCTCAATCACTGGGTGGCGCACGTGGTGAACAGTTGCGTGCAAGTCGTCGCAACCATGGACGGCCTATTGAATCGATTGCATCGCCAGTCTTGGTGGAGCAAGTTATGACGGGAACAGGCCGCACGCCTCCCACCTCTGCAGCCGAGCCAACGAGTCTACAGCCGACCTCTCAGGAGGGACCTAAATCACCTGATGAGTATGTTCAGCGGACCAGCCTCAAGGGTCTATTTTCTGTTTCAACAACGAGTAGTAAGAGCCCGCAGGTGATTCGATTGGATCTTGTTCGGACGTTGGATCGATTGGGTGTGCAACACAAGGATGTCAAGGGCGGGTATGCATGCATGTACAGACCTAGCATCGAACAAGCGCCTACGAGCACATCAGAACCTTTACCAATGACACAAGGCATGCCTGCGTCGCCTGCCGCTGTGGCCGTCTCTGATCCTATGGAGACAAGTTCGCCGAGCGGTCTTGCGCGCACGTCGAGTATCATGCGTAGGAAGTTGTCCTTTGCGCGTGGTCCGCGACATCGCGCCAATTCGAGTACGTTGCAGCAACAGCAAAAAGCGATTGATTTTGCAGATGAATCAACGGAGGATATGCTACAGCCGGAAAATCCCATGACGGGCACATCAGCAGTGGTTGGCAGTCAGGATGGTGCGCATTTGAGCTTGAGTACGACGGTGAGTGGTAATCATTCAGACGCCCTTGCTGTACGCTTCGAGATTTATGTGGTCAAGGTGCCTTGGTTTGCATTGTACGGTGTGCAATTCAAGCGCGTTGCCGGCAATAGCTGGCAGTACAAGTCATTGGCGAGCAAGATTCTGCAAGAGCTGCATTTGTAGATGGAGACGTTGAGGCTTCCTCTCTTTAATTGTAATAGCAGTGAGCCCTTTTTTTCTAATTATGCTGTTTCTGCTATAGAAGGCGCTTCACGTTGTAACCACGCATGCACGGCGTCAATAGAGGCAGAGGACGCAGCATCGCCGTTGGAGATGGCACAATCGGCTGCGCGTCGACACCATGCCTCTGCATACCGTCCCTCTGCCGCCACAAACTCAGCAACACTCGCTTTACAGTGCATCCCTTGACTCACACAAAATAGAAATGCCTTGTCTTCTTTGGCGCGCGTGAGGAATTGGGCGGCGAGCGCCTGTTTGCCTTGTTGTGCCAATGCCGGATTCGCCGTGATGCACGCGGATGTATTGTGACAGCCGGGCCGCTTACAACCCGACAAGAGCTGTAGTAAGATGCGACGTTGCACGCGACGCCAGAGTCCCGACTGTGCGGCATCGTCCAAGGTCGTTGCATGCAGCGGCCCATAACATGTCGCACACAATCCGAGTGTTGCATTGCCATCACTCACACTCGCAACACATTGTAGGTTTGCACACACCTTGGGCAGATTGCGTGTCAGTCGTTGTGAATCGTGGAAGCGTTGATGTGTAGCGACATCCTTGAGCTTGATGAGACGTCGACAACCCATCACGTCACATTGGATCGTGCGTGCACCACACTCTACTTCATGTGGCGTGAATCCGCGTTCTTTGTCCATGTAACCAAGTGTGCTGAGATCGCCCTGGGGTAGTAGCAGATGACAGAATTGACATACTCTTAGACGCAGAGAGCAAGTGGTTGCCCTATGCTGTGCCGCGAGGGCTACATTGGGAAAAGATTCGCCACACGTACACGTTTGAGGAGTGTGAAGGCGCTCAATGTGGTATGCACTGCTTCCTTCATACACCTCGCCACAAACTTCACAGTGCTGATGTGGTCGAGTGATGGCATGCGGTTGATGGCACACAGCACAGCGTTTTGTATTGCGCACACAGTGGCGTTCATGCAGAAATAGGTTCGCTGCTGGAATGGCTTCATTGCAATTGGGACATTGCTTGTGTGTTTCTGGTATTGTCTTTGGTTGTCGTTGCTGAGAGACCGTCAGAGTGTGAGCGCCCGTTATGGACAGGTAAAGCGTATCGGAAGACTGCAACGCTGTATTGCCGGGAAAAATGTCAATAGTCTTTCGGACACAACCTCGCAAGTCTGACCAGATGTGGCGGTGTAGTGTTGGCTCTGGATGCGTATCCATAACCAATTCTGCATCTGCTTCGGCTTGTGCAGAGATGTAGAGTGGCGCTGACCGATCCCAAGTGCTCAGCGTATACTGCGCTGTGCTTGATCCTGCGACCTGCTCTCCCAAGACAAGTGGAGGTGCTACCTCTTGCTGGACATTGGCATCAAGCGTCTCTTGTGCGTGTTGATCCGAGAGGGGCGTCAAGTCCACCTCGAGGTCTGTATCGACGATACACACGCCCTGAGCGTCTTCAGGCTTCAACGCATCCACCAGAAACCGTTCACTCCTGCCACGTAGCCTGACGATATCGCCCTTTGTGAGACAGGTATAGGCGCTCCTGAATGCCCCTTCCAAGGCCGTCTTCCAATCCGTTGTAAGGCTGTAGCCTGATGCGAATGGTCGTAGCAAGACGTACTCACCCTTTGGCAGGATCGTATGCGTGATGGTCACTTGATGCGCTGCCACATCGCGCAAGTCTTTGCCATCACGCGTAGACGCCGTGATACCTAGATTGTCCAGGACAACAGGCGGGAAGACAACGGTGCCTTCGTCGGCGTCAAACTCCTGAACACCGACATGCGTGAGTCTGCCTGCATGACTGCGCACTGCAAATGTCAGTGGCGACGGAAGCTGGCCATGCGCATGTCCCTGTAGGAGCGCTTCAAGGATGGATTGTGGAAGGATGCACTTGTCGCTTGCATCCGGTAATGTTTTGCTGCCCTTGACGGCGAGCAGGACCATCTGCTTCATCTGCAGCATTTGCTGGTCATGGCTTCGTTCAATACAACGATGCAGCTGCTCACTTATAGGCGCGACTTGATGGCCAGCTCGTGTGCAGGATGACGCGTCCAGAGAAATTCTCGAAGGAAAGACGACGACGACTACTTAATACTAGACTGTAGTCTGTTGCTAGTCTGTAGGCAGTGCATCTGTCATCATGACGAAGCTAGGAATGTATAGACAGGCAGGGACCATGCGCCTAGCTACACAATGCGCAGTCCATGCAGCACGGATACCACGGCGCTGCATAGGAACAGACAACAAGGGCAGCAGCGATAAAGATACACATTTCGGATTCAAGACGATTCCCGAGCAGCTCAAGGAGAGCATGGTCGGGCAGGTCTTTAGCTCTGTCGCTTCTTCCTATGATCGGATGAACGATGTCATGTCCCTCGGCATTCATCGTTTATGGAAGGACGACTTTGTCAAGGGCTTACGACCTGGTTCGCGCGGCAACTTTGCACCGATGAAGATCCTCGATGTTGCTGGTGGCACGGGCGATATTGCCTTTCGCCATTTGGACTATGCGACAGATGTCCAATTTGACCATGAGACATCTGTGGAGGTGGTGGATATCAATCCAGAGATGCTGCAGGTGGGTGAACGACGTGCGCTACAAACACGGTATGCAGGCACGGGGCGTATCTCGTTTAAAGTACAAAATGCAGAGCACCTGACAGAAGTCCCCTCAGAGTCTGTGGATCTCTATACGATTGCCTTTGGTATTCGCAATGTCACGCATATCGACAAGGTACTCGAGGAAGCATTTCGAGTGCTCAAACCAGGCGGTGTCTTTGCCTGCCTCGAGTTTTCCAGTGTCAAGCCTGCACCACTTGCTGCACTCTATCAACGGTATTCATTCAGTGTCATTCCAATCATGGGCCAATTGGTGGCAGGTGACCGTGACTCGTACCAGTACCTGGTGGAGTCTATTCAGAAATTCCCAAACCAAGAGACGTTTGCCCGGATGATACAGGATGCGGGTTTCTTGGTGAGTGGACCAGGCTACAGAGACTTGAGCTTCGGGATCGCAGCGATCCACACGGGCGTCAAGCCAAAGTCTGCAGCAGCTGCAGTCAGGCCGAGGCAGGAGGAATCAAAGCCTGCTGAGGTGAAGGAGGATATGCAGGAGAAGCTGCGGAAGGAGGATGCTGAGCCTGCTGTGATTGCAAGCTAGTCCAGCTACATCTATAGTAGATTCTATACATACTCAGCACTCAAGTAGACTCGAAGCTGTTCCTGAAGCTTCAAAAATATTTCTTGATGTCATGACTCGAGACCACCACAAAAAAGACCAAGTCTAGTAGTCTACTTCCAGTCTACCTCGACGCAGGCCATGTACAGGAGACTTCTGACCCAAGCAAGCATACGGCAGACACTCGCCGTGACCTCGCTTGTGGCCTATGCAACGTACAAGCTACAACCGCAACGCACACTACGACTGGATGCAGAGTCATCGACATTCGACGCCCTCAAGGAAAAAGCATTAGATGCAGCAGGGAGTGTCAAGGATGCCGTGAAGCAGCGTAACCCACTGAAACCCGAAAGTCCAGCAGGTGTTGCAGGTGCGAAGACGAGTGTGAATCCCAACACCTCGATGAATCACGGTCAGGGCAGTAGTGGTGCGGTGGCGGCACCGCATGATGTGGGCGTTGTTGCTGGTGCTGAGAAGAAACGGCAGGATGCCAGCAGTAATACCTCAACGAATGAACAAACGGGTGAGGCGAAGAAGGGGGGCGGTACCGGTGCCAAGATTGCAAGCGGTCATGGAGACGATGGGTCACCCAATGCTGATTTGCAGGCGCATGCAGCAGCGCCTGTTGAGGGAGAAAAGAAGAAGCGGAAGAAGAAGAAGAGTAAAAAGGCACCGACGTCACCTGAGGGCGAAGCTGCTCGTTCAGCCGGCGCAACGGGTGCTGGCCTGACGGAAGGCGTTGCTGCTGGTATGCAAGAAAAGGAGGAGGAAGCTTCCCAGGAACAGGCCTTCAATGAGGAAACAGGTGAAATCAACTGGGACTGTCCGTGCCTGGGTGGCATGGCGCATGGTCCGTGTGGTGAGCCCTTCAAGGCTGCCTTCTCCTGCTTCGTGTACAGCAAGGAAGAGCCCAAGGGTAAAGAGTGTCTCGACAAGTTCCGTGACATGCAAGAGTGCTTCAGGGAACATCCTGAGATCTACGGCAGCTTGGTGGACGACGATGAGACCCCAGAGGGCAAGGTCGTCGAGGTTGAGCGGTAATCTGTGTCGTGATCTATAGCATACATCTCCCTCGTCTCTGCTTCTTGACCTCACGACACTCCTTCACTTGATTGCTTGGACGAGATTCAGCTCCTTGTACTGCCAGCTATCTCTCTACTAGACGCTATAAAGACAGATGGCCAACACGGGCGATGCACTCGTTAATCACCTCGCTGATACCCATGCAGACGCGCTAGTTGCTGCACATGGCCGCACAGAAGATGTCGACGATGCTGCTTTGCTCGATGCGCTCGATAGCTTTGATGACTCTGCCTACCGCAGTGATCGTCTACAGCAGCTCTCCAAGGAGATTAAGCAGCAGCAGCATCTAAGTGCAGGACACGGCACCTACGTTGAGATTATGGATGAAAAAGCTGTGCTGGATGTGACAACGTCCACAGATCGCTGTGTCGTGCACTTCTTCCACAAGGACTTTGCACGCTGCAGCATCATGCATCGGCATCTCGAGCAACTTGCCAGAAAACACATCGAGACACGCTTCCTGAAGGTGGATGTGGAGCAAGTCCCCTTTTTGGTGACACGCCTCGAGATTCGCGTCTTGCCGTGTGTGATTCCATTTGTCAAGGGAATTGGCAAGACGCGCATCTTGGGCTTTGAGGGACTCGGTGGGGATGCGTTCCGGACGGGGACGCTGGAGCTGGTGCTGCAGCGTGCAGGTGTGCTTCAGGGACTGCGCGGGGATGCGGCATTGGAGGAGGGCAAGCGGTCAATCATGGGTTATGCAGAGCGGGAGGAGGAGTATGACAGTGACGAGTGAGCGAGGCCATGGCTATGGATATGGTCGTAAATACCTGGCTACGGTCATGGATTTGGTGGATGATCCTGGACTTGAACTTCAACGCGCCAGCACAACACATCCAGGACAACACACCAGATACATCTACCTAGCGCTAGCTCAGTCTTAGCCATATACTAGCAAGCAGCTCGCTAGACACTCAAGATGGCGACCACAACGCAAACCACTGTCACCGTTGAAACGGCACACGGCGACATGATCCACGACTGTGTCCTCGATTACTACGGCAAACGCCTCGCGACGTGCTCCTCCGACAAGACCATCAAGATCTTTGAAATCATCCCTCCCACAACGGCTGGTGGTCAAGCACAGCATCAACTCCTCCAGACGCTGCGTGGGCATGAAGGACCCGTCTGGCAAGTCGCTTGGGCACACCCTAAATTCGGGACACTCCTAGCGAGTGCCGGGTATGATGGTAAGATCTTCATCTGGCGTGAACAATCTGGACAATGGTCCAAACTCGCGGAACACCATCTCCATGCGGCATCTGTGAATAGCGTTGCTTGGTCGCCGCATGAACAAGGCGCCGTATTGGCATGCGCTAGTAGTGATGGGAAAGTGTCCTTGCTTGAATTCAAGGAAGACGGATCGTGGGATACACGCACACTGGCTGCTCATGCTATTGGTTGTAATGCAGCGAGTTGGGCACCTGCACAAACTGCAGGATCCCTCGTCTCCACCATCAAACCAGCCGGTGCGGAAGAAACCAGGCGATTCGTCTCTGGTGGGTGCGACAATCTCGCCAAGATTTGGAAGTTTGATGCAGCATCCGCAACGTATGTGGTGGAAACGACACTCGAGGGACACACCGACTGGGTGCGTGATGTCGCTTGGGCGCCCAGTATCGGTCTCCCGAAAAACATCATTGCAACGGCAGGACAAGATCGCATGGTTTACTTATTCACGCAGGCACAGGGACAAACCAATTGGCAACGCCAACCACTGCAGGAAGAACCCTTTGCCGATGTCGTGTGGCGCGTGAGCTGGTCAGAGTCTGGTGGTTTACTTGCAGTTTCGTGCGGCAATGGCAAGATTTACGTGTACAAGGAGACAGTCTCTGGATGGGAGGAAGTCAAGCAGATTGCTTCATAAGGCCTTTATGTAGCTAAGTAAAGACTGCATCTGCCACTTCATCTGCGAGTGTGTATAGCAGGTGCGTATTCAGCGTCCGGTTTTGCAAGGCTCGAAAGACCGTGCGAAGTGCTGTATCAGGGATATACGGAGGCAGCGAAGACTTGCATGTAGCAAAGGCCAGCTCTCGCTCACGTCGTTTGTCTTCTGTTGAACGCACAGGGGCAGAGCCCATGCCAGAATCCACCATGGCCAACTTATCCAACAAAACAGTCTCCAACTGCACGAGCCACGCTCGCATTGCTTGTGGTCGTGTCAGGTGCATCACCTGATCTCTTAACCTTCCCTCAATCGTTCCTCCCAGAATCTGCTGTAGGACCAGCACCACAGCACGCTTCTGTATCCACTTGCCACGATCACGCAAGTCAAAGGCCTCAAGTATCAAGTTGACAATAGGCTTGGCAAATGAAGACAGCGGACCATCATCACTGTCTTCTTGAGCGTGCCCAAGTGGTGCAGGATGTATATCGCGCAAGTCAGGATGACTCCCACTCGATTGTGGCATCTCCTCTGAGCCTTCCAGCAACGCAAACAATTTGGCAACACCATCGCGAGGATCTGTGAATGTCATGAAATTCTCCAAGACGGAGCGATGGCGTCTTTTGGGAAAATGCTGCGTGTGCTGGCTCAAAAATGCGCGCAATTCAGTAGACCTGCACAGACGTTCGTCTGCAAGCAAGCTTCTCAAAAACGCCTCGAGAAGTGGACGTCGTACTTCACTGACTGACTTGAGTCGGTTCAGCTGCTTCCTGGGAAACTCAAATGTCGCAACGTGTGGAAAACGCTGCTTCAGACGGTTGTAGAGCTCATTGAACTCTGAATAGCGACGTGCAATGATCCAACCGGCTTCAGAGCCATCTGTTGCTCGGCGTCTCACTTCAATAAGGTAGGCCGTGTACTCGCCCTCTTGATCCCGGTGCATCACATACGAGTCAATAGACACACGCGATCGCCCAAACAACTCTTGTTCATCGAGTTGCAATGCAAATTGTGCCTTTTGATTCTCCAGCTTATTGAGCTCTTGCGTGATTTGGTGCTGCGACTCTTCCATGACACGAACGTCACTCTCAGTCGTTGTTGTATTGGCCAGCAAGTGTCGAATAAGTGAAAGATGATCTGTGCGTTTCTTGATCTCTTGATTGAGGTGGGCGATACGCTCAACAAGCTCCAAATCGCCTGGCTCAGCAGCGATAATGTCGTCACACCGTAGTGGCGAGGCTGGCCGAGAAGGCGTAGCAACGAGCAAGTCATGCAACGCATTCTCCACACGTTCCACCACTTCCTCATCCTCGTCCGTGTGATCGTTGCTCGAATCAAAACTTGGTCGTCCGTTTATGTAGAAGAGCTCACTGCGCATGGCATCGCATGACTCGTCTTCATCCACGATCATCTTCATGTATAGTTTTGAGTTCTTGAATTTTGGAAAGTCCTCTTGTTCAAGTGTCTGGTGCGCTCTTCTTGCAATCGCTTGTAGAATTTCATTTGCCTCGCCGTCATAGTCGTGGGGTTCATTCGCGATGTAGTTGGTGAGGTATGTCCGCTCTTGCTGTGTGATGGCCAGCACGGAGCTGCTCAGAAATTGTCGACAGAGAAGCTCAACCTCCGTCTTGAAAAGATGTTGGCCTTCCAGTAAGGCACTTGGTTTCGGAACTTGTATCAGAAAATCCAGCAAATCAGATCGTCCTTGATCTTCAAGATACTCTCTCAGGTAAGTAGACCCATGTACCAAAGTCTGATCGAAGCTCATCTGTGTTGGAGTACCAAGAGAAGTCGATTGTCGCTGAACGCCACTCAACAAAGCTACACGCGACTCGAGCAATGCCAATGCTTTGTGGAGAGGTGCTTCTTCCTTTGTTGTATGCCTGATGTACGAAGGCGTCGCAACCAGCATCTCTTGCCTTAGGGCAACCAATTCTCGCCGCATGCAAATCAAGTCGGCGAGTTGACTGCACTTGCGAATCTTGCGATACACACGATCCCACTCTTTCGGCTCACCGGACACGAGCAACTTTTCAAGCCGCGGAGCCTTCTTGCGTCGACTGAATCGCTTTTTCATAGTGGGCGACTCCACCGTTTGCTCCTCGAGGACTGTTCGAAACCGTTTAATTTTGGCACGCTCTTGAATCGCTTGTCCAGTATGCAGCACGATGAGCTGATTCCAAAAGTCAGGATCTGTGAGCATATCAAACAGCGGGTAGAGGACACTACACGCCATTAGCTCACGCAACAGCGTATAAACAAGCTGTGACGCTTCACCCGGTGGCAGCAGTGCATGGAGTAATTTAGGAACAATCCCGTCTCGTAGAGCTGCCTGTTGCGCTTCACGAGAAGTGCACGTACTTGAGACTTTTGTTGCTCTGTGTAGACGCCCGCCTCTGTAGCTTTGCGCAATGGCTTCTGCCTCTAGTTCAGAACCCGCTTCAAACGGCGTATCGAGGCGTCTGACGGACGCTTCCGCATTGTGAAAGTCTGCAAGGTGTTGTGTCAGGATGGGAACGGCGCGACGTACCAAGATGGCAACAATGTCACGCGAGACGAGACGTTCTTTACATTGCCTCGCAACGGTACGCAGTAAAACCTCGACCGTATTCGGGAAGAGGTGGCGTTTCGAGATGTGAACAAACCACGAGTGCAAGGTGCCGACAAGAACGATCGACAAGACTTTTGTGAATTGTTCTTCCAGTGCTGTGTTGTCTGGGAAGAGCGGCACGATGGGCGCTTCGTAGATGTGAGTATTGAATGAATTTTCATTCACTGGACCATCCGCGGGTGCGAGTGTGCGTTCCCGCATAGAAGACGGATAGCGGTACACATGTGATTCTGACCAATGTATTGCCTTGCGCGCTGCATAAAGGATGAGAGCTATAGGCGCGAACCAAAGCAATCCGAGTAATAAGCTGAGCTTCAGGTGTTTGAGAACGAATGCAAGCGGTAAAGCAGCGATGGCAAGGACACCTACTTGAATATTTCTCATTTCAGTAGGCCGTATGAAGCATCGATGAGCATTAGGGGCCCATGGCCATATCAATGACAGCTTGGGAGTAGTCAAGATGCTTGGCAATGCTCAATTTTGGATTTTAGATTTTAGCCGACGGCCAAGATGGACAATCTGAACATGCAGTGCCAGGGCCAGTGGTTGGTGAACATTGAACAAGCAATACCTGATCGGGTGAAGACGTTCACCAACAATCACGCAACATTAACGGAGCTCACTGATGACCCAGTACACACTCAGAGCCACAAACATGCAGACATCTTAATGAAGTATGTGCGAAACCGCATCAAAAGTGGCCACATTGGCGTGACTGAGATCTGCTTTGGTGTGAATCGATCGGACATGTTCACCAAGGCGCTTGGAGCCCATTGGCAGCCTCAGCTGCAGCACTAGGCCTTTTCAAGAAGTTCGTGGCATACTGAGAAAGGGGTGCACCTCTTTCGGGGCAAGTGTTGAGCAAGGCGTGAGACATTTTCTCACTGGGAATACGCCGAAAGACATATATAACAGCCTAACAGCCTAACAGCCTAACAGGCCATCTGCACTTTCTCATCTAGTAATGCATTTGGTATTTCAACTCTGTTGCTTGTTCTAACAAGCAGAGTTGAAAACAACAGATAAAAAGGCCCATTGATTCTCGGATGTTGTCTCATCGTTCGGCAGCCCCAGACGATGATCTGACGACCCGGTGGTCCTGGTAGACCCGGAAAATCGGCCGGTGGCCCCAGCCAACGAACAAGCTACACCAATGCAGCAGTCCACGCCTGATATGCAGGCCTGAGTCTCATGACCACATCTGGTCTATGGCCTCCCATTCTTGGACTTCCCATTCTCCCGTCATACGTCGGGTGCTTGCAACCTGACAATGCGACGCTGCGCCAGTCAATTGACACGCTCAGCGAAGTTCCCTCTCAAGAAGTATGGATCAAATGTTGCCCAGCGCACATACAAGACGGCCAGTGAGGTAGAAGATGAAGGTGGATGCACATGAATCAAAAAAACAGCCGTTGAGACCGGCAGGAGCACTAACGGAGACGTGCCCGAGTTCTTGATGGCAAGAATTAACTGCCTGATGAAGTCAAACCAATTTGACCCATCCTTTTTGAGTGGTGACTTGCTGAGCGTGTCAATGGATTGGCGCAGCGTCGCGTTGTCAGGTTGCACACACCCGACGTATGACGAATCCCCGGGAATGGGAAGTCCAATGATGGGAGCCATAGACCAGATGTGGTCATGAGACTCAGGTTCCACTGGTAGCAGTGGTGCACGAACGACTCGAGACGGAGTTGCTGCGAACAGGGGAGTCTGCTGCTCCATCAGGTACTGTTGAACAGTAGCTGCAGCCTGCATATCAGGCGCAAATCGTTGCATTGGTGCAGCTTGTTCGTTGGCTGGGGTTACCGGCCGAATTTCTGGGGATACCAGGTCGTCTGGGTTGCCAGACATTGAGACGACATCGGAGAAACGACGGGACTGTACTCTGTTGTCCTCTGAGCGAACGAACAAGCAACAGAGTTGAAATATTAAATATTGAATGAGTTACTAAATTAGAGGGTGCAGATAGCCTGCTATACAGCACGTCTCACACCTTGCTCAACAGCAATCGCCATGGTTGTGATGAATATGATGATAGACAAGAATCAGACTACTTCTACAAACTTGCATCCTCCTTCTTCCTCGGAGACTCATTCGAGCCAGTCTCTGCCAAATGACCATCCAATGTACTAACCGGCATGACATGATTGCCTCCCTCTGCGCCCACCTGCAACAATTGTGGTCCACGAAAGTTCTTACGACCCCAAATCAGGTACCACGACAGCGAGCAGATTGCACTAAAGGCAAAGATGACACTTGCGTAGTTCATGGCGCCTGGATCAGTCACTGGCACTGCTGTTGGCATGCAAAACAAGACAATCGCCAGGAAGATCCATGCAACGGTAATCAAGTTAATGATAATACCAATCTTCCCAAGCTTGAAGGCTGCATCAGCAACCAGATGTCTGCCACGAATAACAAGCACCAGAATAGGCACGCCGTAACTCGCCGAAAGGCAAATGGTGGCGACACCGGTAAAAGCGTTAAAGGCCGCTGCACTGCCCAGATAAATCAGTCCTAGCAGCCCTTGAATAATGGTACAAGCAATCAGTGCATTGAGGGGCACATTCAGCTTGACTTTTGACCACAGCCCACTGCCAGGAACTGCACCGTCGCGTGAGAATGCATACAAGTTTCGTGACGTTGCCGTCAAACTGCCAACAGCGGCAAAGAAGAGGATACCCAGAATAAGGAACAATAAGCCGAAACCACCTCCTGCACTGCCTGTTGCTTGCTTGAAGATGTAACCAATCGGCTGACCTGTGCTGACGCCGAGAGCCAGATCAATGTCTGGCAGTACAAATAGGACTGGAATGAGATAGATGACACCCGTGATGCCCGCTGCAGCGACACTCAGGACAATCGCTTTGGGTACCTCCCGCTCGGGATTGCATACCTCTTCACTATCCTGTTAGCTTGAATATCAAGAGAGTGTAACATACCAGCAACTGGCTACAAGGCCGTAGCCTGTGAGTGTGTACGCAGCTTGGAGCAGTCCAACAAAGAAAGACCATCCAGGAGCCCATCCAGCGCGGGAAGTGTCATAGTTTGAAAAGACAAAGTCTGCTGAGCGCCTGCCACCACGAGCCATTGTCAAGATTGTCACGACAATCACAATGACAGACGCGCCAGTCCAGTAGATGCAGATTTGGTTGATTTCCTCGAGGTAGGCGGCCAGGAAAACATTGACCGCAAGAGCAATGAGGAGGACAGCCCAGTACATCAACACGACTTGCCAGGGCTTTGGTGCAAAGTCTTCATTCCACAAACCAATGGCAGATAGGATGAGTTGACCACCTGAGAAGCAGATGGAAGTCGTGACCGTTAAATTGCCAATCAGACCCAACCAGCCCGTGATGTACGAGACGAGCGGCGCCCATTTGGGCGTACACAGCATAGCTGACCAAAAGTAGACGCCGCCACTTGTTGGATAGCAACTGCAAATTTCTGCAAGCGACGCACCGATACATAGGGAGATGATGCTGACGAAGATCCATCCATACAGCACGGTGACCGGCCCGCCGTTGATGAGACTATAGGACAAGGTTGTACTCGAGCCAAAGGGTACTGCCATGATGGCAAAGGACAGACCGAGGACGGCCATCATGGAGAGTTTCCTGGGAAGCTCCGACTTGTATCCCATCTGCGCGAGCCTCTCATCGGCATGCACACCGGGGACGCCCTTCTCCACTAGTTCTGTCATGTCGAGATGCGGCTCGATGATGTCAAGGGAGGGAACAGGAGAACAGGAAAGAATGCGCAACACGAGTCAATGCAGCAGAGTCGAGCTGCAGAGCCAGGGCTAAGGTGTAGTAGGAAGAAGCAGAGGAGGCCGGCGCTGTCTGATCCCGCTGCTGCTGCTGCTGCTGCTGTTGTACACTGCGGCCAAGCGAGATAGCGATAATCTGGGGCACGGCGTGTGATTGGCTGCTTCCTCGCTTAGATTACAACGACCAAATAGCAGAGTAAAGATAGTACAAAGTATACAAAGTATACAAAGTATACCAGTTGATGCGATACTAGTGCAACTGGCTTATGCGCATCGCCATCTCTGGACCCTCTTGCTCCGGGAAAACCACGCTTGCTCGCGCACTTGTTCGCTTCCTCACAGACTCGAGCTCAAACCGTGTCACCCTGCTGCACCAAGATGACTTCTATCTTCCTGAAGCAGACATTCCATCGATCAAGTGTGCTGCTCCGGATGGAGACCCTACCAAAGCTATTGATCGGGAGTGTTCGCCAACAGAGTTTGTCAACTGGGATTGTCCTGAAGCACTAGACATGGCCAGCTTCACACGTATTGTCGAGTCATTCGACAAGGACAAGGGCTTTCCTGAGGACATCCAGCGGGAGCTTGCAAGCCGTTCAAAGGAGGACCAGAATGGACCATCGACCACAAATGTCTCTGAAAGCCTCTTGCATAATGACAAGATTGCTTTTGACGAGCACATTCTCGTCGTCGACGGGTTTATGCTCTATTACGATGAAGGCCTCATAGATCTCTTCGACATTGCATTCCTGGTACGTGGAACGCATAGTGTTCTTAAACAACGACGCGAGGCTCGAACAAGCTACGCGACTCTCGAAGGCACATGGCAAGATCCGCCCGGCTTCTTCGACCAAGTTGTGTGGGCCGAGTACAAACGTACACATGCACATCTCTTCCAAGACGGAGATGTTGAAGGCAACTTGCTCAACAAGCGACTCAAGTCTCCTACTCTGGATGCTGACCTGGACACAGCCTTCACGTTCATTCTTCAAGAGCTCAAATCATTGACTTCCTAAGGCTACTTCTTTCCTGGCCTTCGAGGCCGTGCAAAGCCAGCTGTCGCAGTCTGCTTCGGCGGATGTATACGTGCTTTGAGATCAGCCAAATCAAGCTCCTCAGCCTCATATCGGACATCAAGCTTGAAATCCGCAGCTTGTGTCACGCTGCTTCGATTTGAGGAATAAATCATACGTTCCTTGACTTTGGCAGAGTCGGGACATCGGTATAGAAATATTTGCGAAGTGATGCCGCTGCCTTCATACTCGTGCACGTAGCTGTAGAAGAGATAGGCAGGGCCATCCTTTGGCAAGACAGATGCCAAATTATCAATGTCAATCTCCTTGTGTTCTGCTAGCTCGAGCCTTTCAGTTTGCAGGTCAATTTGCAGCACAACAGCGCGTGATGTGGATGTCGTTTTCAGCACATTGAGCGCCTCTTGTGCAGATGTAGAGATGTTGCAGCTGAGTCCTGCACCTGTCGGAGCAATCTGCTGCTTGGCACCCGTTGCGTGTATCTGGTCTTCTGCTTGCTTCACATCTTGTAGCTCCTTCTCCTTTTCAGTGTAGGGCTTATCCTCTTCTGCCGACTGCTTGATGAATGCTGCAAACGTCAATTCTGCCTTTGTCGTCGCGAAATAGGTTGATGCAATCTTGTCGGTCCCGAATTCGCGACTGAGCGTATTGCGCGTGCTGGCGTACAGCATCTTGTCTCTCACTTTGGCAGTATCCGGCACAAAGGAGACAAATACAAATGAACCACTATCCTGTCGAACCATTAGATAAGCCGCCTCATTATCCTCCACCAGGCCAGAGAGCGCGTCAAAGTCATCCTTGAATGACGCGCCTTTTGCTAATTCACCATTCGGTTGGAGTGCTTCATTTTGGATGGAAATCTTGAGGGCCCTTAGAGAATCTGGTAGTCCTGCAAGCTTCTCACTCAGGGCATCGCTCTTCTTGATGCCGCTCTGGTTCATCGTGTCTCGTCGTGTGTGTCGTTGTCAATGACGCTGTTTGTCATCTGAAATCTGCTCCTTCACTACGACCACGTCTCTGGACTCTCTTCTACCAGCATCTGCTTATCTGCTCAATTAAACATGGCCAAGAAGGACAAGGCCGCTGCTGCTGCTGCCAAGAAGCAAAGAGCTCTTGCCAAGACCCTCAAGAAAGGCAACAAAAAGACCAAAAAGTCAAATGCTCAAGCAAATTCCGACGACGAGGACCAAGATATTGATCAGATCCTTGCCGACTATGCTGCTGCTCAGTCGAAAAAGATGGAAATCACCGAAGAAGTTTGTTTAGCACCTCCATCTACCCGAATCAATGCAAGTCTGACCGTCAATCCGCTCAAGCCTGAAGTCATTCTCTTTGGTGGCGAGCATTTTGATGGCTCTTTTGCCACATTTTACAATGAACTTTTCATCTACAGCGTCCATAAGAATGCTTGGACCAAGGTCATTTCTGCAAACTCACCATTGCCCCGTAGCTCGCATCAGACTGTTGTGCACAAAACCCACATTTGGCTCATGGGTGGCGAGTTTTCTTCGCCAAAGCAAAATACCTTTTACCACTACTCTGATTTCTGGTCACTAGACTGTACGACGCGCGCATGGAGCAAGATTGAATCAAAACTATCGCCCTCGGCACGTAGCGGACATCGTATGGCAAGTGTGGGTAAATATATTCTCTTGTTTGGTGGATTCCAGGATACGTCTGCAGAGACACGGTATCTCGGCGACTTGTGGGCCTTTGATACAGACTACTATGAGTGGCATGAAGTCAAACTTGCGGCGGTCAGTCAAAAACCAGATGCACGCAGTGGCTGCACGTTTTGTGCTGCAGGAACCAGTAGGGAAGAGGCGATCCTGTTTGGTGGATACACAAAGAAGAAGATCACTGGTAAGTTGTACAAGGGCGTCATTTTAAATGACTACTGGACCCTCAAGCTCATTGGAGAGCCGAATGCAGGCACTTGGGTATGGTCTCGAAGGAAACGACCAGCAAGTCCACCAACACAACGTATCGGTGCGTCTGCAGCCTTGCATCGCAATCGACTCATCTACTTTGGTGGTGTATTTGATCATCGCGAAGCGGAAGAGACACTCGAGTCAACGTTCTACAATGACCTTTGGTGCCTCTCCATTGAAGCGAATCGGTGGTTTGCACTCAAGGTGAGACCACCAAGAAAAGGGCAAGTGGCAAAGAAGCCAACAGAGGATCGCAACAAAGGACAAGCAAGGGAAGACGAGCTTGCTGCCAATGCACGTCTCCTTGAAGCCAAGCTGGCCGGCACGACGTTGCAAGAGGAGGAACAAGACGAAACCATGGTAGAGGATGCAAATGTCGCACTCCAGCATAAACGGCTGCAAGATGTCCCATTGACACAAATGATGCCGCACCCTCGCATGTCTGCTGCTTTGGCAGTCTCTGGTGACTTACTCTACATTTATGGTGGCATTTTCGAGCAAGGCGAGAAGGAGTATAACCTCAATGACATGCATGTGATTGATCTGGCAAAGCTCGATGGTGTGCGCAAGCTGTTCGGCGAAGAGGTGGCTGAGCCCATGTCGGAGGAGGAGAGCGAGGAGGAAGACACGGATATGGAAGATGAAGAGGAAGAAGCTCCCAAAAGCGTCTTCTTTGAGAATATACCTGATGAGAAACCGGAGGAGGAAGTGCCTGATGATGACGGAGATGCGCCTATTGACCCTCGACCGATGCCAAGACCATTTGAGGATTTGCGACCTTACTTTATGCGCACAGCCGAAGCGTGGCAGGTGTATTTGCTACCATGGAACCAGACCTGCTCACCCAAGGAATTACGTACCAAGGCCTTTATCCGTGCAGAGGACTACTGGTGGGTTGTACGCGAGGAGATTCGGGCATTGGAGGATACGATGGAAGATTCTGGTATCGGCGAGGTGATTGAGACTGCAGAAGCGAATGCAGGCAAGAAAGGAGTGGTTGGACAGCGGCGATGAGATGATACACGACTATATAGTAGTAAGAATGCTAAAATTGACGCCTTTTCTTTGGCAATGGCGCAGCTTGCGCAAGTGCTATTGACGCAGCAAGCCGTTTGCGTCTTGCCTCTTGCTCATCAACACCTGAGACTAGTTCTCTGTTTGCATCGTGGGCCGGTGATGTAGCTGCTTTGCCAAGCTTTGTTTCGACACTGGGTGAAGGCGCTACACTCTGTCCACCGATGCGAGACTTGACACCTGGCGTGTGAGGGGACGGCGAGACTGCCTGCCCACCGATGCGCGACTTGACTGTCGGTGTCTTGGGAGACTGGACCGCTATTTTGCCACCGATCCGCGATTTGACGGATCCACCTGAATTCGGCGTCATTAGCGAATTGATGACCTGTGGTGATCCTGGAGAAGACGAACGACGTTGCGAAGACCTCTCGGCCTTCTCCAATTCGGGCTCGTCATCGGTTGTGGCATCAGCGTCAGCTCTTGCCACAGGGGACGCCGCACCAAGACTGTGCTCTTCCAGGAACTCATCGACACTCGTTGCTTGTCTTTTTAAAGTAGGCTTCTGCTCGTCATTCAGAAGCTGTAACTCCCATCGTTCAACATTCGACAAGACAGTCCGCCAATCTTCCCGGAACGTAGCGTCTTGGCCAGATTCATGAATATTGTTGACGATTTGCGCTGCGGTGGAGCACTTGGCTGCTACATCCTGCCGTGCCTCTCTAGCGAAGTCATCTGGCTCAAAGGCTTCGAATGCAGCTTGTCGCCGGCGCGGTCGATATTCCAGATTATTCTCCTCGCAAAAGTCAGTCATGGACCGAATGACACCATCCTTCCCCTTGATGACCTGATGTAGGCTGCTGAGTTGGCTTTGATAAAAGGCGAGCATGCCGAAGAGTGCCAGGTTCAGACCAGCTGCAACGGGAGGATGCGCCAGTTTGTCTAGCTCAAAATACCACGCCAGGTCAATATTAGAGGAGCCGATCGTGGAGGACAGCTGCAGACGTAGGCTCGATGACGACTGCTTGAGCTTGAATGTCGATTTTTGGTGGTCATTGAGGCAGCTCACCTTAAGCTGCTGCAACAAGTGTTCAGTATCATCTTGGTCGAATGGACACTCGCACTCTTCAGAGCGAGATATGAGGTCTTGGTCAGCGAGGTCTTCGCCCCAGACATGCCGCATGTCTGTCAAGCGAATTGAGTAGCTAGCTGCAGACGACACATCGAATTGCACGAGTAGATTGATGTGTCCGTCTAGCTTGAACCATGGTACAGCCAGCACATGCATCATCAAAGGTCTAGATATTTGGCTCGACCTCGCGAGGTGAGGAAGTTGCTTGATCAGATGGTTTTCAAGGATCACTGCCTTAAGGAGAATGGGTGATGCAAAAGGTGTTGTCTATGTACAACTACATAAGGGAGTTCATAACGCTCATGCGTAAGGACCAGTACGAGGACCAGAGTTCTGTACCTTGGCACCAGGGAATTGCGCGCCATACTGGCTGACACTCTTACCAGCTGGCAAGTTGGGGCATGTACCGAGTGCTGCAAGGGCAGGCACGAGGGTTGTCAAAATCTTGGATTTTGCGAGCAAGAGCTGAGCGCCACCAAACACGTTCTCCAGCGAGGAAGGAGCCTCTGCCTGGATGTTTTGCGACAAGAAACAACCGAGGATGGCGGGGTCGGTGAAGCTCTGAGCATTCATCAGACCACCAGAGATGTCACCGAGGTCGACACCCACAAAGCTGTTGACCTTACCTGTGTTTCCACCCACCTGACATGTCGAAGGGTATGCGGCACACTGCTGAGCAACAGCCGTAAGAATGTCAGGCATGGTCCATGGGTCAAGGTGCGAACGACGGTACCAGTTGTCTGGGATTCGGTCGTGTCCGTAGGTGTACTTGAGCTCACCGTTCGCATCGCGCTCGTATGAGAAGAATGTCATGAGAGTCTCGGGTGTGAGAATACCACGAGGGTACTCGGCAGAGTGGTTGGCCATAAGCTGGAAGACAAAGTGGTGCGCTGCAGGCGTGAAGGCTACTCCGGCAAAGGCAGGTGCAAAATAGTTGGGGTTGGTTGCAATAGAGTGCAACTTGCGGTTGTGCTGGTGCTCAGCAAGAACTGGAGAGGTGATGGGTCCGCCGGTACGCTCCTTGGCGAGGTCGAGCAACTCCTGGAAGAACTTTGGGTAAGAAGCACAGTTGGAGTTGTCTTCCGGCGCCAGGAAGTCTCCACGTGTGATGGAAGCGTCACCCTCAGACTTCAAGTGACCGTAGTTGCAAATACCAGTGGGCTTGCCAAGAAGGCCCGAGAGAGGACCGAGGGCAGAGACCTTGTCCGAGTAGTAACCAATTGACCACTTTTGGCTGAGAGGGTCACCATCGAAGAAAGTAGTAGTTTGCTGGAGAACCTGAGTCGCAGTCTGGTCAAGGCCGAATGCCTCCCAAAGACCGGTGTTCAATGTTGCGAATGTTGCAATACCGTCGCGGGGAAGGTATCCGTGATTTGCGGCAGCATTGAGACCAGGGCAAGGTCCTCGGATGTCGCCAGGTCCAGGCGCAATGAAGGCGTGTTCTCCGGTGGTCGAAACGAGTTGGGATTCCGAGAATTGGTTGAAGAGTGCGTGTCCTGGCAGACCAGGGTACTCTGGGAAGGGTACAATTTGAGGAACTGCCTGGCGCTTCTCGGCACCTTCTGCCATGCGCTTGGCCATGTTTGGGAAAGCATTGACTGCAATGGACTGCAGGAGCACTGAAGATAGGACCAGTGTAGAAACCATCTTGAGCTGTGTTGAGCAAGAGTGGGAGGAAGAGCAGCTTTATATAGACGATGAGAGGAGAATCCCCACACTAGCACGCCACATCAGAGCACAGTCATCGGGAAGATATGAGAGCCATTCAGTTTTAGAGATCGTCGACAGCTCACGTTCTTGTCTGCCTGGCTCGTTGTGGTGTTGAGGTTTCGCTGCCCCTGGGGCGTCTGTGGCGCACAGATCTGCAGCTGCGGAAAAAGAAAAATTCAGGAAGTTCTAGCGTGTCACTGTCAACTCTAACCATCCGCCAGTCAGCCCAGCTACAGGAGCAGTTCATGCTGTACAATACACTGTCCTTGACCATCACTGCTGAAGGCTCTAGAAGTTGAGCATCGCCACATACTCTATCACAATCCTCTGTACTTGACATGTACAGCTCCGTAACATCGCTGTCTGTGCCAGGGCAGCGAGCAACGTTGCAGACTGACTGCCGATCACTTGACCATGGCCCTCAGGAATTTGAAGTGAAGGCAGCCCAGCCCGCATTCATCCGCGCGTACCGGATGCTAATCGTGGAATTGCTGTGAAATCGATCCATGGTCAGTCAGTCAAGCTGGCAGAAGTGATTGGCTCAAGGTCCTCCAGGTGTGGCATGGAGTATACTTGACTCAGCCCAGAGTCAGCTGCAGTCAGCTGCAGTCAGAGCCGCTGTCACGTCAAAAAGTCTAATTGAAACAAAGTTCATGGCAAACTCTGGGAAGGAAATACGATTGGCTGTCCCCGGATTTGTGATCGACATCGCCGCCCGGAGTGCGGAAGTACAATTCCACCGAAATGACCAGCAGCAGACATCCACGTTTCTTACCCGCGGTCAGCATTTACTCAGCAATGCAGCATGACCAGGTGATGCATGATGCATCTTCCATCAGCAGTCCATGCTGTCGAATGTGGCAAAGAGCCAGTCGGCAGGCATCCTGCACTCGGACATCCTATGGCGACATCGGACACAGGCACCGATACTCAGCGTCTGCATAGCATTCGATGGCCTCGATGCGGAAGGAGTGCGGATGCATGGAGATCTGTGAAGCACTCACCCGAGCGTCACATGGACCACATCGCCACAGAACTGTGACAGGTAGCATGTTGATGGAATGGTCGCTACGACCTGGACAGTGGACAAGGTCCATGATGCCATTAGACGTCACTGCGATTTGCGGGGATAGCGCCCTCGTCCTGTGCTCTGTAGTCTAGAATTTCATCAATAAATGGCATGCTGAGCCGCAGAATGCGCAATCGCAAGGCCCCTGCAACGCAGGCAGGAGTAAAGCCATCTGAAAGGTCACCCATGGAGCTAGAGCCTACTGGGCAGCTATTAAGTGTCAAAATGCGAATACGTACGGCTTGTGCTTGAGACATAGTTGTATGTCGTATGTCATGTCTCTACAGCATGCATGGCATCGACAGTGTTATCTGCCGTCTCGAGCGGGTAAGTTGTGGGAGAAGGCGATGGCCAACTTGAACGCATTGCAAAGCACAAGCTTGGGACCATTGCTGCATATATGGCATGAATTGACCACTTTGCAGCAGTATCGTTGCCGAAGACCTTGTCGACTTCGAGAGAGCCGAAGCTGACGTGCTGAGAGCTGCGATCTGCTGAGGCATCTGGTCGGGGCTCAAGCATCTGGTCCCCACGAAGCAGCTGCTGCGCATCACATTTCAAGCAGGTCTTCAAAAAATAGATCAGTACGTAGGCTGCTACCAAAATATGTACCATGTCTACTGGCCGAATTGCTTCTCCAAAGTATCGCGATACGCCTGTTTCATATCCGCAATATCCTCTCGTAGCTGCTCATTCTCCTCCGTCTGCTCACCAAGCAGCTCGAGCGTCGCTTCAAACTTGGTTGTGAGTGCAGCATGCTCGGTTCCCACACGCTGCAGCGCCTCTTGGAGTGCTCCTCTTTCCGTTGCTGCTGCATCCAAGTCGACACATGCCTGACGCGCTTCATCCCGCTGCTGCGTCATTCGTGCGAGATCCTCACGACACATACTCAAGTCCATTTCCAGTTTGCGCGCATTAGCAGAGATACGCTCCATCATGCCGAGACCAGGTCCCGCCGTGCTTGTTGCGATACTCAATGCACGGGAGGCCGGTGCTTCAGAAAGCGTGAGAAGTGTTGTAGTGGACTCGCTGTGCAGGGGCCCATGCTCATCCTGCTGGCTAGGTGGCGACCGCATACCATCCATATCGCCCAACTGGTTCTGTGACATGCGCCTTTTCGGTACTGGCGTGAGCACTTGTGACGACGACCGCCGCGCTGATCCCAACCCAGGACGCGTAGCCGTCCGTAATTGTAGACTGCCGGGCGATTCTGTAAAGCCACGCATAGTGAGTTCTGGCGAACGTTGTCCGTTGGATTGTGGTGGGAGGTAGGCTGCCATACTTGACTCGTACGCGCTGCGTTCTGATTCAAGACGCTCCTGTACACGCGTCTCAATCTGTGCCTCGACATCCACCTGTGCCTTGCGCGACCTCGAACGCTCCGTTTCTAGTGTCTGCACAACGTCGTCTAATTTGGCTTGCAGCTGCATCGTGCGCTCCTTCCACTCTTCCTGTGCTGCACCGGCACGCTTGAGCTGGCCTTGAACGGTGCTTGCGTCTTCCTCAATCTGCTTCATGCGCGACGCTTGCTCCCTCAGTCGAGTCTTCAGTGCCGCTTCCGCTTCTTCGAGGCGATCGCGTTCGCCTTCAGCAGCAGCCACACGGGCAAGTAAGCTCTCTTCAATGCGCGACCAATTCTGCACGGCGATACTGTGTTGCGTTTGTAGATTCTCCATCTGCCGGAGCAATTTTGTCTGCGCATGCTCAGCGACACCGGCACTAGATTCTTCGACTTGTGCAAGCAGTGACTCAACTTGGCTCTCGAGACGAAAGACTTCCGACTTGCGCTCCGATTCTACTTGCTTAATACGTTCGTCAAGACGGTCGTATTTCGCTTGGAGTGCAGCGAGCTCTGCGTCTTGTTCGTCGGCTTGTTCTTTCGCTTCAGTGAGTAGTACACCCACCCTTTTTTGCAACGCATCCGTCTTGCTCTTTTCCGCTTGTAGTTGTTGTGCAAGACTCGCATTTGCGACATTCAATGCATGTTCATCTGCCAGTTGTCGTTTCAGTTCACCAATCTGCGAGACGTGTGCGGTTTTCAGCTTCCGCAAGGCATCCGCTTCAGTCTCCAAGGCAGACAACTGACGAATCTTGTCGGCTTGGCGCTTCGAGACTTCACCAATGGTTTTGTGTTCTTGCTTCCACTTGGCAACATCGCCTTCCGCCTTTTCCACTGCCTTCAAGGAAACGGCAATGAGCTTCTCAAGTTCCTGCATGCGTGCACGGAGCTTGCGAATGGTTTCTTGATGTTGTCCCTCTCGTTTCGCCAAGAGATCGCCTTCCTGCACGAGCAAGGCAATCTTTTCTTCTCGCTCTGCGAGTTTTCGTTGCATCGCCGAGGTATCCCCTGCACTCAGCACCGATCGTGACGTTTGGAGTTCTTCAGCTGTATAGTAGCGTAATTTTGCTTCAAGTGCAGAAATACGTTCAGCTGCTTGCGTGACTTCTTGAACACGCCGCGCTTCATTCGCTTGTAGCTCTGCCATGGACAACGATGATGTGCCAAGGTCTGTCGAGGGTCGTGTAGACTCGAGAGACGCACGTACAGACAGAGGAGCATCTCTTGTTGATTGAAGAGATGTTCGGGGTTCTGCGTGCATCGCTGCTGTCTGCGGTGCGGCATCGACGGTGTCTGGTCGATTTGTAGGGAAGATGGGAGACTGCTGGTTCTCCGTCAATGCAACCTCCTCTTGCTTCGCAGGTACAACAATTTCTGCCGCAGCAACAAGTGCAGGTTGTTGAGCAACAGGCGTTGCAATAGGAACAGGCGATCCTGTCTTTGAAGAAGCAGCAGCGCGCGCAAGTCTCTCTTGTAGGGATAACCTGCCACCTGCGCTCTCCCCTTTCCCTGCAGCAGGACTTGCCGGTGCTATCACATGGATTGTGTTACCAGGCGACTGCACAGCAGCTGGACCGCCCTCTTTGTTTTCCTTTTGATCATCTAGGACGCGGTCGAGAAATGTTTCTGCTTTATTGAGGAAGTTCCAGCCTGACATGGATGATGTCTCTTGTCCCGCTTGCCCTTTTCTTCGCCTCTTATGATGCTAACTCGGCCGCTGCATGCCCGTCTGTCCTCCTGCAATCTAGGATTCACCCTGCTGGTCGTGGTGTTTTCGTGCGGTTTGATTTGGGTCGCGCCAAGATTTGAGCAGCATCATCAGGAATAGTAGACCAGGCAGAGGTATAGGAAGAGGCCTGATCATGATGTCGATACGTACGGCAGCTAAAGACAGAGCTAAAAAGAGCAGAAGTACTTTGTATGGTGAGGAGAGGGCTGAGGTCTAGTCCGTCAAGGCATCACCTCTGTCTCTGGCATATGGGCCTCCCTGTCATCCTCTCGCATATTCGAGAAATCGTCATTCAATACGGCTGATTACCCTGCTGCTGGCTTAAAGTCCATGAGGCTTAGCTTCAGCGGGGACGGCAGACGATTTCGTGTACTTGATGGTTGCTGGCCTCACTACTTTGTGGTAGACGAGGACTGCGCCTTCAGTCTGTGGCATGACGAGCCAAAGGAGGAAGACGGTCTTGAGCAGAAAATAGAAGGGGACCCAGTAGAGAATCGTGTTGGACCAGTACTCAACAACAGTCAAGATACCATAGACGACCCAGTACGTGAGCATCTTGGTATCATCCTTACCACCGGCCGATTCAATAGCAATCAGAGAGTAGTAGGTAGGGAGCGCGACGCCAGCCAAATTGGAGAGGAGCTGACCACCCCAGTTCATGCTAATTGATGAGCCATGTTTTCTATTGTGCGTTTAAAACAAGATGAGCTTACAAGACAAAAAAGACATAGACGGCAGCTGCTGCGCCGACAGCATAGACCTTAGGGATGCCTGCTTGCTGCTCAAGGCTGAAATTTGTTAGTTGAAATTGGAATATATACACAAGCAGTGGATACCGATTGAGCTGGGGGAAGGAGGAGAGGTGCTTGTCGAGTGCACTGACTTGGTGGGTGAACTTTTCCTGGAAGGACATGATGGATATGGGAGGAGTTGGCTGGTCTTGTGTGTGTGGTGAAGACTCAGTGAGGGCAATGACGGAGCATGTGACAAAGTGTGACTGCGCATGGAGAGAACGGGCCTTTGCAGAGGGAGACAAGGAGATGCAGCATGGAGGAAGAGGAGGATAGAAGGGCCTGGGCTGCAATGCTCTGTCTATCCTGTCTGCTGCTTCATTTCTGACCTGGCGTAGGCGTGACTGCTCTGCGCATCAGATTAGATCACGACGACGACGACGAGCAAAGAAGAGACGGGGCCTTCCTCTCCTGCTGCTCGTGCTGTTCTGCTTCTGTCTACTACTGCTGCTGCTACTGCTGCTCATAGCCCCTCTCTCATCTGTATAGCTACTAGCCAGAGCCCTCGTCGCTCTGACCCTCGGCCCATCCGCGTCTCAAACACTTCTCAAGCTCAACATCAGAAAAGATGCTCAGGGGCCTTCTTCGCGCTTCACCAACAGCTAGAGCAGGCATGGTCCGCATCGCCCAGCACCAACGCACCATGGCCTCCCTCAATGCTGCAAGCCTCACCACAGAGCTCTCACAATCCCCAAAGGCAAAAGTCGACAAGACAACCCTCAAGTTTGGGCATACCTTCACAGACCACATGCTATCGTGTGAGTGGGATGCCGCAACAGGCTGGTCAGCACCACGCATCACACCTTACCAAAACCTATCGCTGGATCCTGCTACCTGTGTCTTTCACTATGGCTTTGAATGCTTTGAAGGCATGAAGGCCTACAAGGACAAAGCCGGCAAAGTGCGACTCTTTCGTCCAGATATGAATATGGCCCGTCTGCGTCGTTCAGGCGCACGCATTGCTTTGCCTGACTTTGAGGGCGATCAATTGATTGCTGCCATCAAGGAATTCCTCAAAGTGGATCATGACTGGATCCCAGAGGGACAAGGCTACTCCCTCTACATTCGTCCAACCTTTATCGGCACGCAAAAGACGCTGGGCATTGGTCCAGTTGGGTCTGCCATGATTTTCGTCATTGCCTCACCCGTCGGCCCATACTACCCGTCTGGCTTCAAGGCTATCTCCTTGTGGGCCACCAGTGACCAAGTCCGTGCGTGGCCCGGTGGTTTCGGTGATGCAAAGCTCGGTGCAAATTACGCACCGGGTGTGACGGCTCAAGCAGCCGTTGCTGCACGCGGGTATGAGCAAAACCTGTGGTTGAATGGCGCTGAACACAATGTCGGCGAAGTAGGTACGTCCAACTTGTTCATTGTGTGGGTGAATGAACAAGGCGACAAGGAAATCATTACTGCACCGTTGGATGGGACCATCTTGGCCGGTGTCACGCGAGACTCCATCTTGGCGCTTGCTCGGGAACGCTTGCCTGACTATAAAGTCACAGAAGCGCTATTTACGATGCCACAGGTGATGCAGGCGGCCAAGGAAGGCAGGCTCATGGAGGCCTTTGGTGCAGGGACTGCGGTGGTGACGGCGCCAGTCAAGAAGATCCATTACATGGGCACGGATATTGATGTGCCGTTGCAGGCAGGTAAGGAAGCTGGGGCGATTGCTGAGCAGATGCTGGGATGGATCACTGGGATCCAGTATGGCGATGAGCCTGGTCACCCGTGGTCTGTGATTGTGGACTAGCCGTAGACCTAGTCCATGTAGCTACTACCAGCTAGTCCATGTACTATGCTGCCCCTTGCTTCCCAAATTTGAGTTTGGACGCGACACCACGACTCGAGACCTCCTCACTCATGCGCCGCGTCTCCTAGCCAGGGTCAAGGCGGCGCACGGACAGATCATCGTCTCTCTATCTTTATCCTACCGTCCTGGTCTCTGCTTCTTTGCAAGCGCAACGCTCTATCCTTCTTTGTTCTCGTCATTGCCTGACAACGCTGTACACATGGCAACACTCGGAACACCGGCCTTTTTGATACGCGACTTGGATAGACACCCGCACCTCCCAGACTCGCCCATGCAGCGCGACGTTGTCTTGAAACCCACAGCGCGCGTACAACCAGACATGGATCCAACGCTACACGAACTAGCGCGTCTGCAACATCGGCCGACGCTGCAACAACCCCCAACACCGGCGCCGACGCCTGAACAGCACCGTAAAGCGGTGAGTGGTTTGCATGCACATGTGACACACGGTATGAGTCGGTCCGGGAGCGATTTGAGCTCCTATACCAGCACGAGTCTTGGTAGCATGACGGGCAGTCCACCAGCAGGAACAACGACACTCTTCAAAAGTAGTAGTTTCACACTCCCTGCCCTGTTTAAATGGCGTAAAGCCCTCTCACAAACGGAAGAGACACCCGTGACGACGCCCACAACGGAAGCGGCGTTTCACTATTTTGCAGCGGGCGAGTCGCACCTCGATGACTTGCAGCGTGGTCTTGCAACAGAGCAACAGACCCTTGCGCAATCCACAGAGCAGCAATTACAAGAAGAACGCAGACGGAGACATCTCGCTGAAGATAGACTTGCTGCTGTGGAGGAGGAAGTCACACGGCTATGCACCGTGATGCTGCCATCTGACTGTGGTGAGACTGGGGAAGCCTACTTTTCAAGTATCCTTGAGAGTGTTCGGCTTGCCATTGATGCCTATGAGGAGCGAACGCTGCAGTTGGCTGAGCAAGTCGAGGAAAAAACAGCGGCCCTGGCACTAGAGCAACGGCGACGGTTGGATGTGGAGCTAGAGAATACAGCGCTACGGGAACAACTGCGAGAAGCAACAGCCGCACTCGAGTCGGACGTGCTCAAGCAAGAAAATGCAGCATTGCGTACACAACTTGCTGCGCAAATCCCAGCGGAGGACCTCTTGCAGCGTGTGAGGGATACGGAAGCGCAACGGGATGCCTTGCGTCAGGTATCGCGATCGTTGAGACAACGGCTGACGCATGAGACGCGAAAGTATGAAGAAAAACTCATGCAACTCCATGCAGGGACGCGCGTGCATGGCAGGCAGCTGAGTAGTGCGTCCTTGAGATCATTGCCCTTGCCGCTCACTGCCTTTTCTGCTTCTGGGCGGTCAACCCCGTCCACCCCCGGACTGCCTGATGAAGACGCAACGGGATGTTTGCCACTCGAGCTCGAAGTCCATGCTTCGAGTCGCAACACACTGTCAGTCAGCAGACCAAGAGCGTCCTTTGGCACGCTCAAGCACAAACGCGGCGGAACAGGCAGCCTTGGGAGTTCAAGCAGTACAAATGAAAAACAGGTGGGTGAGCTGGCAATCGGAGGCCTTAGACCATAATGATACAGACATTAGAATTTACGACGTTGTAGCGATGGCGTCCATTGTAGAGGATGTGTATCCGGTGTTGCTGTATCATCTTGCTTCCAGACCTTGATGGTCTTGTCTGCTTCACCCGTCACAAGTCGTAGACCCGTTCGATCAAACGCACTGCAAAAGAGACCATTCTCCGACTCGAGTGAGCCAGGTTGCACGGCACTGCGAGTGCTTTGAAAGCAATGACCCGACTTGTAGTCGTAAAATCCAAGCGATCCGTCATCCGACCCGGCAAATAGGACATTATCCACATTAACACTGGTTGTATTGACAATCCCACCGCCTGGCAAGTCTGAGCCTGGTCCTTCCATGACATTGAGGAGTTGCCCTGCAGGCAGTGTCCAGGTCCGCATGCGATCCGCGCCACCAGAGATGAAACTGCGTTCCGTCAGACTTGTACTGATGCTGCGAATGGAGCGTTTATGGTGTGTGAGTGTTTGCATACACTTACCGGCTGCCAAGTCCCACAACTTGACGGTATGGTCGAGGGAGCCTGTAATGACTTGTGGGTCTACGGCACATGTTTGGACATCTGCCACTGTTGCCTTGTGGCCACCAAGGACATGCACCGATTCGCGCGTTCGCATATCCCAGCATCGAGCAACGGCATCTCTACCGGATGTCACCAGGACATCGATCGTTGGATGCAGCGATAAGGCGTATACGCCGGATAAATGGCCATGGTAATGTCGAATGACTTTGTTGGATTCCAAATCCCAGCACTTGACTTGCTTGTCTTCACCACAGCTAAACAAGTACGGATGCCGCGCACTCACAGCAACACCGCGCACGGTGGAGATGTGACCGGTCAAGGAGAGACGTAGTGTGCCACTCGCGAGATCCCAAATCTTGATCGTGCGATCCGCCGAACCCGTCACAAAGAACTGGTTGAGTGGATCAAAGGAGACGCAACGCACCCAGCCTGCATGGCCGGCAATGACGCGCGAGAGTTTCCAGGGTGCATGCCACGTCGGTTTGAGTTGTTCAACGGCCGCTCGCCGCGCAAGTGCCGTTGTTTGTGAGTCATGACTCGTTGCAGCTGGTCTTCTGATTGCCAATTGCTGAGAAAGGTCTTCTGCCTGTGTACGCGGTGCGACCTCCTCAATCAGCTGTTGAGCGACTTCTGCACTCTTTCCTTGGATCTTTGCACGTTTCGCTGGCAGACTCGATTGACCTCCTTGTCGCGCACCCAGCGCAGCAGGCAAGGTGCGTGTCTCGCCATACTCCGTGCGGATCTTATAAGCAACGGCTTCTTTCCTCGCTTGTGCAAAAGCAGTTGCCGTGGTGGCATAGCTCGTGTGTGCAGGTAGTAGCGTTGCATCCTCGATAGCATTATATGGGATATCTTGATCATTCCCGAACAGGGCAGTTGTCATAGCACGATGTGTCTCTGCCGCCATGCTTTCTACTAGCTGCAGCACTGACAATAGCTGAAGGAGCAGCTCTTCTCTTGTCTTTGTCGTCGTCGCCAAAAACCAAAATGCGACAAGACGACAGCTGAGACGAGGCCAAGTCGCTCAATTGCTAATTGCTAGAGAATGGCAGCAGCACGGCAAGAAGCAGGCCAGCCAGGTGCGCAAATCGACTTGACGCGTCTCAGTATCGAACAACTGCAAGAAGTCCGCAAACAGCTCGATGCAGAACTCGATCACCTTGCAACGAGTTTTGCTCAGTTGCGCAGTGCGCGTGGTAAGTTCCAAGGGTGTGCGGAGTCTGTGATGGAGAGCTTCCAGGTGGATGGCGAGGGGAAGCGGCAGGTGTCAGTCAAGGCGGTGAAGAAGGAGGTGTTGGTGCCATTGACGAGTAGCTTGTATGTACCTGGTCGGCTACTCACGATGCAGCCACGGCGAAGAGACCCAGATGGACTAGACAGTGATGATGGGGAGGAAGGAGAGGAGGAAGAGGCACAAGTCACGGTGGATATCGGGACGGGCTACTACTTGAGCAAGTCCCCGGCAGAGGCATTGGCTTTCTACAAGGACAAGCGACAGGCCCTTGATCGCAACCTGCAAGAGCTCGAGAGCATCATTGGCAGCAAAGCACAGAACCTCAAAGTGGTCACAGAGGTCTATGCGGAAAAGATGCGACAAGCACAGCAACGGCCGCAGAGTGAACAATGAGATGAACATGATGGGAGACGCTGCTGCATATATAGAAAAGTTAAAAAGGCATGAAATTGGAGACCGTTTATAGCGAACGATTGGCATGCGCTTCGAGAGCACCGTCCAGCAATGCCATCCGTTTCTGGTAGAGATCCAGCGATGATTCAGCATCCTGCGCATGAAGTTGTGTCTTGCTCGCTGAACATACAGCCTTGGAGCGCATATCCGCACAGAGCTGGTCGAGATCAAAGGACTCGAACTTTGGGTGCGAGACAATCTTGCTCCAGGCTTCCGGGCAAGTGAGCACACCCCCTTCCTGCGCTGCCACATCCGTAGCGGGAGCCACGTCCGGCAAGTCGTCAAGGCCATTGAACAAGTCTGCTGAATGGTTGACGTCGCCTGTTGCGCCAAACAAGAGTTGGTCATCAAACAAGTCGAGCGCATCAAAGGAATCCTCGCCACCGCGGTACGCCATGGCAGACGGTGCAAAGGAGTGCTTGTCGGTAAAGAGCATCGGTTCCTCAGACGGGGCTTTCTGTGGTTGCTGCTGCCCATTAAAGAATCCCAAATCAGCACTCGTTGCTAGATTGCCAAAGGACAATTCTGGCGATGCTGCCATCATGACAGGCAAGACGGCAGGCTCCCGTGGTGCCAACAAGGGGTCTCGATCGAAAAGTGGCATGGCGGCAGGATTGAAAAAGTCCGTCTCAGAAACAGTTTGAGGGGAGGTGCCTGTGCTAGAGACACCAGGTGAGAGACCCGGACAATCACGCGGTGATTCGTGTGCTTGTGAGTTTGTCGACTCGCGACGGGTGTTTGATGCAGGTGAGGGATAGGCTGCCATGTTGAACGTGAATGGCCGTGATTGCACAGGATCAAACGTCTGCTGCAAGGGTGAAGCCTCTACCGAACGATGCGATGCACCATCCTGCCTGAACCGTTGCAGCTGCTGCTTCAAGTATGAGTTTTCCTGCTGCTGCGTCGAGGTTGTTTGCTCCAACTCTGCGATACGGTCTTCGAGCTGCTTGACGTGATTCTCCTTGCGCTCCCTAAAGGCACGCTGAGCAGCACGATTCTGTGCTTTTCGTTTGGTGGTGGGTTGATCTGTAATGGGCTTTCTCCCTGGCTTCTTCTTCTCTGACGCAGTTGTTGTAGTATCTGTCGTAGCAGCATCACCGAGCGCAGTCCGTTTCGCCGCACGTTCAGCGCCATCGCCCGTTGGGTGCTGAGTGCGATCATCGCCACTGCTGCTCTCATTGCCATTACCCTCCTGCTTCACATACGCCTGACCGTATAGCTGCTCATTGGTGGTAGTCTGTGGTAGGAGATCTAAGCCAAAGGAGGCGGCGAGTTGCGCATATTGGTAGGCGGCTGCGTCGCTCATAGCGTTGGATGATTCAGAAGCAGCGCTTTCTTGGCGCACAGGAGCAGTCGTCGTCGACATCTGTAGGGAATGGGCGCTTTTGCTGTTTTTATCGATGGTGCTTGACGTTAGGGGCCTAGATCGTGGTACCTGATGCGTGCGCTCGAGTCTCCTGAACGGAAGTTGCACTTGCGATTGCTTTGGAGTGTCAGGAGAGTCCTACACGGGATGGATCTACTGCTCTCTTCGTCCCTGGGTCCTTTGGGTGTGTGGTTCAGGGGCGTGGAAGGTGAAAGTCAATCGGTCGCAGCTTCAACCAGGCGACACGAGGACCCGACCACGTCTGCAGTGCGCAATACAGAGGGCCCAGACACAAGATTTGGAGAGCAGAGAGGCTCTCTTCTGTTTAGTATATATCTGTATCTACTTCTACCAATAGACCACTGCGCGCACCAGGACAAGACTGCTTCTTTCCCTGCCGCCTGCCAAATTTGATTTCTAATCGCCGGCAGCCAATCAGAGGGCCGAATCGCGGGCATGATCTGATATGGGAGAGAGCTCAGAGGATGCGTAGAAGCAATGGAGAGAGCTGAGTAAGAGGTATATTGCTCGAGAGGGCCGAAAGTGAAGAAGGGCCGGGCAGAGGAAGTCTATTCAGCAAGTCTTCTCTTTTGGACCTCAGCAGGCATCAGCAAGCACATAGATGGAGTCAATGAGTGGAGCGGATCAGACATGCACAGAAGAGGAGAGGAAGGATGAGCTCTTGCGGACGATCATTTAGATACTCGCAATGCAAGAGTCAAGCTGCCGGTCAAGTCAAGTGCAAGTGAATGCACAAGAGAGAACCATGACCTGACGGCAGGGCTGTCTGTGTGCTCCGGAGAACTCACAGACAAGAGGGTGCGCTATAGAGACGCTAGGAGTGCTGCTTTTGTAGAAAAGAAGATGCGATAAATGCTGGATGCAGAGGAAGAGCAAAGATTTACTCGGTCTGGATCGCACCACGCTCAGACACGTAGATACCATCTGTTCAGTTAGCAATCATTCAATGCAGTACGCTCAACATACCGAGGAACTTTCGGATATCCTTGTTCTTGACGGCACATGACTGTTGGATCGATGCAGCCGACTGTGAGACATTCTCAATGGAGTTGCCCTCAAGGACAATCTCATCCTTGACGTTCTTTGAAAAGTCGACCGTCACACCCTCGAGCATCGGCACCTTGCGGATGACCTTTTCACCCAAAAAGTTGCGAATCTCCACGACATTGTCCTCAACAACATTGACATTGATGGGGAAATGGGCATAGACGTAACGCAGCTTGTAACGGAATCCCTTTGTAACACCCGTAATCATGTTGTTGATGAGGGAACGGACGGTACGCAAGCAAGCATTTCCCTTTCGGTCACCGTGGTAGACCTTGAAGGAGATTTGCGTCTCTGAGACCTTGCGGATGATCATGGAGATGTGCTGCAAGTTCTTGTTGAGCTCGCCGCGGGGGCCCGTCACCTTGATGATGCGGGCCTTGATGTCGACGGTGACTCCTGCGGGGATCTCGAGTGTCTCTTCTTGCTGGATGGAACGCATGGCTGCTGCTAGGTGTGAATGACTAGGCTATGTCTGGTACTTGCTTGCTTGCTCTCTTGTGGTCGTTGCTGCTGCTGACTTTTCCTGTTGATTATTCTGGTGACTGCTACGACCGTGGGAACTATCTTTATATTTACAGAGTCTACTTACCAGCTACTAGTTACTGTCTCGAGCATGTCCACCCCCTTCATCAAGCAGCTCGCGGCACATGAACGCAAGACGCGCGATGCAGCCGTCGCCAGTCTCACCCAGTATCTCACCGCAAACCGCGCCTTCACCGAGCTAGAGCTCCTTAAACTATGGAAGGGCCTCTACTACTGCTTCTGGCACTCTGATCGCGTCCTCGTGCAGCAGCAGCTCGCAGGCCAGCTCGCGGGGATCGTGCAAGGTCTCAAGTACCAGAATATCCTGGTCTTCCTGAGTGCTTTTTGGAAGACCATGATGCGGGAGTGGCCCACACTCGACGCACTCCGTCTAGATAAATTCTACACCTTGCTTCGGCGCTTCATTGAGGCAGGATTCAAGAAGTGTGCGCAGCTTGCGTGGGAGCAACCGCTGACGGAGGGGTATATGGTCTTACTGGAAGAAGGCCCACTCGCAGCAGCCGATCGCAAAGTGCCGCTAGGCATTCAGTATCACATCATTGACATTTACCTCGAGGAGCTCGATAAAGTATTGCCACCATTGAGCAAAGACGGCAAAGCAGCAGACAATGCGAAACGGGAAAAGGCCATGGCTGCCGTACCGATTCAACTACTCGCGAGGCCCATGGAGAAGATTATCCTCCATTCACCGACAAAGACACTTCGCTTGCGTGTCCTCAAGTCCTTCTTTGATAATGAGCGGTTGGCAGCCTTTGGGTATGAAGCACCAGGTGAGTCAGACGATGACATGGACGCGCATCAACACGACGAGCACTGTGATCACTCAAAAGACGTCGATAGCGACAACGACAGCGATTCATCCTTTCATGGCTTTGATTGACCACGTATTTGACTTGTAACAGCATCTAGCATAGCATAGCACCTGCATAACCATTCTGTATGACTACATCAAGCGGTCTTTGTTCTTGTTAATCAACTCACCCACACTCAGTGCAATTCCCTGAGATTTAGCACGAATCCGAATGTGTCCCTGAATGGGTTCATCGCCATGCTTCTCAATACTCAAGTTGGCGAGTGCATCTTCACCAAAGACACTCTTGGCATACAAATTGACGCTCAAGAAGCCACAATCCCCCTCGAGGCCAGCCTCGGGCGTCAAGCACGCCATGTTCGTCCGCTCCTGCAACGCTTTCAAGAACGCCACCAGCGTGCCGTGTGCTTCCGCCATGGTGTTCTCCGTGATGGTCACCTTGTTCTCCCACTCAAACGCTGTCCACATCGTGCGGAAGGCGGCATCCGTGATGAAGCCCGGTTGGATGTAGTTCTTGACATCCGTCTTCATATCATTGAGAATCACCACCACGCTCTCCTTGGTCTTGGGGTCATCATACACGCAATTGCCAAAGATGACACCCATGTCCACAGAGGAGACTTTGATGGTGGACTGCACAGAGGCGAAGGCGTGCGCACCGAGACTCTGAGAGATGGGCCGCTCCACTACTTTCAAATCGCCGAGCGTTGCAAACTCCACACTCAGATTCTGGAGCGTCTCGTCGGTTTGATTGACGAGCAAGACATCCAGTACAATGTCGAATTGATGCACGGTGACGTAGGCTTCGACATAGATGGGGTCGGAGTATCCCGTCAATTGCACCACCTTGTTGAGCTTCGAGTTGACATCTTCAAGTGCAATGTCATGTCCGGCAGCCTGCATGATGTCGGCATCCAATGCATCCAACGCAGCGCCACCCTTGTGTGCCAATTGTCGGAATAAAATGACATCGTCCGGCTGTACTGTATCCTTCGCCTTGTCTGCTTCAGTCCGCTTAGCACGTCGAGAATCCTCAACACCCACAATCGCGGTAAAGGCATCTTTCGAGTCTTGCAAAAAGGCGCCTTCAATCTCCTTTTCTTGCTGGAAATCAGTCAATGACTTGAGGCACGCAAGAATACGATCCATCGAGTCTTCATCAATCGGTGATTTAGAGAATGGTGATTGACCCACCCGAATGATACTCGCCATGATGAGCATGGCTTCAGCGCGCAATGCATTCGTTCGCTCCTGGTCGGATGAGATTTCCGCATAGCGCATCACGAGCTTTGCCAAGGTAGCCGACAACACGGCACCCAAAAAGTACTCACCCTCCAACAGCAACTCTCGCATCGGTGGCTTGGCACTCGCCTTGACGGCTTCGAGTCTCGCATCCTTTGCAGCATCCGTCATGGCAGATTCAGTGGCATAGGTGCCATCCGCCAAGACGCGGGGTTTGCTTGATGTGCCTGTGACGAGGTCAGTCGATGCCTCTTCCGGTGCTCCTTGCTTGTCGAGCAATCGCTGCTCAGCAGCCAACATGGGCACCTCACCAATACTCGCGCGGATCTGTTTCCATGCAGCACGAATATCAGCTTCCGTGTCGCAGTACTCGCCAATCACCCATAAGGCCGCACGATACACACGCGCTGCCTTGAGTTCTGCAAGGGTAAGGAGGAGCCGTTCGATAATGGACTGCCGTAGCTCGGGAAATTTCTGCACCACCTCTTTGATGAAGTTGATGATGTCCGTGGCCGTCACAACATTCACCTCTGAGATGAAATCCATGAGCAGATACACCACCGAAGACGCGACTTTGGGGAATTTGATGGCACAGGTGTGCACTGCAGAGATGAGGAGCTGCCGATACTCGTCCTTCTTCTCATAGGCCTGCTCCATTGATTTTGTAAGTTCCTTCTTGAGCATCGTAACAACTTCCTCAACATTGCGCGACGACGTCATGTCCATAGCAAGCGTCAAGGCCTTCCGCCGCACCTCGAGGTCAGGGGTTGACAAGACACGCAGGCACTCCATGACGAAATCGCCGAGGACACCGTCATTTTGTTTGCGAAGCGCATCGACTTTGTCCAGCATGATGAGCTTTGCGTTGTTGTCAGACTCCTTGAGGATCAGCTCGATGAATTTGGAGGCAGAAGCTTGGATGGCAGCAGGGTTGGTTGTCAGTGCAGTCAATGAAGTAGCAGCCTCATACACAACCGTGCTGGTTTGCACTTCCAGAAGCTCAGAGACGAGTTTGAGGTACTGGCTCTTGCTTTCTGGGTTGAGGCTCGCATCCTTGCGGATAAAGTCAATAATGGCCAATTGCATCAGCTCATCCATGCTCAGAATACTGGCGTAGTTGTCCACCACATACTCGGACGCCTTGTCGTGATCGAGCAAGGTCAAAGCAACAAACGCATTCCGCTTGCACGTCGCGTCCGATTCAGCCACCAAAAAGTTGAAGAGTAATTCTGGTGCATCTGGGATGAGGTGCTCTGAATGCGAGTAGATGGAGTAGACTGCAAAGACGGCATTCTTCCTCACATACGCTTGACGGTGTTCGAGGTTTTGTCTGCATGTGGGTACCAGCGGTTCCAGCAACTCTGGCTCCTTGAGCTTATTCAAAAAGCGCGACACAACACCCCGCACATACTCGTTTGGGTGCTGCAGGTCATTGCGGATGGCATTGATGACGAGAATGTACTCTTGCTTGAGTTTACCGTCTGGATTGAGTTTTGGGCACACCTCCCAGTACAAGTAGAGTAGTTTTTTGAGTGCTTTGCTTTTACATGGCATCACAAAGCGAATGACGTGCATGAGGACACCAGGGAGCGACTCGCCATTGTACATGAGCGTCAGGATGATCTTCATGGTGTCGACCTTGACTGCATCACTTTTGTTTTCGAGTGCCGTCTTGAGCTGTTCAACAGACGGCGACTCTGCTGAAGCCGGCTGGGCAATCAGCGTCCAGGACGACATGTCTCTGCTCTTCTCCTTCCTTGCTGCTTCTGGTTTGTGCGTGTTGTGTCGCTGCGTAGAGTCGCGACACGTCGTTGGAAGTGGGGTTAGCGAAGAGTTGCTGCTACACTGCCAAGCGTAAGTATTGACTTAGTCTTCCCTCTGCTCCTGCTACTGCTCACAGCTCAGCTTCTTATTCTGCTACTTGCTACTCAGGCTTCTATATCAAACCATCTGCTCAGCTGAGCGTCTCCATTGCAATGTCAGACACAGCCAATGAGGTGCTCGAACAACCCTTCTATCTACGCTACTATGCTGGTCCGTGCTGCTCACCTCCCTGCTACCAAAGCTAACAGCAGGCCACCAAGGCCGCTTCGGGCATGAATTCCTAGAATTTGACTTCAAAGCGAATGGCGTTGCGCGGTATGCCAACAATAGCAATTATCGCTCAGACTCCCTCATCCGTAAAGAGATGTGCGTCTCGGCACTTGTTATTGGAGAAATCAAGCGTATCGTCAAAGACTCAGAGATCCTCAAAGAAGATGATGCAAGATGGCCACCGAGAAACAGAGACGGCAAGCAGGAACTTGAAATACGCATGGGCAATGAGCACATCTCCTTTGAGGTGGCCAAGATTGGTTCACTTGCAGATGTGCAAGAAAGCGACGACCCTGAAGGCTTGCGTGTCTTTTACTATCTCGTGCAAGATCTCAAAGCACTTTGCTTCAGTCTGATAGGCATGCATTTCAGAATAAAACCTGTCCATTAAAATGTCTATAAAATTCCTAATCCACGTTATGACATGAATGCTGCCACTGCGAATAGTACTCGCCATTCTTGGTGATGATACAGCCTAGGCCGGGGTGCAACTCTGCCTGCAACGGCTCCCATGGCATGCTCTCGCCATCAATGGAGATGAAGCCTTCCTTACCGTGTGGAGTGAGCCGAAAGCCACGCAGCTTGGCGTAGTAAGCATGCTTGCTGTCGTAGTGCTTTGCCGAGTCAACGGCAGAGACTGTTGAGAGGGCACTGAAGAACGGAAGATCCGATTCCATGCTGAATAAATCCATCGCACCACTATGCGGCCGTGCAGCAGGAAAGATGCACGCGGCAGAAGACATGTAAGGCATGAGAGCAGCGTAGAAGCAGCCCATTTTAGGGTGCTCTTCTGTCCTCCAAGATGCTGGAACAGGATCGTTGACGGTGCCATATTTGAGCGGCGGCAGGCCTTTTGCGTCATTGTCTGCTTGCCGATGCACGTCCCGTCGTGTATCATACTCTTTGCGAATGACCTTCTTGTCCTCTTGCACAATATCCAGTGAGATTGTACAAGGATAGGCTGTACGAGTCATGATGCGTTGCAAGACGCCGACAGTGAAACGCGCTTCGCCCATCCAGCGCATGTGTTCTGTTCCCAAGTCTCCATCTGCAATTACCCCAAAGGAAACTGAAAAGTACGAGAGAAATCGCCGTTGTCCCTGAGTGATGCTCATCAAGTCGATGGGTGTCTCAACGCCCTTGACAACGGCAAGTGCACACTCCACAACGTTGTGCGTATCATAGATGGACTTGGCAGAGCCATTGCCACTACCGGCCGGTAGAAACGCAACAGGCAATTTGAGCGCTCTGTTCGCATCGGGCCGCGAGGCGAGGCCATTGAATACTTCATGCGGCAGGCCGTCTCCAGAGATACACATGAGCACGTCGTACTGCTCCACATCGAGTGCTGCAGCAATCTCATGGGCATGATTGCGATGTGTGGTTTCTTGCAGGTCAATCTTGTATTGAGCAGCTTCGAAGATGGGCTTGGCGAAGTCTTGCCAGAGGGAACGCGCTTTGCGTGTACCGCCAAATGGATTGAGTAGGACCTTGATACGCTTCCTTGGCTGCGTCTTGCGATAGGCAGCACGCCAGGCTTCCTCCGTGAAGGCATCGACTGCATGTTCCGGCAAGTCCTCCACGATTAGCCGCTTCACCTTCTTCTTTGCAAGCCGCAGATAGGAGATTGTGAGCCGAGCGTCCTTATACTCAAGGCCCAAGACATCATACAGCGAGATGATGCGTTCCTTGAAGGGCTTCCCAACGGAACAGCAGTTCCTCAAGAGTCCATCGAGACTGACGCGCGCATGATGGCCGTCACGCGCGGGTGGGTTGTCTGCGCGATAGATTTTGAGATCATCGTTGCAGATGCTGATATGCACCTGCTGTGCATTTGCAATAGACATGCCGTGCCCACTCAGACTGTCTAGCGAGCCAAGAAGAGACCTTGTGTTGTGGTGCCCAAATTGATCTGTTGCAGCCCAAATTCAAAGCGACGACAAACTCGAGACACTGAGACTAATATTAGGCTACTAGCAGACCACCTGGTGCTGCACTCTGGTTGCTACGATGAATGCATTGTATGATCGCATGACTGGCAAAGACAAGTTACTTCGGTGATAGCCTAAGAAGATATATATTCTAGATGAGCAAGACTGCAGCAGCAGCAATGGCAGCAATACCACCAAGGACTTTCTTGAGTGACACACTGTTTGCGCCAGAAGCAGAGGCAATCACTGTTGCGCGCGATGATGAAGCAGCAGCAGCAGCAGTGCCTGTAGCAGGGTTCAACGTAGTGGCTTGACCAGCACCTGCACGGCTCGCTGATCCAGACATGCGAGAAGCACGAGCACTACCCTGTGGCATAGCTGGTCGTGGCTTCATTGAACCAGCAGCGGCAGGTGGCCGCATCACTGAACCGGAAGCGCGAGCTGGTGCAGGCATGCGTGTACCAGATGGCCTGGGCATCATACCTGTCATCACACCAGCAGGAACAGGCAACCCGCTACCTGCTGCAGGTCCACCCATAGCAGGCGGTGCAACAGCAGATGGAGCCTGACGCTTAATAAGGGGTGCATCGGCAGGACCGACAGGTGCAACAAGACCTGTCGGTCGTGGTGGCGCATCAGCAGAGGGAGCGCGACCAGAGGGTCGCGGTGGTCGACCACCACTGTGCAAGGGACCCGGACGCACGCCAGATGGAGCAGCAGGTGTGAAGGACAGACATTTTGCAAAGTCAAGTGCCGTGTGCGATGGCTTTGGACCGCGCGTGTTGCGGTCTGTGGGTGGGTCTCGTTGGGCGGGACCACGGATCTTGTCGAGACCTGGTGCGCCGGGCATGTTTGCAAGCGGTGCTGGTGGGCAGGCGGGTGCGGTAGGCATAGCGGATGGTGCGAGTGCAGTCATCTTCTCGTGTAGGCCGATTGATGGTGAGCGACCTTGCGACCTTAAGTACTTGTTGAATAGATCGAGAGCAGCCCGTTGCAACGGCCATAATACTTGGCAAAGCTTATTTCCAATGACGGACAAGGTAGTGTTGGAGCCACTAAATCGGGCGAGATGAGCTTGGCAGTCCACACTTACCGCGCCGTACCCTATGCATGAAGACATTGCAGAGGCGTCGCTCGTACTCTTAGGCTGAATCGTCTTGGCAGGCGAAGCGAGGGCAATGTCTGTGTGCGATCGATTGAATCATGTGTCAAACGACTCAGACCGACGCCGTAGACGTGTTGCCGCTGCATGTGGTCATGGGCTAGCCGTGCCGAGACAAGAGTTCTCCAACAACTGAGCCAGGATGGGATAGATACAGATGTGACAGCCACTGACAGGTCAAGGCAGCTGTCAACGTATAGCAGATCTAGTCGGCATGGACGCCACTGCCATACTGTAATCTGTAGCTGATAAGTAATAAGTAATAAGTTCTAAGCTGCCGCGATATCCGAGGAGAAACGGAGCGTTCATGACGGGTCAAAGAAGTAGAGCAAGCTGTATCCCTGGCGTTGTCCGTCTTGGCCTTTTTGCGCAGTCTTCAGCCAAGACAATTCACGAAATCACGACACGAAACTGTGCGACGGAAGCATTCAAAGCAATGGCAAATTTGGGGTCTACTGCAGGCAAAAGAGACTAAAGGTACGTTGCAACAAAGCCAATCTTAAGCTTCCTCCTCGTACGCCTCCTCCTCCTCGAGGTCATCAGCGCTCGCTTCCTGGTACTGCATGTACTCGCTCACGAGATCGTTCATGTTGGATTCTGCCTCTGTGAATTCCATCTCATCCATACCTTCACCCGTGTACCAGTGCAAAAAGGCCTTTCGCCTAAACATGGCGGAGAACTGATCACCCACACGCTTGAAGAGCTCCTGAATCGATGTCGAGTTACCAATGAATGTCGACGACATCTTGAGTCCCTGTGGTGGCACAGAACACAAAGCAGTTTGGACATTATTGGGGATCCACTCAACAAAGTAGGCGGAATTCTTGATTTGCACGGAACGCATCTGTTCCTCCACCTCCTTCATACTCACGGCACCACGGAAGTACGTAGCAACGGTCAAGTAACGTCCGTGACGTGGATCCGATGCAGCCATCATGTTCTTCGGGTCAAACATTTGCTGCGTCAGTTCAGGCACCGACAAGTGCCTGAAGGAGTGCGAACCACGCGACGTCAACGGTGCGAAACCCACCATGAAAAAGTGCAGACGCGGGAAGGGCACCATGTTCACGGCGAGCTTGCGCAAGTCCGAGTTGAGCTGGCCTGGGAAACGCAGACACGTGGTGATGCCTGACATGACAGAGGAGACGAGGTGGTTGAGGTCGCCGTAGGCTGGGTTGGAGAGCTTGAGTGTGCGCATGCAGATATCATACAATGCCTCATTGTCAATGCAAAAAGTCTGGTCCGAGTTCTCCACGAGCTGGTGGATGGACAAGGTGGCATTGTAAGGTTCCACCACCGTGTCGGAGACCTTGGGAGAGGGCACCACGGAGAAAGTGGCCATCATACGGTCTGGGTACTCTTCACGAATCTTGGAGATGAGAAGGGTTCCCATACCGGCACCCGTACCACCACCGAGTGAGTGTGTGATTTGGAAACCTTGCAGGCAGTCGCAGCCCTCGGCTTCACGACGCACGACATCGAGCACAGAGTCAACGAGCTCGGCACCTTCTGTGTAGTGTCCTTTTGCCCAGTTGTTGCCGGCGCCGCTCTGACCAAAGACAAAGTTGTCTGGAGGTTAGTGGAAATTAGTAAAAGCGAATTTGGCGGACCTGGTCGGAAGAGGTTGCCAAATGGTCCAGCACGAACGGCGTCCATGGTACCGGGCTCGAGATCAATCAACACGGCACGCGGAACATGCTTGTTGGAGGAGGTCTGTTTTTGTGTTAGTAATTCTATTGCAACACAATTAAGATATACTTCGTTGAAGTAGACATTCATGCGCTCGAGCTGGATGTCAGAGTCACCGCAGTAGACACCATTGCCATCGAGACCGTGCTCGCCTAGATGGAGGGTTAGCGTGTTGCTCTGTTTTGGTCGAGACGCGCGTTGCACGGGGGTTGGCTGAGCAATGGACGCGTCAAGACGTGGTATTACCTGAGATGGTGGACCAGAAGGCACCTCCGATCTAAATTGGGTTTGTCAGAAGTCTGCTGGGTGTGTAGAAGGATGCAATGGAGGGGCATCTGCGTGTTGGCATACCTGGTTACCGCATTCTAGTGGATGTTAGTACGTGACTAGGTCAGAATAGATAGGGGAGCATACGTCCTGTCTGTAGATGAACGATTTCTCTCATTGCTGGTTGATGGATTGGTAGCTGGAGTAGTCTCTAGTCTGTAGTAGCAGTTGGTGAGTGTCTCTGCTGTTGTTGTCAACTCGGGACTGCAACAGATTGACACAAAATCAGGGAACTATCAGCAGCATACACGGCATAGATAGGGACGGGAGGGAGTGTCTGTCGAAGAGGAGGGAGCACTGATGAGCTACTCTCTAGGACTGCTTCTATTTACGAGGATATAGTTGCTTAGGTAAGCAGGAACGCGAAATATCAGCACGTGTCTGTTGTAGATAGCTACAGTCTACAGATGAGAGTGTCTGGGCAGTAGATGTATAGATGAGCAGAGAGTGCTGCTGAGTACTAGCTATGAAAGAGAGAGTGCTGATTCTCCCTGTATTGCTCTGTCCCTGCTCTGGACTGGGGCAGCAACAACGAGCCATGCCATACCCAAAGACCAGCAGGATAAAGCAGGACACTGTGCAGTCAGAGCAGGACACAGCAGGACACTGCACAGTCAGAGCAGAACAGTCTTCGCTTCTCTGCACTGACACCGTATCCCTTGCACATCCTTGCACAGACTCGCTCCCCTCCAGACAGTGCACAGACTGGCACACCTCATACACTGCACAGACTTGCACACAGACACACACACACACACTCTCTCTTGAACCAGCTCCCATCCTCTCTCTCTCTCTTCATCAACCACACACTCTCTGTCTGTCTATCATCAATATGCATCTGCCTTTGCTACTCACATCCTTCGCTGCACTTGCTCTCCTCGCCCTCGCTGCACCACAACCGCACACGCAGCAGCAGGTCCACACACACAAACGCCGCCAGCTCTTCCTCTCAGACATCCAGAAACTCTACCAAGATGCCATCCTCGCCCAGCTTGCTTCCACAACCACAGACGCCTCTCAGACAAGTGCTACGCCTGCTAGTGCACACGTCGCCCTCGCACTCTCAGAGACAAGTGCGCTGCCCACGCAAGGTCCTGCTGTCGCTACACACACAACGCCTGAACGTCTCGATTCTGCTGGACTCGGTGCACAAGGTGAAGCACAGACAACCACACAGCAGCACGACAAACTCGTGACGATCTTCGCAGTTGTATCGTGCGTCTTGCTGGTCATCTTGCTCTCATGCATCGCTGCGCTTGTCTTGCTCTATAGACGCTACACTGCCTTGATGGCATCCACACCAAATCAGCAGACAGGCACGCATCCAGCAGTGCTGCTTCCCAACAAGGAAGAAAAGGATGCATTGATGAGCTACAAGGCGTTTTGGGAGCGAAAGAGACGCAGTGCAATGAGCTCCGTGAGTGAGGAAGCGAGGAGTAAGGAAGCACCAGCAGTAGCACGTCGCGGGAGCAGTGATTCGCAGGCGTCTTCATCGACGGCTGGACCGTTGCCTGTGTATGCTGTCTCTGAGCCTGTTGTCATCCCGGACATCCAGGTACATGATGAGCGATTGGCACCGAGTGCTCCTCGTTACTAGCATCATCTTCCTTTCTGTTGTAGCTCTTCCCATGACTTATCCTCTCTTCTGTTCCTGAATCTCAAAATTTGCTGACCTCATCCGTCTTCACCACCACATACGCCGCATGGACGCTTGATGCATGATGCAGCCCATTCGCACAACAACGGCCTCGACTCAACACTGCCGCTCCCACTGCCCCTCGCATCGGAGACCCCTATCGCCCCGAAAAAACGGGGTGGACCCGTCCATTTACTGGCAGGGTCAGCGGGCGGCTTGATTAGTGCTGCACTGCTCCAACCGTTTGATGTCTTGAAAACGCGCGTTCAGCAGGGAAGTCACGGATCACTACTCAGTGTCCTGCGCGGCACCCTTGCCGGCTCTCATACTCCGCTACAAAGAACCCCGCTGCATGGCTTGCAAAATCTTTGGCGCGGGACGTTACCCAGTGTCTTGCGATCGAGCGTTGGCTCGGGCTTATATTTCTTCACGCTGAATGAGATGCGTAGTCGCCTACCACGCTCTTCGCAAGGCCATCTCTCCTCACAGGCAAACTTGCTCACGGGAGCATTTGCCCGTGCATCCGTGGGTATCATCATGATGCCAGTGACTGTGATCAAGGTACGGTTTGAGAGTAGTCTGTATCGCTATCACTCCATTCGACAGGCTGCAGGTGCCATTGCAAAAGAGAATGGCTTTCGTGGCTTCTTTTATGGTTCAGCAGCGACGGCGTTGCGTGATGCACCGCATGCAGGATTATATGTATCGATCTATGAATGGAGCAAGAAGCGACTCACCGCCCTCGCTGGCAAACCAAACAGCCAGGTAGAGGGCGCATGGATGGTTAATTTTGCGAGTGGTTTGGTAGCAGGCTTTGCAGCGACCCTCCTCACCAACCCCTTCGATGTGGTTCGAACACGCGCACAGCTCGAGCCAGCCAAGTATCCCTCATTTTGGAAAGCAGCCAGGCGGCTTGCTCGTGAAGATGGGGTGCGTTGCTTCTTGGATGGTGTGGGACTTCGTATTGCACGGAAGAGTGTGAGTAGTGCCTTTACCTGGACATTGTACGAGTTGATTTTAGCAAAAGCATAAACCCTTCTATTCCTCCGTGGGTGTCCAGTTGATGGGGAACACAACAAACGGCCGGTACTCACCCTCCAAGCCCAAACTGCCCTCCACTGCATTGACGCTCTCCTCCAATCCCTCTTGTCCACCACGCGTCTTGTCGCCTTTTTCCTTCTTTTGCTTCTTCTTTTGCAGGTTTGTCGGTTGCAGGTAAGCATACTTGTCATCCAAGGCCTTCATCACCGCCTTGTCTTGCTTTTTGAATGGCCGAACAAGCACACAGCAGAAGCGCGCAGGCAGACCATAACGCAACACAGACTCGACATAGACACGCAGCGCTTTGAGATGCACCCACGCCATGAATGTATCCCCGAATGCAGCACGCGCAAGTCGTAGCACATCACCCCATAGTTTGCGTTCCTTGACTTTTGCCTCTGCCAGATCTTCCCTCGACCGCGCTTGTTCCTCCTTATCATAGGTGAAGTCGCGCGGGATGAACTTGAGTTCGCGTGCTTTGTGTGCAAACTCTTGTGCATGCTTCTTAAACACAACGACATTGTACAACGCAAATTCCTCATCCTGCGAAATCTTTTGCGAAGAACGCGGAACGACCATGGGCGTCAAGGTCTCATACGCCTTTTCCCAGTCCTTTTGGTTGTTTTTCGGAATGGCAAAGAATAACGTGACGAGGTAGTCGCTCCCCACCAAGACATGCTCCTTGCGCACAATATCAGCGAGAGCGCGCGTTGACAAGTTACCTGTTTGTCTGCGCGTGAATTGCGTGAGTTGTGACTTGACGGCATTGTACTCGCTGAATTTCGTCCGTACATCTTGCTCTGAGGCTGCTGCATCCTTTGCCAGCATCTGCATGAGTTCGGCAATGCTCCGATCACTGCGGTACTTGCTTGTATTCCATTGAAAGCCTGCAAGATACTCTTCCGCTGCTCTATCACCCACTACCTCTTGTTCAGCCATTTTGCGACGATCGCCTTGTAGGATCTGCTTGAGGATATCGGCGACTTTGTAGACATAGCCTTCGCATGTTGTATCCAGGCGCGCCAAATCCTCTGCATTAGATACCAGCGCGTCCAGTGTGCCAATCTCAGTGTATTAGCAAGAAGTCTGTGTACTTGGCAAGATACCTTGAGGTCAGGAATAGGGAAGCGACTGATATCTGCCATGTCCTGCGTCACAACCGCTTGTATAACCGCATACGCTGCATCGGGCGGTGTGTTCTCTGCAGGCGGTGGTACAGCGACCAGCTGGTATCCTAGCTTTGACATCTCTTTCTACTCAATCTACACCCTTCTCTAGCTCTAGCTTCTGTCTGTAGTAAGTTGTAGACTAACTTGTAGTCGATGATGAGAGTTGATGTTGAACGCTCACACGTGCAGACAAGAACAAGTCCACTACTTTTAGTCTACTCACCAGCGGCTACAGTGACTCAGTGAGTGATACTGTGATAGGAGCTAGCAGGAGGCATGATCGCAGCAGGAGGATTCAGTATGCGGCCATCGAAGCTCAGAGAGGTCCTCACTCATGAGCAAGAGGCTGCGTCCGACACCCAGGCAGCCCGTCAAGAAGCCGACGACAGCATGCAGGAAGATACACCACCCGTACGCGTCGTTGCAGCGGGACAGACCGTGTATGAGCTCGGTAGTGAGATGCTCTACTTTGCAGATATCCTCGAACGCCATGCCGGCGGGCAACTCTTTGGAGAACGCGGTTTATTGGCGCGTTACTACTCCATTGGCCAGGATAAGCTGGATGAGCTCGCTGAGCTTGAGCAAGACGGTGCAGATACAAACACCACGCACTTACGAGAACAATGGGAACTGGAGTGCCGGACGTGGGATCTCGTACAACGCTTGTACCTAGAACGCACGCGCGAGATTGAGTGGCTCGAGGCACCCCATCCGTATGTCTCGAACCATGCACTCGAGCTGCTTTACTACAACAACGACCATACTGCTTCTGAGCAACGCATCGTCTTGGACTGGCTGAGAGATGGGAGTACGGCTGCGACAGAGTTTCAAGTGCGTGGTAATCGCTGGTTTTACACAAAAGAACACCTCCTCAATCGCAAGCGCATGGGGAAACTCTCACAGGATGATGGCACCGTCACCGAACTAGATCCCGATGCGCCATATCGGCAAGGCAAAAAACTAGCGCCCGAGGATGATGCGTTTGAGAGACGCCTGCTGCGACAACTCTTCTATCTCGTTCGGGCAGGTGAGTTTGAGGAAGCTGCAGAACTATGCAGAGATTCAGGCAATGCCTGGCGTGTAGCGAGTATGCAAGGCGGTGTAGAGTACCGCGATGCAGCCATCGACAGCCTCGACCTCGTTACGGAAACCGAGGGCAACCCGAATAAAGCACTCTGGCGACGCATGTGTTTTGCACTCTCTCAACAACCCGGCTTCAATGAGTATGAACGTGCGTTGTATGGTGCGCTGTGTGGCGATTTGGCGAGTGTCTTGCCAGTCTGCAATACATGGGACGATGCACTCTGGGCGCACTACAATGCCCTGACGCAGTGTAAAGTCGAGGCACACCTCCGCTCACTGGGTCGCGCACAGTTCGAGGGATCCTTTCAAATCTCTACGTCTGAACACCTCCTGCCGGGAAATATCTTTGAGGCGCTCGTTCGGTCACAGGAGCCCGTCGTCGCACACCAAGCTATGCACCCGATGCGCGTGATTCAAGCGCGTCTTGTGACGAACCAGATTCCTGAGCTACTCGAGGATATCCACCAGCAACTCAAGCAAATGCAACAAGGTGGCAAAGCATCCGTTGCATCTGTACCGTATGTCATTCGCTTTGTGGCGCATCTCATACTGGCCTTGCGGCAGATGGATGTGGCTATACCACAGGAACCTGCAGATGCTGTACTACAGGCGTATGCCGAGCTCCTTGCGAGTGCCGATGCTCAAGCGGCGGTTGCCTTGTATGCCGCACAGCTACCGGCTGCAATAGGCATCGAAGCAACAGCCCGCTACCTCACCCGTATTGAAGACGATGAAGCGCGCAGGCAACAATTACTGAATGCAGAGAAGCATGGTCTGGATGTACGGCAATTGCTCTTGCGCACGGTTGAGCTGGTGTTTGAAACATCCTTGCCTGCTGCTCTGCCGTCGTCCACTCAAACTGGACACATCCTGGATCCTGTCTCGACTGAGGATGAGCGGTGTGTGCGTGCGCTGGAATGGCTACCGATGGATACACGTCTACAAACAGAGTGCATGACGCTCGGTGCTGCCCTCTTTCGAAAATTGCTGTTGGCAGGACACGTCAGTGCTGCGAGGTTACTAGAACAGCGATTGCCAGATTCAACACTCGTTGCTGCAGAACTCATGGAGGATTCAAGTGATGCGCCACCAGTCGATGAAGAGGTCAAGATGCGGAGTGCGCTTGAGTATGTCGGTTATTGCAACTTGTGTCGTGGTCTTGCACGCTATGAACAGTGGAAACAGCTGATTCGCAATCGACCCGTTGAAGCAGGTGGTCGGCGTGATCCTGTTGGACAGCGGCAGTGGTCTGCAGAGGTGGCACGACAGCGTCAAGAATGTGTGTTGCTGCTGCGGGAGATCTTGGAAGGCAATTGGTGTGATCCTGCACAACTCAGTGTGGATCCGAGTCAGGGTATGTTTTTATCATCTGAGTCTTTTGGCTTGCTAACAACAGAATTGTTCGCAGAGATGAGTCAGCTGAGGACGTTGTACCTGCCGCAAGTGGTGCTCAAGTTGCATGGCGTGTACTGCGCACAGGAAGCGAGGGACATGGATGCGGCGATGGCCTTGGCGGTGCTGGTGTCTGAGCAGCTGACTGGACCCATGCAGGCATCTGGCTTGTTGGAGAGTTATGTGATTGAGCTGGGTCGTGTTGGTGCGTATCTAGCATGAGTCCATCTATACTATTCACTATTCTATGGGTGCTCTTTCATGCTGTCCCATCTGAACTGTATGTGGCTGAGCTGCCAAGGATCGTGGCTGGTGTGGCCGTGCAGAAGGGCAGATGCGGTCATCTATTAGCCGCTGACTGTGTGCAGTATGTAGCTAGAGTACTCGATTTAGACTCTGCTGGACGATGCTGATGGGGCTCATCTGCTGTGCTGTATTCTGTATTCTGTATATGCCCGCCATAGCAACTGACACCGTATTCCTTCCACACGTGTATGCACAGCCTCTGAGTGAACTGCGCAACGGAAGCATCAACAAGACTCAAGAGAGAGCAGGCAGGCAGCAGCAGGCAGTGACAGCAGGTGAGCAACGCAGCGTACATACGACACAGGCACTACTTCATCGCCGCCCTTCCCTCTCCCTCCCTCCCATCTACTCACTCCTTCTCTTTCTCTCTCTATCTATCTCTCTCTCAAACAATAACATCCTCATCCCCCGCACGCCAGCATCAGCGGCCATGGTCGACATCAAAATCGACACAAGCAACCTGGAGCAAGGCGCCCAGCACAATAGCCAAGGCATAGACCTCGTCCCGCGCAGCCAGGCCAGTGAAATGACCTCCACCGCTGCAGGCAACACATCAGGCGATGGCAACAACAACAACCTACTCGCCGTTCCCGGTAAACCTACAGGACGATCCGGTAGTGTCTCTAGTGCAGAGAGTACCTTGCCCTGGGATGATACCGGTGCGCGCGGTGAAGATCGCGAGACAGTCCTTGAAGCAGCGCGCGAGATTATGCACCAGCGCGATGGTGATGAGACGGGACCTTTTGCCTTCACCAATACGCAACTACAAGCGCTCATGGATCCGAAGAACCTGGAAGTCCTGCGGCAGATGGGCGGCATGGCTGGCCTCGTCAAGGGCCTACAGTCAGATGTCCAGATGGGATTGTCTTGGGACGAAACAACCATTCCTGTGCCTGTGACCCTGCAGGACGCGCTCGCTGCTGGTGAATCGCCAAGCAAGGAGATGCTCAAGATGCCCGTTACAACAGGCGCGCCCACACCGGGCATCACCAAGAAACCAACCCTTGGCATTAAAAAGACATTGACAACACGCAGTACCATGAAGGTCGACGAGAACAAGATGGAAGACCGCAAGCGCATCTACAGCACCAACACCCTCCCTGCTCGCAAAACGAAAAACATCTTCCAGCTCATGTGGATCGCGCTGCAGGACAAAGTCCTGATTTTGCTGTCCATTGCCGCCGTTATTTCACTTGCTTTGGGTCTTTACGAGACTTTTGGTGAAGAACCCGACAGGGACGCTCAGGGAAATGAGATCCCGCAGCTCGACTGGGTGGAAGGTGTTGCTATTGTTGTGGCTATTGCCATTGTCACTATTGTCGGCTCAGCCAACGATTACCAAAAGGAACGCCAATTCGTCAAGCTCAACAAAAAGGTACGTTCTATTTAAAGCTTGACATGCACTAACAAAACAGAAAGAAGACCGCAAAGTCACCGTCATTCGATCTGGAAAAATTGTCCGCATTTCTGTGTACGACGTTGTTGTTGGCGATGTCATGCAATTCGAGCCAGGAGATGTCTTGCCCGTCGATGGAGTCTTGATTGCTGGTCACAACGTCAAGTGCGATGAATCTGCAGCAACAGGCGAATCCGATACGCTCAAGAAAATTCCTGGACAAGAGGCGCTCGACAGCACGGATGCTGGTGAAGCCTTCTCCAAGAAGGCCGACCCATTCATGCTCTCTGGTGCAAAAGTCAGTGAAGGTGTCGGTACTTTTCTCGTCACATCCGTGGGTATCCACTCCTTCAATGGTAAAACAATGATGGCCCTGCAAACCGAGACTGAAGACACACCGCTCCAGCAGAAACTCAACGTCGTGGCCACAACCATTGCCAAGCTCGGTGGTGCTGCTGCACTGCTCCTGTTTGTTGTGTCCTTTATCGAATACCTCGTTCGTCTTCGCAGCAACAACGGTACACCCTCGCAAAAGGGACAGGAATTCCTGGACCTCTTCATCATTGCCGTTACCGTCATTGTCGTTGCCATCCCAGAAGGTCTGCCACTCGCTGTTACCCTTGCACTTGCCTTTGCCACTACGCGCATGCTGAAGGACAACAACCTCGTTCGTATCCTCAAGTCTTGCGAAACCATGGGCAATGCCACCACCATTTGTTCCGACAAGACGGGCACCCTCACGCAAAACAGCATGACGGTGGTGGCTGGTACACTTTCGCTCAATCACAGTTTCACACACTCTGTGGATGATGCGCCTGAACCCACGGGCGACTTGTTGGCTGGGGAAAAGGCAGAGGCGGACGCACAACTCGCTATCCAAGCAGAGCGCGATGTTGCGCGTCATTTGGGTGGCAATTCAATGCCTATTACCAAATTCGCCACAAAGCTCGGTGCTGCGGTGAAGGATGTCTTGCTCAAGGGTATCGCCATCAACTCGACTGCCTTTGAAGGTGTGGATGAACACGGCAAGCAAGGGTTCGTTGGATCCAAAACGGAAACGGCTTTGCTTGAATTTGCAAAACTGCATCTCGGCATGGAGCCCGTGTCTACTGTTCGCGCCAACCATCCGACCGTCCATTTGATTCCCTTTAGCTCTGAGAAGAAGTGCATGGGCGCTGTGAGCAAGCTTGACGATGGTTCCTTCCGTCTCTACTTGAAAGGTGCCTCGGAAATCATCCTTCGATACTGTTCAGACGTCATTCAAGATCCCTTTATTGACGACAGCAAGATCATCACTCAACCACTGCAGTCTGATGATCGCGAGAAGCTCGAAGGCACAATCAGCCGATATGCCAACGAGTCTTTGCGTACAATTGGTCTGGGATACAAGGATTTCGCACAGTGGCCACCTGCAGGTCTTCGCCCTTCAAGCGACGGCTCCCTCAATTTGGATGACCTCTTCACTGGTTTCACACTCATTGGTATTGTTGGTATTCAGGACCCCTTGCGACCTGGTGTCAAGCAGGCTGTGCTTGATTGCCAAGGCGCTGGTGTCGTGGTGCGTATGGTGACGGGCGACAATCTCATCACTGCGCGCGCGATTGCCACTGAATGCGGCATTTACAATGAAGCAGCTGGTGGGATCATCATGGAAGGTCCTCAATTCAGGCGTCTCGGTCATACGGAAATGGATCACATCATTCCCAGGTTGCAGGTGCTTGCGCGCTCGTCTCCAGAGGATAAGCAGATTCTTGTGCGTCGACTCAAGCAGCTTGGTGAGACGGTTGCCGTGACGGGTGATGGCACAAACGATGGTCCTGCCCTCAAGATGGCTGATGTTGGTTTCTCCATGGGTATTGCCGGTACGGAAGTAGCCAAGGAGGCTTCTGCCATTATTCTCATGGACGATAACTTTTCCTCGATTGTCAAGGCAATGGCGTGGGGTCGTGCAGTCAATGATGCTGTCAAGAAGTTCTTGCAATTCCAAATCACCGTCAACATTACGGCTGTGCTGCTCACCTTCATCTCCGTTGTCTCCGGCAGTGACTCGTCGTCTGTGCTGACGGCTGTGCAACTGCTCTGGGTTAATTTGATCATGGACACACTCGCTGCTTTGGCTCTTGCAACAGATCCCCCAACCGATACTATCCTGAAGCGCAAGCCTGCCAAGAAGTCTGATAACCTCATCACGTTTGATATGTGGAAGATGATTATTGGTCAGGCCATCTACCAACTCACCATCACCCTCATCCTATACTACGCCGGAACGGGCATCTTTGGTTGGGATGAGAACCGGACTGCTATCCAAGCCAAGCAAATCAACCAGACCGTTGTATTCAATGCCTTTGTTTGGTGTCAAATCTTCAACCAACTCAATAACAGGCGGCTGGACAACAAGTTGAATGTGTTTGAAGGTATCACTCGCAACTGGTTCTACTGGATCATCAACCTTGTTATGATTGGTGGTCAGATCATGATTATCTTTGTGGGTGGACGTGCCTTTAGCGTTGTGCGCATCAGTGGTACAGACTGGGCCATCTCCATTATTGTGGGTCTCATCTCGATTCCTGTGGCCATCATCATTCGTCTGATTCCCAACGATGCCATTCGGCCCTTCATCCCTGCCTTCATCCTCAACTGGGACAAACGCCGCCCGATTGACATCTCAGACGAGGAGCGTGCAGAGTGGAACCCTGCCGTCAACCAAGTCCGCGATGAACTTGCCTTTATCCGCAATATCCGTTCGAGCAGACGTATTGGCAACCTGGGTATCCATGCAAAGAGAAAGCAAACGGCCAAGTACTTTGGTGGCAACAAGGATCAACACAAGCGTGCTGCCTCTGGCTCTGTGGCTGCTGCGTTGTTGCTGCCGTCGTTTGTGGCGACTGGACCGGCTGGCTTTGGGCCGCCGTCGTCGCCTGCGCCGAGCCAGAGCGGATATGCTGGCTCGACCCGGTCATCGACCAAGAAGTAGGATTATTGGTGCCTGTGTGCAAATGAGGGGATTCAAAGCCAGTGTTGTGTTTGTAAGAGTAATATTGTCCATCTGTGCTGTCTTTATCTGTTGCGTGATTGTGACTGCGGCTTTCCCCATTTTCTGTATTTTCTGTGACTGCCTTTTTCTGTCAACACGAAATTTGGCCGCCAGCGACAATCGAGCAGCAGCAGCGAAGGGAAGCAGCATCTAAGCAGGGAAAGCATCCAGCAAGCAGGCACAAGAACAAGCTCAGGAAGCAAGCAGCAAAGGCGACAAGACACATATACACAAATGGCAGGAGCAAAGATCGCAGCGCACACACTCAGGTCGCAGAACAAGGCAGAGCTGATGAAGCAGCTCGAGGACCTCAAGCAAGAACTTGCTTCCCTCCGTGTCCAGAAGATCGCAGGCGGTGCATCCAGCAAGGTCACCAAGATCCACGACGTGCGCAAGAACATTGCTCGTGTCTTGACCGTCATCACAGCCAACCAGAGGCAAGCAGTCCGCGAGCAGTTCAAGGGCAAGAGGACACCCCTTGACTTGCGTGTCAAGCAGACCCGCGCCATCCGTCGTCAGCTCACCAAGTTCGAGGCGACCAAGATCACCGAGAAGCAGAGGAAGAAGCTCGTCCACTTCCCTCAGCGCAAGTTTGCGCTCAAGGCCTCCGCTTAAAGCGTTGGACAGGGCTTTTGTTATGGCTCCATCCTTGTCGCATCTCACACACCCTTTCACGAAGCATCAACTCTCATCTACACCATCACATGTCCTCATTGACAACATCAATTTGTGTCAGCTGAGGACTAGAGCTCCACGCGTTCTGGTGAGGCACTCATCACTTTTCGTTCACCTCTACGCCGAGTCTCACATCTCCAACGGCTCTTATATAGCAGCTACATAATACTAGCTCCCGTTGACCAAAGACTCCCTTTCCTGTGTTGTGATCCCATGAGCTATACCTTGACACTAGATGTAGACGCGGCTGACTTGCATCCAAGACAACACATCACAACCACGGCGGGGCGCGCGCCTGCAGGGCCGCCAAGGAGCTTCAGCTATCCTTTCGCTCTGCTACAGAAGCTGCAGAAGCTATCATGCTCAAGGCCATCTCAGGTCTCGCGGGCACTTCTGGGATCAAGTCGCAGTACATCATCGATGAGCAAGCACCGACATTCAAAGCGGGCGCCTGGCAGGTCCAGGATGCGACGCGCAAATCAACAGGACAAGTCGTCAGTGTCCTCACGTTTACAAAGAGCTCGCTCAGTCAACCGCTACCACGAGCCTCTGGCGGCGGCTCTTCTCTCAGGCAAGCGACAGAACGCATCGTGCAGCAATTGAAAGCTGAAGTCGCATGTCTTGCAAGATTACGCCATCCTGCCCTCTTGGAAGTGGTAGAGCCTATTGAAGAGACGCGCGGGTCACTCCTTTTTGTCACGGAACGCGTCTCTGGCTGTCTTGGCATGCAGGTCTATGAAGACGATGACGCGAGTTTCGGCAGCAGTGGACGGCGGCATCGCGGGAGTGAGTCGAGTCGTTTGGATGAGGTGGAGATCCAAAAGGGACTCTTACAGCTGACGATTGGCTTGGAGTTTCTACAGTCTGTTGCTGGAATTGTGCACGGCAACTTGGTACCTGATGCCGTCTTCATCAATGCCAAGGGTGACTGGAAGCTGGGTGGCTTCAGCTTTGCCGTGGCAGTAAAAGAAGCAGCGACGTATGAGCCGCCAGAGCAGGACACACGTCTACCAAAGACTGTACAACGCAACCTCGACTATGCAGCGCCAGAGTTCATCCTCGATGACCAAATTGATCCGCTCAACGACATGTTCTCGCTTGGTTGTCTCATCTGTGCGCTTGTCTCTACCAAGCGGCAGAGTATCATTCAAAGTCATCAAAATATCCATCAGTATCGCAAAGCGATAGAGCGTCTGAGTGTCGACGCACTCTCAGGTGTACCGCCGTACCTGAAGCAGATTCTACCACAGCTTCTGACGAGACGGCCAGGCAACAGACTCTCTGCCAATGCCTTCCAGTCATCACCCTTTTTTGACAACATCCTCATGAAGTCGATTCGCTTCCTTGATGCATTCCCGGAAAAGACGGCGTCTGAGCGACAGAGCTTCATGAAGGGCCTACAAGGCATCATTCCTCAGTTCCCGCCTCGTGTCTTGACAAAAAAGATACTGCCTGGTATTATGGATCAGTTCAAGGACGTCTCATTATTGCCACTTATCCTGCCCAACGTCTTCCTGATTGGAGAGGGCATGACGCCGAAAGTCTTTTCTGAAGCAGTGCTGCCTCGTCTCAAACAGCTCTTTACCTTGTCAGAATCGCCTGGCTCACTGAGCTTCCTTCTTGATAAGGTGCCTTTCCTCAAATCCAAGATTACAGCATACGAACTCAAGGAAGATGTCATGACGATTGTCTACACTGCCCTTGCTGGGGATGTCCAATATCTACAGGAGAAGGCCTTGAAAGTATCTGTTGAAATCTTGCAAGACTTGGATCTCGTCACCGTCAAGACAACCCTCTTTCCGAAAGTGGCAGAGGTCTTTTCACACACCACCATGCTGGGTACCAAGGTTACGGCTCTCGAGACGTTCAATGCAATGGTTCAACATAACCTGGACAAGTACACCATCACAAAGAAATTACTGCCATTGATCAAGGCCATGAAGACAAAGGAGCCCGATGTCAGTATGGCGGCATTAAAGCTGAGCAAGTCTTGCGGGACACGCATTGATCATGAGAATATTGCACTCGATATCCTGCCTCAGCTCTGGTCCATGGCGCTTGGTCCACTCTTATCACAAACGCAATTCAAGCAATTCATGTCAGTCATCAAATTATTGTCGGAACGCGTCGAGCAAGAACAAGTCAAGAAGTTGACGGATTCAGGGGCTCCTGTGGGATTGCCCTCATCCCAAGGCAGCACGCAAGATCAAGCATGGGTTGCAGGCGGCGCAGCAGTAGAGGAAGTTTCTTTTGAAGCACTCGTTGCCGGTAATGCTCGGCCTGCAGCGAATGTGTCCATGGCACCTCAACGGTCAGCACAGCAGTCGATGCCAGCTTCCTTTGACTGGTCGACACCGAGTGTCCAGCATGCCCCAGCAGCGCCTATGGTGAAGTCTTCAGGCCTTGGCTCGTATCCCGCCATCATGCCTGCCACGAGATCTGGACACTCGCCACCGGCGGCAGGCGTCTACAACAGCAATCTAGGAACCAGACAAGCTACTATGGCTGCAGCGAGTAAACCAAACTACAGCATTTCAACAGACAGCAGTATAGATTGGAGTGCGGCTACCTCAAGACCTGCTGCTGCACCGGCACAATCATACGGTCTCGGTCAACAGTCTGGTGCCGCTCCCTTTGGATGGTCTACGCCGCCGATGCCTCAACAAGGCTTCAACCTCGCTCCCCCGCCAATGCACCAGACAAGTCAAAGTCAGCAGCAGCAGCAGCAGCAGAAGAAGCCGGCTAATGGACTATCGGCGTATCAGTCGCTGTTGTAGTATGAGTCTTCCTGTAGCTACAATGATATGTGACTGCTGTACCCCGTCAGCGTCATGCTCACAATCACCGACTCGTCCACTCTTGATCCTGTCGCGTCCCTTATAGCCAGCGTCGGGCCTTCTGACAGGTCCAGCTTGATCTTCAGAAGCGAGGCCTAGTCGTGCGCAACTAGCTATGGCGTCGTTGCTCTTCAAAGCACCACTTGTACGCATCATACACTCGACTGCGCCAAGACTGACTGCAGGACATTGACATCCGTCTCGATGGCGAGGATACACGCAAGCTGGTTGATATGAAGGTTGGCAAAGACCGCAAGGAGAAGGCGCCGCTGTATGCGGATGGCGAGACCGTCTCTGGCATTGTAAGCACTCAAGCATGACCGCAACAAGACGCTGACCAGCAGATTACCATACGGCCGAAAGACGGACGCAGACTCGAGCACAGCGGCATCAAAGTCCAGTTCATTGGCTCCATTGAGCTCTTCTTTGATCGCGGCAACCACTATGAATTTCTATCTCAACAAGCAGAACTCGCTGCCCCTGGAGAGCTGCGCAATGCCGTTGACTTTCCCTTCAGCTTCAAGAACGTCGAGAAGCAATACGAATCATACCACGGCATCAACGTGCGCTTGCGATACTTTGTTCGAGTGACAGTCTCGCGACGTATGCCGGATGTGGTGAGGGAGAAGGATATCTGGGTGTACTCGTACAAAATGCTATCGGAGCAGAATGCGCCCATCAAGATGGATGTTGGTATTGAGGATTGCCTTCACATTGAGTTTGAGTACAGCAAGGCAAAATACCACCTAAAGGATGTCATTGTGGGCAAAATCTACTTCCTACTCGTCAGACTGAAAATTAAGCATATGGAGCTGTCTATTATACGGCGAGAGACGACAGGCACGGCTCCCAATCAGTACAACGAATCAGAGACTGTGACCAAATTCGAGATTATGGATGGTGCTCCTGTCCGTGGTGAGACCATCCCAATTCGTTTGTTCCTGGGCGGCTTTGACTTGACGCCGACATTCAGGGAAGTCAACAAGAAGTTCTCGACACGATACATACTGAGCCTGGTGCTTCACGATTGTGAGGGACGTAAGTACTTCAAGCAGTCAGAGATATTGCTATATAGAGAGCCAGGCGATGAGACAGAGGCGTCAGCATAATTTGACGTTCAATGGCATAAATGAGATAAGATAGTTTTCGCAACGGCTCAGGCCAACCTGTAGCAAAGCTTCTCGGCGGAGACGCCGCCCTCCTGCTGTCGTTTGAATCCGGCCAGAATACCATCAAGACCACCGTCGAGCAATGTGACCTTGTTTGGCTTGATGACACCCTTCTCGAGCATCTCTGGAAGGGCCTCGAGTGTCTTGACCCAGAACGCCTTGTCTTCCTCGCTTGCATGGAATTCGAAAGGCCCATAACTGAAGGATCGTCCGAAGACCGTGTAAATGAGAGTCATGTCGGCAGTGATCTTGCTGTTGAGCTTTGCAATTTCGTCCTTCTTCTGCGGTGGCAAGAGCGTCGTAATTTTACCGCCCTCAGAGGAGAGAGCCTTGGCAACATTGAGTGTCGTCTCTCCCTCTGAGATGCAGTCAAGTGCAAGCTTCAACTGTCCTTTGGCGGCTTCTGCAGCCTTCTCAGGCCACGAGGCATCTGCATAATCGAAAACCTCGTCTGCGCCCAATTCCTTGAGCAAGCCGTGGTTCTTCTTGGAGGCAGTTGCTAGCACAGTGTATCCACCTGCTTTGGCGAGCTGAATGGCGTACTTGCCCACGCTAGACGAGCCGCCATAAATTAGAATTGGCTGAGGGGTCTTGGCGGGCTGGGTGTAATCTGGGACGCCGAGTCGTTGGTTGATGGCTTGCACCGCAGTAGCAAAGGCCAAGGACGTTGCAGCAGCTTCCTCGTCTGAGGTGTTCTTTGGCACATGGTACAGCTGCTCCGCTTCCGTCAAGACGTACTCGGCAAAGGCACCTCGCAATGGTTCATCGCGCAGGCCGTGAACAAACCCAGCAACACGCTGTCCCTTCTCCAACTTGGCAGCAGCACCCGTTGCACCTTCAGCAATCTCCTCCACGGTACCTGAAAAGTCACATCCAATGATACGGCCCTCTGGGCTCATGTTAAGACCCTTCCAGTCGGTCGGGTTCTGTGCCAAACTCTTGACCTTGACCAAGACCTCGCTCGTGCCAGCTTTGGGTGCTGGACGAGTAACATCCTTGAGCACGGCTTTGTGATCGTTCGAAGTGATAAGAGCACGCATTGACATGTTGGATGGCTACAGGAAGTTGAATTGACTCGGGTCTTCAAATTTGTAATGCAAATTCGACAATGACGTCCTTGGGGAGGCGACGAGATGGAACTGGACTTGGGATTAGCTAGATGAGACTAATAGTATCGATTGTACGTCGCTAGGGTTTGTAACCATTCAGTGATGTATGCATCATTGCGGCGTGCATAATGTGTCGCGGCACAATCCCCCCTTGGTACGTGAAGCCTCCAACGTGTGCAAGAGTGGCAAGGTTGCGCATCTCCTGCAGCAGCTCATCAACTGAACATCGTCCATCCAAGTGGAACACACTCAGAAGCACAGATGAGGCGGATTGCGTCACATTCAACCCGGGAGCTTTGACCAAATATGCGGATGCGAGTGGTTGTGGATCCGCAAGATTGGATGGCCCAATCTGGAACTTGGAGAGCTTGATGGCGAAGACCTTCTCGGACGGGTCATCAAAGTCCCCAATCGGCCTTTCTAATGCAGTCGCAAGCGGCTCATCTTTTGGTGTCTGAGGTTTAATCCTTTCTAGAATGTGCTCCTTTTGCTGCTCCTCAGTCATGCCTTGTAGCGCGTCATGTTCCTCTCTGGCGATCTTTTGCAGATAGGCCAGCAGCGGTGGTTGAACGAGCATCGCTGGTTCAAGATCAATACTCGTCACAGAGATGCGGAACTTGTTTTTGCCCTTTTCCAGCGCTACCATGCGCAGCCATGCATTGATCTCGTCTAAGGATATACGCTTCCCGACTTTCGTCACCACCAGGTGCCAAGCAATCGGAAATACAGAGATGAGTTCCATCGTATGGTGCCAGATATCAACAAAGACAGCAGCAATAGAAGCATACTCGCTGGCTGTCGCTGGTTTTGCAGCATCTGTACGGAGTCGATACTGCCGCGCACGAAATGCCTGGCCTTGAGAATCGGACCACGCGACCGTTACCCATGGCTGCCCTGGCGTGCAGGCATAAGCAACATGGAAGGGACTCCCGTCATCCAAGATGGAGGGATAGTCCTCGACAGTGTGGTGGAACTTTTTGAGAGACTCGATGCCAGGTTGGGCTAATTGGTATGCCGGCGCGTAGAGCTTTGGATCGCTGTCGGTGGCGGTAAGCTGACAACGATTGTAGACTTGCAAGCATAGAGCGACACATTCTTTTATGCGTAGAGCTTTGAACCCGTCCACTTTGCAAACCTGGTCCACATCAACAACTTGGAGAGCAACGTGCATGAATATGCTCTTCTTCTTGTACTTGGTGACCATATTAAGAAATGACAGGAAGGCTAGATCTGACAGCTCGAATGGATTGAAGAAATGTAGCACAATATTAAGACATTCTGCTGAATGTCCCGTCTTGGTGTCTTTTTGCCAATACTTTTGGATCTTGTTGAAACCGTTAGATAGACTGCTTGAGTTGTCATCCAGACGGAACGGAAGATAAGAATCTTCCACCTTGTCCTCATATAGGAACTGTCCTAGATTACAGCCATAATAAAGCGCCCGCAAATCATCAAGATAGCGAAATGCAGCATGCTCAAGCAATTCTCCTTCGGGATAAAACACGTAGTGCACTGCATCCTTAGGTCCATCCAGCGGAGATAGCTGCGCCGTGTACCAGAGACGGATGGCTGATGTAGACATCTCATAGTCCTCCATAATTTCTTTGTGTGTCTTTTCATCGATATGCGCTCGCGATAGCAGCACTCTGGGCTCTCGAAGTAATGTCACATGGCTTGCCAATCCTGCTGGATGATTCTTGCGCTGAGAATTCTTTGGCTTGAAAGCGTTGCTGCTCTTTGGGTCTTCATAGATAGTCGCTACATCGTCCAGCTTCAGTTGCATAGGCGCCTGTCCAAATGTGCTCTTGCAGCAGGAAATAACATTCTCCATATCCGAGTCGCTGAACCAGTCAAGGTCATATAGATCGGTATTAAATGAAGCTGCTGGCAAAATTGAGGTTTCCCGGAACCCGGCGATATTGGGACCACACAAAAGCGAGCCAACCAAGTCAATCAGGTCTGCTTCCTCTTTCGTTGGCAACGCGAGCTTCTCCAATTGCGACCGTAAACTGAGATGGGTCGATTTGATTGGGTTCGAGGCAATTCGCGGTGACACCAAGTGCCAGGGTATATTGGGCGGTGGCGGATCAAATTCTGCCTCGGATACAAGATCATCCAGCAGTGCCTTGACGTGACCGCTCGATGTTGCACGTTCTCGATCATAGGCATCATCAGTCATCTCTTCGTCGCTTGAAGGAGCATTATCGGCACTGGACGCAGACGAGCCGGCATAGTATTTACCGCCGGGGCCATAGTGATTGTGTTGTTGCGCCAAGGACATTGGCGTAAAGTGGGATGGAACCGGTTGTCGATAGCGCCGATACACTTCTCGGACGCTAGCAGCAGCTTTGTCTGCCTCACACGCAACAATATTGGGCGTTGCTCCAAACTGTGAGGCTGGTGTGATCATATCAAAGCTCGCAGTCGGAGGTTCAGTTGGTTGCGCTGACACAGGTGCTTGTGTCCTCATGTCTGTCTCCATCGGTGTGGGTAGATGATTGATGCTTTCGATTTCTTGCATGATGACCTCTGGACTATTTCGGTCGAAAAAGCTAAAGTCGGCATCCGTGACGTGCATGTCTTCATCATCTGAATCGTGGCTAGCCTTTTTGAGAAAGGGACCAGGCGTTGCATCTGGAGGAGTTGGATAGACATGATGTGAGTCGTCTTTGCTTCCAGGCTTCTGTGCAGAGGCAGGGCGTTGCTCGGAAACTGCTGGCTCTACTGTCGCATCAGGCATCAGATTGTCTGTACTTTCATTGGCGTCCATTTCCTTCTGTTTCTGCACTTTGCGCTCCATATCTGATTTGCATTGCGCTAGCCAAGTATCCTTGAGTCCGAACCAGGACTCAGGAGGTGGCTTCACTTGCAGTGCAGTGTATGGCACAAACGTCAATGCCGACGGCCATAGAAAGCTCTCGTCGCCTAGATGGACCCTGACCCAGCGGCTTGTATCAAGAAGCTGAAAACCAATCAGCTTGGTCAATTGCAACCGGTAAGCCTCACTACTCAGCTCAAAACTGTACTCAACCAAGGTTGCTTTGTGACCTGACGGAGCCAGATAAACCGGGTCGCCGGCTTCCAGTTGCTTCGAGTGCATATCCAGTGCAATGAGTTGGACGTCAGTCTTTGCCAGAGCAAGAGTCAGGTCGCCACTCACTGCCAAATGCAGACTCATAATGCACTGACGCTGTGGGCCGGGATACCTGCCGTTGGGCAGCGGCTTCAGGCACAAGTTCTCGTCAAAACTGTGCTCAGTCAGTTCTGGGAGAGGCGACAAGAGACATGGCCCGAGTGGTACGAAGCCAGCCTTGGCACAGCGATATGTCAACTGCAAGACGAGGGCCTCCTTGAGTATCCTGAGCGCAATGAAGAGATCTGTGGCATTGCTCATGTCTGCAGTTGAGAACCCGACCTCAGACAGATCAAGACGTTGCTCTTGACCGATTTCTGAGTGTTAGTGGCGACCATCAAGACAGTCAGTATGAGCTTACCTTTAAGCGGCTGTGTCGATAGCCGGCTTTGCTTAGTGTCCTTGTCATCCTCTGAGAGGACAAAGTGCCACAGCTCCTGTCCGATCCGCTTCACAAGAGCTCCCTGGCTGCGTAGGTCTATCTCGATGCGCGTGAGTGCTTGAACGTCTGTAGAATCCGACGCACACCATGTCGTCCATTGCGCTTGTGTTACGGCAAGAACCCTCAAGATCGAAGTCAGCCTATCGGCCTCGAGCAAAGGCGGCAAGTGGTCTTGTACACTCATGCGAAAGCCATACCAGAGCTACCACAGAAGGCTCAAATTCGAATAGGTCAATTTAGGTGAGAGCAGAGAAAGAAGCTACCCCCTCAAAGCGAAGTGGGCCTTAAGCCATACAGTTTCCCTAGATATGCAGCTTGCGGATAAGTGACCAGAAGAGATATAGCGGGCACCGACAGATGCAGCTGAAGCTTGGTCGCGTCGTGGGGGGAACTGAATTCACGTGAGGTTGCGCGGACAGACCTCTGACTCTGGACTCTCTTCGCTCCTTCAACCAACACAATCTAGCCGTATTCTCCACCGAGTCACTGACTCGAGAGACTGTGTAGCTACAGTCAAGTAGTGGAGCATACACATCGCACCTGATTCTGGACAAAAGAGCGCTGAACAAATCGTAGAGTAGCCAGCAGCACTCGTCCTGTTGCCATGGCGAACGACGCAGACGAGTATCTCTCCGACGAAGAGGAACTGGAATGCCCTCTGTGCATGGAAGAGTTTGACATCTCTGACCGTACCTTCAAACCTTGCACCTGCGGCTACCAGATCTGCCGATTCTGCTACAACCGCATCGTCAACTCCGACACTGCAAACGGTTGCCCTGCGTGTCGCAGGCAATACTCGGAGGAGACTGTGGAATTCAAGCCACTCAGTGCAGAAGAATGGAAGAAGGATCAACAAAGAATCCAATCTCGCAAGTTGAAGGAGAAGGAGAAGCGAGAGCTCGAAATGGCGAGCAGGCGACATTTGTCCAACATGCGCGTTGTGCAGAAGAACCTTGTCTATGTGATTGGATTCTCGCCGAAAGCAGCAGACGCTGACCTAGCGTCCACACTCCGCGGAAGCGACTACTTTGCGCAGTACGGTAAAATCAACAAAATCGTGGTCAACAAAAAATCGCATCCAAATGGACAACCTACAGTGGGTGTGTACATCACGTATGCTCGCAAGGAGGATGCTGCACGAGCTATTCAAGCTGTTGACAACTCCATGAATGACGGCCGTGTACTCAGAGCATCATATGGCACGACAAAGTACTGCTCGGCTTACTTGAGGCAGCAAGTCTGTCAGAACCCAAACTGTATGTACCTACACGAGCCAGGGGAGGACTTGGACTCGTACACGCGTGAAGACATGTCAACCATTCAGCATGCCGCCAAGGCTGCAGAGGGCATCAATGCAAACGCACTTGCAACACATCACATGCGTCGCCAGCCTTCTCAAATCGCGTCTACTCCTGCAACTGAGGAAGCGCCTGTCGCTTTGCCACCCACTGTATCATGGGCCTCTAAGCCTACAGAAAGCGAGTCGCAAGTTCCAGATGAAAGGCCCAAGCCAGAGTCCTTGCCTGCAATTGATTCTCGCAAACCTGTTGCAGTGCCAGATATTCCTCCGCCTCCCAGCCAAGCAGAAAAGGGTGCTGTCCATCCTTCTGACGTCTTGCCAGCACCTGTACAACAGGCACTCAGACATCCCATCCTCGGCAAGACGCTCAAGACTCTCTTTACCGGCCGATTTGAGTTTTCTTTCGCGCCTAGGCCCGGCCCTGGTCTGACTGAGCAAGATATCAAAGCAGCACAAGAATTTCCCCAGCTCCTCACGTGGAACCCTGATCTCAAGCGACCGTCATCGCCGGGGAAAGCAGCAAGACACGCGCGTGCCAACTCTCGATATGCATTTGCAGCGGATGCTCGTACACCACCCCCTGGTTTTGTTCCTCCTGGACTTGCTTCAGGTCATCAGCCTCCTGGTTTTGCAGAGAGCGAGGCGCCGATTCAGGGAAAAGATGCGGATTACTTTGCACAGTATTTAGGCAACAATGGCGAAAGGCTAGCTGGAGCTATGGATAACGCCTTCCTAGGCAATGCGCGGGGTAGCAACATGTCGATCCTTAATCAAGGTATGTCGGCCACTAATGGCAGGAGGCACTAAGGGGAGTCTTCCAGGCTTCTTCCTGGGTGACTCAGACTATGGACTGCGAATGTGCTGGTCATCTTGTTGCTTTGTATATCTATTTTGTTTCCCAACCGCCGAGAAATGGATATACATCATCATCTTGCTCCTCCATCCTCTCGTTCCTGTCTGATGCCACAAGTGCCTCCTTGCAAGCTTCAAATACCGTGTCTAATCCAAATAGGTTCACTTGACGCGCAATATACTTTCCAGCAGAATGATGGTGTATTTGCATCTGACCAGTCTCTTGATGCCAGCGATGCTAATGTTGCATCCAAGTTTGGGGCTAACTTTGCGAAGCTGAAGGCTACAAGCCTTTCAGTTGACCACAGCCAGTCACAGCAGCAGCAGCCGTTCGCGTCTACTTCAGACCTCATGAATCAGAAGCAGGTGCGTGGTGCATGGGAACCCATCTCTGCTCGTTCACCGGAGAAGTCTGTGCAAGGCGTTCCTTTGAGGGAAGGCCCCTTGCAGCCTGCAGATTTGTCCCATCAGCGGCGCCAGCAGCTTGCAGGCTTCAAGAGTACACGCAGTTGGGAACCATCACCCCCGCCACCAAAGGCAGCCCCGACACCTTCCCCTGGCCCAAATCCTGGCAAAACTGTGCTTCCAATAACAAATCCAAGCACAGCTGGCGCCCAGTCTGCTTCCAAGGCTCCATGGGAACCCTCTCCGCCACCTGCGATGGGCGTCACGGGTGTCCGTCGTGCACAAAGTCCCCTCAAGGCATTGACCTCTTCGCCACTAAAGAGCGAACTCAAATTATTGCCAGAAGCAGGCACATCACGACCACCTGGCTTTGTACCGGCCGATCGAGGGCCTTCCCTTAAGCTCACAGCCAAGATCGCTGCACCTGTCGCGCAAGCTCCGCCGAGCAAAAAAGGTTGGGAGACAATCAATGTTGCAGCTACGCCGATTGAAGATCAGCTGCGTGAAGCAGGAATCGCTCTCAAGCGCACCAACTCTGGTACATCTTCCGGCTTTCCACCGACACCTGCTCGACGTGATTCTTCACAGTCGGTGGCAACAAGTTTTGCAGATGTGGCAGTTGGCAGATCACGGCAAAATTCAATCCTGCCCCAGCTCGCAGACGATATCGATGGTCGATCTCGTCGTGGATCCATCACCTCTCCTGGTGTTTCTAGATCATCCACGCCATCTGTGTTGGGTTTCAGCAATTCACAGGCTGAGGCGTCACTCCAAGGTTCTGCTACACGGCCGATATTAAAGACATTGCCTAGCGTTTCTTCTCCACTAGCTTCACTCAAAACTGGCAAAAGTGTGTCTGGTGCTCATTCTGCAGAACACTCACCCGTCACCAGTCAGAATCGTGCGACAGTCGGATCTATCAGCTCTCCTATCGATTTGCGCAAGAGCGTTCCAGCTTCATCTGTTAAAAAGTCCAAGGAGCAACGTGCTGCTGAGCGAAAGGAGAAGGCTGCTGCTGCCATTGCCGCTGCTGAGGCAGAAGCAGCACAATTAGAAGCGGATAAAGTCTCCTCAGCTGCAGAACAAGAAGTAGCCCCGATTGTTGCTCGTGCACGAAAACAAAAGCAGCCGAAAGTGGTTACACAGAAAGCTGCCAAGACGCCCGGTCAATCGACTGCATTGTCGCAAGGGGCAGAGTCTATTACACAGCCTGTTGCAATGCCCTTGGTAGCCACTCCGGAGAAGTTGGTTCAAAAAGCTCCTCCTTCCCCTGCTGCAACCTCTGCTGGCAAAGAAGCGCCTACTGGCAGTAAAGCTGAGGCGCTAGACATTGTGCAGCAGCTTGCAGCAGAGATGGACTTGACGAAGCTTCAGTTCTTCACAGCAGACAATGCCAAGGAGAGCAAGAGCTGGAGCTATCTTGCACGACACGGTGGCTTTGAGTTTGAAGCGGAAGAGTTGGAACAAGCATCGCAGCTGTTGCCACCTGCTGGCAGTGTCGGCAGTGCTATTCTGGCAGCTGCCGCAAATGCGTACGGTGGCTCGCTTCCTGGTGCGAAGGATGCTAAGGATGGATTGACAATGGAGCAGTTGACAAAGACGGTGGAGCATCTGGAACGTGTCTTGCAGGCAGCTCGCAAAGATGCAGACGCGAGTGAGAAGCGATTTGAAAAGATGCAGCGCAAGAACATGCGAACAGTCGGCTTGAGTTCAGGGATGACGGCGTAGTCTAAGGAGGTCGTGAGTAATGATGGTAATGAATGCAATTCACTCATAAAGGACTTTAAAAGAGCTTTCTACATGAGCAATCACTTCTTGGTCTCTTCCTTCGGAGGCTCTGGCTTTGGAACGGCGAGCTGGAACTTGTTTGGTGTGTAATCAACACCCGGTCCAGCAGACTCCCATGCACTGTTGATGTCGAAATTCCTAAAGGCCTGAGCAAGCTCAAGCGGCTCGTGTACAACACGCTTCTTCTCATCATCCCAACGTACTTCTGTGTATCCAGTCAGGGGGAAGTCCTTCCTGAGAGGGTAGCCCTCGAAACCGTAATCAGTCAGAATGCGGCGCAAGTCAGGATGGCCAGAAAAGAAGATGCCATACATGTCGTACGCCTCACGCTCATACCAATTTGCTCCTTGGAAGATGGAGACGGCCGAGGGCACTGGTGTAGTTTCTGAAGCATACGTCTTGACTCGTATGCGGGCATTGTGGCGGACAGATAGAAGGTTGTAGACGACCTCAAAACGGTGCTCGCGTGTCGGGTAGTCGACGCCGCATATGTCCATGACGGACTTGAATTGCGCTGACGTATGGTCCTTGAGGAAAGAAAGCACAGGCACCACAGCCGATGGGCCGACGTAGATGGTCAGTTCGTCCTTCCACACGCTGCATTGAGTCAGCATTGGTCCTTGCGAAAAGCATGGAGATTGACTCACGAAAACTGTTGCACAAATTTGGGCATTGCAGACATGACATATTGACCATATGCATGGATATCCTCGGCCACGTCCTTGTACTTATCCGCTGGATTCACTACGGGCACTTTGAGTAGCTCCTCGCCCTTTGCGAGTCTTGTCGTTGCGAATGATCGAGCACACGGCGCGGAAATTTGTCTCACAGACCGCGCTGCCAACCGGAGACTTGCCATGATGCTTGCAGACCAAAGAGGCGGCGTTGTGCTTGGCCTTCTTGGGTGTCCTTGTGGTCAGCAGCGCATCGAGATAGGGTTAGAGTCGAGATCGTGGGAATTTGGTGAATTTCCAAAGATTCAAGAAGACGACTCGAGAGAGAGGAGAAGAGAGTGCAAGTGGCTCGTCGAGTAGACCCCAGAGAGACGCAAGAAGCAAGTCTGCTGGATCGACTGCCTCGGGAGTAGTGGGCCGTCTGCTTGAAGCACTGAAAAATGGTGCTCAAAGTACAAAGAGCGAACGATGTCCAGGTCTATACCGTGTCTGGCTCGGGATCCAAATCCATCCCTGACTGGCTGGCACGCAAGAACAAGAAGACGCTCAGAAATGACGCTGAGTACAAGTCGAGAATAGAACTGCTGCAGGATTTCGAGTTCCCCGAGGCGAGCAACCGGATACGGTTGAGCAGGGATGGCGAATTTGCCATGGCAACCGGCACATATAAGCCACATATACGACTGTACGAGTTCTCTCAAATGTCCATGAAGTTTGAGAGGCATACGGATGCGGAGAATGTCACTTTTGAGATTCTGAGTGACGATTGGACAAAGAGTGTGCATCTGCAAGGCGACAGAAGCATTGACTTGCACACTGCCGGTGGTATCTACTATTCAACTCGCATACCCACGTTTGGACGAGATCTGAGCTATCACTATCCGACAGCCGATGTCCTTGTTGGAGCAGCTTCAGATGAGGTCTACAGACTCAATCTCGATCAAGGTAGATTTCTCAATTCCCTCAAACTTGAGAGTGCAAGTCAGGGCGTCAATGTGACAGACATCTGCTCAGCGCATCAGCTTTTTGGATTTGGTACACACAATGGAACTGTCGAATTCTGGGACCCAAGAGTCAGAAGCCGCGTTGGGATCCTGGACCTCAACAAGCAGAATGATCCCGTCGCCATTACAGCCCTCAGATTTGCCGAAGACGGCCTCAATCTTGCTGTTGGTTCGAATACTGGCATCACAACACTATTCGATCTGCGTTCGCCTCAAGCACTGCTCACGAAGGATCAAGGGTACGGCTTGCCCATCAAGCAATTGCACTACCTACAAGCGCCTCCTTCAGACACAACAAGCAGATTGCTATCGGCTGACTCAAAGATCATCAAATTATGGGATGTCCAAACTGGTAAGCCCCATACAAGCATTGAGCCACCGAATGACATCAATGACGTACAGCCTGTGCCCGGGTCTGGGCTCATTTTTGTCGCGAACGAAGGTATCCCAATGCACACGTTCTATGTGCCTTCGCTCGGTCCAGCGCCAAGATGGTGTTCATTCTTGGACAACCTCACCGAAGAGTTGGAAGAAACAGAAGCATCCGTCTATGCCAACTACAAGTTTGTCACGCGCAAAGAGCTTGATGACCTGGGCTTGCAGCATCTTGTTGGTACGAACGTCGTTCGTGCCTATATGCACGGTTACTTCATCGACTTTAGACTCTATGAGAAGGCCAAGCTCATTGCAAATCCATTCGAGTATGCCGAGCACAGACAAAAAACCATCGCAGCCAAGCTTGAGAAGGAGCGAGAATCTCGCATTCGATCGAGCAAGAAGACAAAGGTCAATAACACCCTTGCAGCGAGACTACTCAAAGCCGAAGAGCGCGAACGTGCCAAAGCCGCAAGGAAGGGAGACACAGCCGAGGTGGCAGATGTGGCATCAACCAGTATTGTGGAAGATGCTCGGTTCAGAGATGCCTTTAACGACGAGGATTTCCGTGTTGATGAAGCGTCTCACGAATTCAACATTATCAACCCAACTCGCTCGACTAAGCGTGGTCTCACAGCAGTGGAAGAGTCCGAAGATGAGCGAGCCAATAATGGTATTTCTTCAGACGATGAGAGCAGTGACTCTGATGCTTCCGAACAAGAGGCAAAAGATGAACGCAAATCTGACAAATCAGCTTCTCGTGCTTCTGATGATCAAATAAGAACCATCAAAGTAGATCAAGGCAAAAAGCAAAAGGAGAAGAAGGCAGTTGCATTCTCTGAACCCATCATGGTTTCGCGCGAAGCAGAGGTCAATGAAAATGGTGCGCCACAAAAGCGCGCGCGAAGCTTTGGCTCTCGTCTATCGACTGAAACCATTAAACAGGCTCGCATGGCACAGATACAAGCCAACATCAAGCATGATGTCGCAGGAAAGGGGACCAAAGAGATGACTTTCCTGCCTGAGCCAAAGGAAAAGAAACGATCGAAAGGAGACGGACGCGATGAAGGCAAGACACGACAAGAGTACCAAGGACGACGCAGTGCATCTGGCAACACGTTCAGGAAGATGCGTTCATAGACATTGTTCATTCAGCATAGCGTAGCCATCATATAATGCTCCTGGCTTTAACTATTTACAAGAAGCGCATCTCAGACTTCCACTCCGTCGTCGCGCTCGGAGGATAGCTCTTTCAAGGGCTGCGCAACAGATCTCTCCTCCGTCTCCACCTTATTGGGAATGTCATTCCCAACTTTGGCGAGGTTCAACTCACTCGCATAACCTTTCATGCTGGCGAGTAACACCTGCCCACTCTCAGAAACGCTTCCAGTGGCTGTCGCAGATCTGGGACTGTAACTGCCGGCGCTGAGACTGCCTGTGCCGTAACCACTGCCACTGTAATCGCTGGCCGGAGTACCGGGCATCGCCATGCCTGTATTTTGCCGGATATCAATCATCCATGGATCGTTCAAGAGTTCAACAGCAGAAGCTCGGATACCTGCATCTGTCTCAAAGCAGCGTGAAAGAAAGTCCTGGCCTCTCTGCGAGAGCTGTTCGAGTGTTGGAAAGGTCGGGGCGTGACCACCAGCGATATGATACATGATCTGAGTGTTAGTCCGTACTGCGAAAAGTCGAAGGTAACTTACAGCCCATTCGTTGTCTAGCGTCGACCATGGACGTTGCGCTGTAGCCATCTCGAGGATACAGCAGCCGAGAGCCCAGATATCCATAGCCCCCTGCCTACCCTTGTCGCCACCTGTAATGATTTCAGGTGCCATATACATGGGCGTGCCAGTCATACTGTTTACCTGTGTCTTTGCAGCGGCTTTCGTTTTTCCTCGCTTCACAATGACTTTTGCTGCTCCAAAATCGACAAACTTGATGATACCATTGTGGTCAAGCAGAACGTTCTCTGGTTTGATGTCCCGGTGGACAATGCCGCGTTCATGAAGATGCGCCAAACCTTCAAGCATTTGCAGTGTGTATACTTGAATGACAGTTTCCTCTGCAATACGACCATGCTCCAACTGCGCAGCCAGAGATCCACCTTGACAAAGTTCCATGAATATATACACCTTGTCGCGATGCACTTCCACGCCATAGTACGAGACAATATTCGGATGGTTGAGCATCTCGAGCACAGTCATCTCGTCCTTGATGGACTTGACAATACTGGAAATGGATTGCGGATCTTGTAGTCTAATCTCCTTGACAGCCATGACTTCACCCGTATCGAGATTGACGCCTTGATAGACATTGCCAAACGAGCCACCGCCGATGAAGCGACCTTGTTGCCAGCGCATCGTGATGTTTGACAGCGAGGAGGCAAGGTACATGAGACTGCGATTTTCGCTGATGGTGTCGTCTAACACTTTGCCCGTCATCTGGTGCTCCTCTTGGTGTTCGCGTCGGCGCTGTTCCAATTCATCCAGCTGTTTAAGCAAGTCAGCCTTCATGATTTGCAAGAGCTCATGATCAGCCGGTCGGCCATTTTGGTCGTACAAGGACTGTTTGCGGTTCTTCATGCTCTCTGACTTTTCCCGAGCGCTTTGTGCTGCCGAGCGAGCACCCATGATATCAAAGTGAGAGATAAGCAGGGTCATGCACCGGGCTACCTTTCTTTGCAAGCGCGAGAAGGAATCTTCGGAGATGACTAAGATGTTCTTACCCCGGATCATCATCATGGCGAACTCGAGCGCGATCACAGTCCACTTAAATGTCTTGCGGTCTGACCCGTCACAATCGTCGCAAATAAAGGAGACCCAGTCGATAGCTAGACCGATCAGCTTCATGTTGTGCTGCACTCTCCTGCTCGGATCCATGTATCGCAAGGATCTTTGTCCGAATTCGGTTGCGAAGGAAAATGTGTTTTGAACCAAATCTTCACAACCCAGGCCCTTCACGGCGTTGCGAATGATTTGAACAGAGTCCATGATGGCGTTACTCAGACGATAAGATGCCTTCTGGATCTTGGTGAGCTCGCGATTGACACGAGGCAAATTTGCACGTCGCGGCACAACCACAGATACAAGGCCTTGGCTGAGTTGACCAAAAGCGAGATTTGCCCTCGCAAGACACTGTTGTGAGCCATCAGCTACAAGTCTGAGCCGACCGGCCTTGATGTCGAGTTGCGGATCTGGCACATTCACCTCGACAACATGACCTTGCCATGATAGTGTTTCTGGAGGGCACATAATCAAAACATAGCTTCCGCCGATGTTGCCTGCTTCAGAATCAAGATCTTCTTCAGCGCAGGTTCGCAAGATCTTTTTGATCATTTCCGGTCGCTCACTCAAAGAAGGGTCTGCAATGATGTAGATACCATCGTGTTCAACAGCTGCAGTGTATGCAAATGAATGACCAGTGTCAATCAAGTTTGCGACCAAGTCGTTCCAAGCCTGTTGATTGTCGATAGAATATTCAGTGGCATTCTCGAAACGAGTGCTGAGTGTTTTGCTGAATCGCAGCAACTTACGATGACGCAAACGCGTATTTTCCAGTAAGGCAGAGTAGTGTTTGCGCATCTCAGAAGCAGTCTTGGACTTCGGTCCTGCCAATTGCGATTTGAATTCACCGAGAACACGTCCAATGAGCTTGTTTGTGAGAGCAGAGAATTGTTCTGCCACATGAATGTTACCACCTTCAACAAATTTCGCTATCCGATCAAGGAAGGCATATTGATCCTCTAGAATTTCTGCTTCCTTGAAGTGTGACCCGTTCGCACTGGAGCCAAGCTTCCAGTTGAGCAATTTGAAGTAGAACTCGAGCGTATCAAGCACAACGAGATCAAAATTTTCGTCGATACAGGGCGGAAGCAGCCAGCCAGGTTCTGGCGCTGTCACCTTGACGTACTGGTCCTTAATGTCTACCGCGACATTGAGCAGCATCACGAAATCCTCAATCATCTGATCTACCATAAGCATGGTAGGATCTTCGAGACGCTTGGCGTAAACAAGACGCAGCTTGAGGGCTTCCTCGATAAGCTTGGTCGGGAAGTTAATCAAGAGCAAAAGCTCGTCGAGGTAGGGCGGCAAGTGCATCGCAGAAAATGTGGCGGAATTGCTGATCATGGTGTTCTTTGCTTTCGAGACCAAGGTGTCGATGCCAGAGAGCGACTTCTTCTCGAATGTACGTTGAAGACCATTTTCCTTCAGGACACGCTCGATAAAGGAAGAACCATCTGTCAGACCAGGCACAGTACCGTCTACTCCTGTCTGTCCAGGCTGTGTGACGTCGAGCTCGTCATTGCCAGTCCAATTCTTGAGAATACTGATGGCTGTGTGGATAAATTGCGTCACCGTTGTCCAAGAGATGAGGGCGTCGACATTTTGCACGAACACCTCGGAAGCGACAATCGGCTTGGCCTCGATCATGGCCGCGCGCGAGGGATACATGCTCTCGCATTCTTCCAGTTTCTGAACCATCTCGGCCACCTGGTCCCACGGAGTGAGCTCAGTCACGTTCTTGCTGCGGACCTGAAAGCGCGTTACTGCCTCCAAAGTGCTGTCCATTGCGCTGCGGGCGTCCTCGATGATTCTTGTTTGATCCTGCAGATTGCGACCAAGCGCTTTTGCTTTGAGTCCAAGCCAGAGATCCGACATGAGCTTACCGTCCAATGAAGTGCCTGGCGCACCCTGCAGCCTCTTCTTTTCGGACTTGACCACCTCTCCAGTGAGAACTGAAGCAAGCATAGTCAGCCATTCTAGACGCTCACGATTCGCTGGAACTGACAAATCAGTTTCTGGATCCTCCATCGTCAGACAATCTTCAGACAGGTTGAAGCGCATGTCGAGGTCGTCGATGCCACCGGTGTAGCCAAATTCGAGATCTAGTTCATCATCCTCGTCTTCTGGAGAATCGCCCAGCTGAAATTGCGAGAGACCTGCTTCATAGTAATCATTATCGGGCTCTTGTCGTCGTAAATTCTGAACATAGTCTCTCTCTTGTGCCTTGAATGCGGCACGGCCAGATGAAGACCGCGTCGAATTGCGGTGACCATATGCAGGCCGGTGCGCGGCAGCAGTACTGCCACTCTCATCTACGGGAGCCGACCCCTGCGTCGGCGCGCGATTGGGCGCATAGAGGCTGGAGGGACGTGTCACCAACATGGGTCTTCTCGTTTGAACAAAGTGATTCATTTCAGCGTCAGGCACCTGTCCAGCTGTGTAAGGCTGCTGCGCACTCTGAGGGTCTGGCTGCATCGTTTGTTGCGCTGGATAAGATGGCATCCCTTGTGGCGGCTGTCCGTTGTATCGCTGTGCGTCGTCGTACGAGCTGACTGCATCGTGGAAGCGCACTTTAGCGTCCATCCCTGCTCCTTCGCCTCTCTGCAGGCTCTTCCTCCTTCTCTTGTCCGCCAGCGTCTTTCCACTTCACCGAGCCTGTCTGAGTACAGTGAGTAGAGTTGTTGCTTCGTGGTCGCCTTTTGCTTCTCGAGAGATCTGACGGCGACGATGACCCCCAGGTCCACACAACACACACATACACATGCAATGCCGGCGTCGACAGTCTTGCGGGAGCCCAGCGCGCTCGCAAACCTGGTAGACCTGGCATTGCGCGAGACGTACGCGTCTTCTCTCCTCGACACGGATGCGCAAGCAGCTGTACAGAATGATCCAAACACGACACTCTCGCTAGCTGATAAGACCTACAGGCGTGCATTACGGCAACGGCTCAAAGCCGAAGTCTCCTGCGATCAAGCACAGCGTGAAATCAAAGCGGCGCAGTCTCGGATACCGAGACATCTTATCGAATCCAATACACTGGGCTCGGTGCGACACTCTCCTCAGTACCACACATGTCTGCGGCCCGGTCGCAGATTCCAAGGCGTGCAGCAGTCTGGTAGGGCTACCTATGAAGTCTCAGTCTTGCTTGATCATGTCGACATGGACGAGTCGCGTATCGCTGGTACGCTGCGCATACAAGGTCTGAGTGTGGATCATCCGACATTGACGACTTTCTTCGAAGGCGAAATTGTGGGCGCAAAGCATTCTTTCATCACCCATCACAAACATTGGGGCGCAAGTGAGAAGACAGACGTGGAACACTGGACGCGCTTTCAAGCATTCAAACCCATTGCAAGCTTTGCTGCGACTAGGCAAAAGGCGCGCGCAATGCAAGTCATGACAGCCGTAAGGGCTGCATCGCAAAGGCTTTCTACCGGTGGCCGGCCAGCCAATTCGGCCTCTCAGGCTGATGAAGTGCCAAGCGCACAAAGCGCAAGTAGCGATTGCCATCTGAAACTCGATCACCTCTTCATGCGTTGGAAGGAATTGCATGCGATTGAGTCAGGAGAGTCTTCACGGACCGTTGATGGCCCTGCAGACTCGAGTGGAAACTCTTCCAGGTCTCCTCCGGCCGACTTTGCCTCACTGCAGCAGCGGAACAGAGAGCAGCGACGTCGCATTCTGGAAGGTGTTTCCTATGAAGGCTTCTACTACATCTGCCTCTCTCTTGTCACTGGGCACATTAGTGGCATGTATTTTCACGAAGCTTCAGAACTATATCAGCAGCTCTCGCTGAAGCCAGTTGATGCGTCGCACTTCCCTGCTTATGAGTGGCGATGACACAATTGATGTCGAGAGATATCTACGTGATCAAGCGCTAGGCGAAATGTTGCCAGCCTTTTGTATCTCTAGCAGGAATCTATTCAATGAAGAAGTAGTCACCTGATGCCTTTTGCTGCTGGTCATTTTGAGAGTCCTTCTTGTTGATACGCGGTCTGTGGGTGGTATCATCACGTCTGAATGTCACATCAAGTGTCTTCAAGAAGCGATTCATGCCCGAGAGCAGGCTCTGCGGTTCGTTTGCTGTGGCTTCCACACCCGGTTGACCATCATACACAATCACTCGATCGGCGAGATAGACTGCCATGACAAAGTCGTGCTCCACAACAAATGCTGATCGCCTGGAGTGCAGGATGTAGCGCTTGATGACCTTGGCAGCAATGATACGCTGCTCTGAATCGAGGTATGCCGAAGGCTCGTCGATTAGGTAAACATCTGCCGGGACACCGAGACAGAGAATGATGGCCACACGTTGCAGTTCTCCACCGGAAAGGACTTGCACCTCCTGGTCGATGATGTTGTCGAGATTCAGCGGCTTGCATACATCCGTCTGAAATTGAGGGTTCAAGAAGGCTCCACGGATCTTCTTGAGCAGAAGCATGCGCACGGTACCTGTGAACTTCGGTGCAATTTTTTGCGGCTTCATGGACACACTCAGTTTCGGCACGGAACCACCAGTGTCGGGCTGCAATGCACCAGCAAGCATCTTGACAAAGGTCGTCTTTCCCGTTCCATTTTCTCCAAGCAGAACAATGATTTCCGAGTCTGTAAATTCACCAGACTTGATGTTGAGCTTGAATTCGCCTTGCGTTTTCGACATGTCAGGGTATTGATAGTTGCGTAATCTGTCACCGATCTCCTGCTCAGAAGCCTCAGTGATCTTAAAGACCAGCGATTCGTTCCTGAAGCGCAAGTTCTCTGTGGGAATGTGGCCGTCGAGGAAGATGTTGATGCCCTCACGAACGCTGAAGGGTAATGTGACGACACCGTAGAAAGAGGGCATACCGTACAAAACACAGATAAAGTCCGAGAGATAGTCCAGAATACTGAGATCGTGCTCAACCACAATGACATAATTGGTTGCGCGGCATAGCGATCTGATTTGCGTGGCTGCCTTGAGACGCTGCTTGACATCCAAGTACGAACTAGGCTCGTCAAACATGTAGACGTCTGCCTTTTGTACGCAAGTGGCCGCGATTGCGAATCGCTGGAGCTCTCCACCAGATAATTGTGCGACCTCGCGATCTTGCAAATCCTGCAAATCAAGGACATGGATGATGTCTTCAATGTTCTCCATATCTTCAGGTTTCTTGTCGCGCCGCAGAAGCTCGCCGACCTTGTTGATCGGACCCTTGATGGCTCTAGGGATGTGATCGACATATTGAGGCTTGATGACGGCCTTCAAATCATCTTCCAAGACTTTTGTAAAGTAATTCTGCAATTCAGAACCACGGAAATGCTTGAGAATGTCTTCCCAGTCGGGTGGATTGTCGAACCGACCAAGATTGGGCTTGAGCTTTCCAGCCAGAATCTTCAGCGCAGTGGACTTTCCGATACCGTTTGTACCAACAAGTCCAAGCACTTGACCGGGTCGCGGGGAAGGCAGACGGTGTACTTTGAAAGAATTGGCTGAGTAACGGTGCGTGACCTCTTTCTCCAAATTGGTCGGCAAGTTGATGATGTGAATAGCGCTGAATGGACACTTGCGAACACAGATACCGCAACCGATGCACAATGTCTCGGAGATGAAGGCAATCTTGGAATCAGGCGCAACTTCAATGCAAAGCTTGCCGGTGCGGACCACAGGACATGACTTTTTGCACTCCTGACGACACTTCTTAGGTTTGCATCTATCGGTATCGACGATGGCGATACTGTAAATCAGTATTTGGGCCATCTGACGCTTGACAGCACTGTACCACGGGCCTGAGGCCTGAAATGGTTGAAGTGCCGCGGGGAAGAAGACTTACCGTGTCAACGAGCTGCTGGATTCTTCCACCTTTTTCGGCATATTGACCAAGTCTCGATGCAGCTACTGAAACGCGACGGCCTCTTGCCCTGCAGCTACAAGACCTGCCTGATCACGGTAATGGATGCGTCTCAGGTCGTCGCTGTGACCGCCAAAATTTTCTGTCGTCGCATTCCACGTGCTCAGATGGTCAGCAGCAGCAGAAGAGATAGTACACAAAAGTCTATATATTACTAATTTTCCTCAATGGCCTTGAGGGTGGAATGCAGCAGCTGTAGGCTTGAGACTCTTCGCCGCACGAGCAGGCTCAGTTGAAGAAGAAGGACTGGAAGCGGTTGCCACATCAGGCTTGGACTGAGAAGGCATCACCTTCTTCTTGTCTGTTCCCCCATTCGACGGTGCGGAGGCGCCGCTGGCAGGCACAGTCTTCTTGTACTTCTTCCTGGATTTTGCTTGCTTGTTCGCCTCTGCTGTCGGCTTCGAACGTCCCAAGGCTGCTTGCTCCTCCTTCTGCACACGCAGACTCTCAGCTGCGAACCAACGTTCAAACTCCTCACGTTCCTCCTGCTCCTGAATGTCTTTCATACTTCGCTTGGCTTGGTATTCAGCGACCTTGATCTTGTGACCATTCTCTTGAGCAATGATCTCTGCAAGAGACGACGACCCAGCCGCCCTAATGGTAGGCGAGATGGGGGATCTAGCAAAGGGAGCAGATGAGCTGCCGGGACTGCCATACTGGAGTCCAGGCAACGTTGCTGACGACCGTCTGCCGGAAGGGGCGAAGCTGCACGTAGATGAACCGTGAGGCGAAGGTGACGAGACCAAACCTGTAGATGGAGAATCCGCGACAATTGTAGCTTTGGATGACAGCTTCCGGCCAACACTGTTGCTCGCACCTGAAAGAGAAGGGAATGCAACATTGTCCCTTGTTTTGCCGAGCGAGAGTGAAGGCAAAGCAGAATGCGAGGCGATTGACCAAGGCGATGTGACAGCCGTCGACTCTGCAACAGGAAGTGCTCGAATTGGAGTGCCTTGATTCGTCGAAGCAAGTTTCTTCCGCTCTTTCTGCGACACCTTCACTGTTGAATCGGCAGCTTTCGGTGCCGTGCCTGGACCCGAGGCTCTTGGCGGCGGTGTACTGGCCATGATGCTTCGAAGATCAACGGCCGATCCCGGGGCCTTGTTAGCCCACGGTTGCGGTCGCATTCCATTGCCTGACGATTGACTAGCGCCTCGTCTTTCTGAAGTCACAAGCTTGGTGTCATTCACAGGACTAGGAGCTCCCAGACTAGGTGGCGTCTTGATAGACGCAGTATTGTCTGTTGGTCGTCTAGCCTCAATTTGAAATCGAGAATCATCAAGGCGCATGGACGATGCGCGATGATCAAGCTCGGACAAGTCGTAGTCTTCCATAGCAAAGATTGACTCATCCGCAGGTCTGATAGCAGGTATCAGTGGACTTGGAGCAGCGCTTCTGTTGAGCTTCTCCGACGGACGCCTTTGCATCGGGCTTGACTCAAGAGGTCCAGGTCTGAGAGTGCTGAGCCGGGCTTGATTGACTGGCAAAAGCAGTGCAGCCAAATACTTTGCTCGAGCCTTTTCAGACAGATCCAAAACGTCGGGATGCCGCTGTATGAGTTCGGAAAGGAGACGCTCAGACTTGCTGACAGGCAGCTTCTCAAGTTGTCTGCGCGCAGTCAAGAGTTCCAGATCATGCATCAGCGCGGGAGTGAGATTGTTCAATAAGCCATTTTCCAACATAAGCTGCAAGTTTCGAGCACAATAATCGAGACACACCTCTTTGAGCTCCTCAGCATTGTAGATATCGGCTTCATGCAAAAGAGCAGACACATTTTTGCGATGCACGTAGCGGGCGAGGACTGCCTGACAGGCTTCTCTGAGGCGAGGCAGAATCAACTCCGTTGCAGCGGCCAAAACCGCAAGAACAATTTCCAGCAGGTCATCCAGCTGATCCACTTCGACCTGATCAAACAGCGCCGCATCGACATCGCCATAAATATGGTTCATGACAAATTGCATCGTGCGTTTGCTAATGTGCTTGACATCAATGTCGACAATGTCCACCTCCGAGTCTGAACGTCTCTGATGAAGCCAAGCGCCCTGAAACATTGCCATGAAGAATTCGGAGCGAGCAGTGACGAGGAAAGAGTGACACTTGTGTTCGCCATCACTCAGCAGCAAACGAATGTCGGCTGTAGACTCCAGCTCGCCTGTAAGTAAGGTCAAGCAGTCGCTTGCAAGAGATGCCTTTGGCGCGTTCACGAACGACGATGCTAATGCCTTTGATAACGCCTTGAGTTGCAAAAGCTGCGAGAGCTTGAGCACATCCTCTCGAACATTCTTTAGGTGCGCAGGTTGATGATAGGGACCACCAGTCCAGGTGATGAGAAGTAGATCCGTGTGTAGCCAGTGCAGAACAATGACCAAGGCGACGAACGAGTACTGACCATGAATCTTGACGTGGGTACCGTCAAACGAAATACCATGGTGGACACCGTCAGACAAAAGCAAGCTTTTGAGTACTGGTGATCTGGCACAAAGCAAAGCCTTTGACACGGGGAATTGCTTCACGCCGAGGCTGATTGACAACTCCGGGCCGTCTACTTCATGACTCCACTGATCAACAAAATCAAGAGCCTTGACCATGGCTTGACCATTGAGAACGTGTTTAGGAACTTTCGTGACGCTTCCTGCATCACTCCCAGCATCGCTCTGAGCCTCTTCCTCTGAATCCTCATCCTCAAGAATGTCATCTGCGTATGGGAGGCAACACAAGAGATCTTCGCTCAACGTTGGAGAATCCACGGCGACTGGCAAGACTTCTACATCATCCCGAATCAAGCCGAAGGCGCCGTACTCGCTCGCGCGAACTTGAACGATTCGAGTGATTCTCGGCACTCGGCTGTATTTGTAGTCCCTGGAAGACGGATCAGCTCTGTGCTTGTTGCCCTTGCGAAGTGATCTGGTGAAGACGAGGCCACTTCCTGTGCAAATAATAAGCTGTCCATCTTGTCCAACGTCGACATCACGAGCGGCAAGATGGTTTTTGCGCAGAGCCCAAGCTCGCAGGATCTTGACTTGTTTAGCCATCTGCACAGGCTTCATATCCGTCGACACGCTCTCCACGGAGAAGGTGAAAACATCGCCAATGCTGGTCAAGACTGCAAAGAGCTGGCCTCCGCTTGCAACTTTGACGACTTCGCAGGCGGCTTGACTCTTCGGACGGAAGGTCGACATGAGCGTGGATGTGCGATCAAGTTGCAGAGGCAGCCTGAAATAGCCATAATTGACGAGGACGAGAACTTCTCGAGTAGCCAATAGGCAAACAGTTGCACGGCGATTCGCAGTCACTTGCAGGATGGGTTCTTTGACCGCAGACACCTTTCGCGGTGAGTTGACTGTCCGGCCTTCAGAAGCCACAATCTCGAAGCCGAGTTGACCCTCATTCAGGCCCCAAGTATAGAGGGTGTCCTCAGTAAAGCACACCGAATGAACTTGTGACGCTGCCACACCGAGAACACGTTCCTTGGCGAGCTTCATGATCTTTCTTGGCTCAGGATTGAAGGCATCCGGACTCTTGGACTCCAGTTCATAGCCTAGCTGGCCATATCGAGCGGCACCCCATGTGTAGACATCCCCATTCGATAGGCAAGCTAGTGAATGATCTTGAGCAGCAGCAATCGCAACAGCCTGTCCGGGTAGGGCAATGGGCTTGAGTGTGAATTGTGTGGATCCAGAAATACCAAGTCGGCCTTGATTTGCAAAGCCACACGTATACAAGTTGTTGATGGCATCGTTTGTCAGCACAAGAGTGTGTAGCTTTTGCATAGACACATCTCGAATACGGTTCCCTCGAAATTTCTGTATGCCTTCGCCCTGCACAGGCAATCTCTTGATGGCGACGCGCTCAGGATAGGCTCGGTCGTCAGAATCGGCAAAACACAAGGTGTGATTGACGTTGGAGCCGAACGTGAATAGATCCGATCCACCTCGTTGCCTATTGAACAGATTTGGACTGACACCAGGCACTGTCGCGTTATACACATCGAATGCCGAGTTACCTTCGTGATCTGTTGCCAGGAGGGCTCCTTTGTGCACGGCGCCGTCTCGTAGCGGCGAATGAGCCAAAATGGCTACAGCAATCTCAATACGACCGCAGTACAATGCACGATGCAATGCAGTCCAACCAGACTCGTCATCGCCTTTTGTGATGTCGACCGTATCATCAAGCAAACATTGTTTGGCGAAATCCACTCTTCCATCACTTGCTGCCAAGTGTAGGACAGTGCGGCCCTCGAAATCGACTTGATTGACGTCTGACGCTACTTGAGATTTTGACTTCGGCAGGCTGCCAGCATGCTGGAACGGCGAGGATGTGTAGCTGCCTGATGACTCGGTGGCGAAATGGGAGGTGCTGCCAGATTTGCCAACAAGGCCTTTGAATTTGGTAAAGTCACCAGAAAGATAAGCGTGATGGAGCATGATGCTAGTTGTGCTTTGCGTCGTTGACGAAGGTCCTACATTGTGCCGACCGCGACAGAGTCGATGCGATATGGCGGACAGAAGCCGTCGCGCTCGTCAGAAAATGCATCTGCAGCGATCAGGCTTCAGATGGCTTGAACTCAATTTCACTTCACTCATCAGATAGCTCGAGTGTCCATGTATACATCCTTCTGGCATATGAGTGCTACCTGACGACCATCATATATCGCATTCGTACGGTGCATCTATAGCTTTGGCTACATGCTGAAATCATTTAGCAACCTTGCCTGTTATTCCATCGCCAGAGACAATTGCCAATCTTATTCGAGCGAATTGATGTTGTGTGCACAGTCGAGCAGAGTGATCCCGAACAATGCTCTGCCTGATTGAAGTACTGAAGCCACAATTCCTGAGGCGGATACAATTGAATGTTCGTGTCGTTCGAGACGGAACCCCCTTTACGAGAATGGAAAGCATGACGAGGGGCAAACTTCCGGAAATCTTAATCACAGACCATTAGATAGCTCGACATGATTTGGGAAGAGGCATGTCACTAAGTTTTAGTCATCGCCATACGCATCTTCCATCTCATTGACTTCCTGATCTTCCTTCATTTGGGGTTCCTGATCCTCCGCCCACTGCGTGCAGTCATCGATATAGCTCAAGATCGTTGCGACTGATTCTTCACTGCGAGCTTCTAGCTGCAGGAATGACACCATATTGAAGTCATCAATCAATTGAACAATGGCAGAATTGAGATCATGAAAGCGTGGATTTGTCTTGCTGTTCGCCTCGTTGACAAGCATCAGTGGGTCCGGATCCAAAAATCGCTTCAATTCGCCGCGAGTAATCTCGTTCTTGATGAGATCCATCTTACTGAGAATATTGATGTGAGGTACCTCGAGCATGACCATTGCACTCATCGCACTCATGACACCGGCGAAGAACTTGGGCTTGTCGATAATGAAAGGTGACTCGAGAAGATACGTAGCACATAGTTTGAAGCCCATGTGTGCTTGCAAGTGTTTTGCAAGCGCTGGCAGGATTGGAATATGCGTGTACAGCTCAATTTGGCCAGGCATGTCGATGATGAGATAGTCGTCCTCAAAGTCGCCAATCTCTTCCTCAAACCAGTCGAGATTGTCCATGAGAAACTCGAAGCAATAAACTAGACCTCCATTTGGGCCGTAGTCCATTTCTTCCATGACCTCAGTGAGGGAGATGAGATCGCGAATGTCGACCGTTGGCTCCCAAGCAAACTCTTCAGCTGCTGGGTCGAGGTTGACCAAGAAGGCACGACGTCCAATCTCTTTGATGTGCGTCATGAGAGCAGCACAGAATGTGGTTTTGCCAGAGCCGGCAGGGCCCATGACGAAGACTGCTGAGCGGCCCATTTGAGCGACAAGCAACAGACGAGTTGAGGTTTTCACAAGGTTCAAGCAGATGCAGAGGATACGAGCATTCTTCAGCGATAGGCCGACGACATGGAAGTACACTTGTATACGTAGATTCTAGATGCTCAGCTCTGCTTTGCCTGGTTGCGAGCGTGCGATTTTGTGCTTTTGCGTGTGCGGGTCTTTGTGCTGCTGCGTGCGAGCGTGGTCTGCTTTCTACATGATTAAGTATGAATCTCTCGAGGTGAGTTGGTCCTACCAGTGCTAAGCCATTGAATCAGCTAACACGCCATGCCAGTCGCTCCGTAGTTGCTCCATCACTGCGCCCAGCTTACGAGCTGGGAGGCCTCAAACACTTGTGCGCTAGGGATCCATTAGAACGAGTCGGCCGCGTGCCTCGATTATCGTACGAGCTTCATCCTCTACGGTACAGAGACACGCGGTCTACAGATGCCGTGCTCGTAGTGACCGCTGATTGCCATAGACTGTGCTCTTCCACCCTCACTTCCATTCTGCGTGATTGATGCCTGCACCATTTCTTTCCCTCGCCAGCCAAACTCAACGAACCACGCACGAACGCCCTCTAGCTACTTACAGTACCGGCACTCAGCCAGGACCACCGCATAGACTACATCATGTCTGAACACCAGAGCGAAGAAAGAGACGAGAAGAAGCCCCAGCTCTCGGAGCACATCAACCTCAAGGTACGTCAATAGCTGGTCAATCATGGCGTTATTGCTGTTTGACTGCTGCCACAACGGAGAGACTAACTTGCTACAGGTCGTCGGCTCGGTCAGTCCATTCAAAGAGGTCTAACGAACATCTCTAACCAAGACAGGATCAAAACGAAGTCTTCTTCAAGATCAAACGCGCGACGCCACTCAAGAAGTTGATGGAGACATACTGTGAGCGACAAGGCAAATCCATGAACTCTGTGCGCTTTTTGGTCGACGGAGAGCGCGTGCGTACCGATCAGTCGCCTCAAGACCTCGAGCTCGAGGATGGCGACACCATTGAGGTCATGATGTATGTTTTCGCGAAGACAATTTACTAGGCTAATACATCTTTTAGTGAGCAGACTGGCGGTTGTTAGACGCGTTGCAGGCTCAAGATATGCTCAACTTCAGCAAGATGGGTCCATAAACGTGGAATCCAGCTCTACCTCGTAGCCAGCTCATGGATGCTTAACATATCGCCCAAATTGAACAGTTCTTTCAAATGGCCCGGTGCCTCTATTTTCCCTCTGTGATATGCTCCATCTGTCTATACATCCTTGAACTGTGCCAACCACCTCTGATGATCCATACCACGGATGCGCCTGCTGCCAATTCGCCGCCTCATGACGTGTGTCGCTTCATCCTCGCGCGTATTTCGAAACAAGATCTGACTTGCTTGGCCGACCAAACGCATTGACATCCTGTGCTCTTTGCCGGTTGCACCTGCGCCGTCTCTGTCTTGCACAGCAGGCGCCTCAGCAAGTAGCTGGGGTCCCTGTTCTCCTTCGACACCAGGCCGCCTTTCCTGCTCAGCGCCAGTCTTGCTACATTGATTACCGTCTTGGCATCAGGCGACTATGTTTGGCAGGCGCTCTGCTTCCACCTCCGCGGTTCAGTCGCGAGCGGCATCTCTCTCAGACAAGTCAATGGCGTATGATGAGCTACCGCATCAAAGTGGCATCTCCTTTGCTCATCCTGGCTCGAGGAGAATGCACATTGACGATGATTCCGACGATGACCAACCGGGAACGGGCCAGCAATCCGCGAGACACGGTCTCAATGCCGGCATGCACCCCATGTGGCAAGCGCTTCAGGAGGAAGCCGCCTCGTTGACTCCCGGCTCAGATGCTGGTAGCGCTTCCCTGGAATTCTTCAACCAAGCCAATGAAGTCAAGACACTTCAAATCTCAAATATGGCACGGCATTGTACTGTCGCAGACGTCTATAAAGCCTTTAACCGCACACGGGACACAATGAGGATAGATTGGAAGACCGAGACATCTGCTCATCTGCATTTTGAAAGCGCAGATCAAGCATTGCAAGCCTATTTTGGCTACCTCTCATCGAGCTATTCTATCGGCACTGTTGAACCACTCGAAGTCGCAAGTCAAGTGGACAAACCAATGGACACGAATTTGAAGGTCGCTCAAAGCATACAGCCAGCGATGCCGCCAGTCAAAAAGCGCTCCAGCTGGACGCCACCAGCGTCAACCAGCAAAATGATGACTTTATCCAGCCTGTCCACCTGGCGCACCAATGGATCGGAGAAGACTCAATCAACCAGTGATCCAGACATTGGCGCAGTGCCACAAGGTCTCTTTACTAGAGGCCATCGCAGCACGAGCAGCCGCAGCTCAGTCCACTCGAAATCAACAGATCGCGTCCCCGCATTAGGCAGGGAATCTTCCACCAGTACGGCCGTGACATTGGCTTCCGAGAGCAGTGAGGCAAGCGCACAGTCTCAATCCACCAACGCCCAACGAAAGGCCTCCGCTCCTGCTGCTTTGCCTTCAACCACCCAACGTGTCTTTTCTGCGAGCAATGAGGCAAACACTGATGATCATGCGAAAAAGGAGTTCAGGGGTCTCTCAGCACGTCGATTCCTGCCTTCTGGCTTCGGCTTTGGATTCCGACACAGTTCGAAATCAAAAGGCGAGAGTAGCTAGCGAATTGGTAAGAGAAGAGACAGGACTGACGTTGTTTGCGTTTTTCAGTTCATCGGTCTGGACTCGAGCGTCGTGCTCATGCACCTAAGGTGCTTTTCATATTGCAGTATGCATTCACATTATCATAGCCTTGCGCATTATTATTGTTGTACAAAGGAGGATGCGGTATGACTCAACCTTCTTGTACAGCTCCAAGTTCATGCTTCATACGAGCACAACTGAGGTTCATTCCTTGTGTTGGTCGTTGTGTGTCATCTGAGGAGGCTGTGGTACTCGTTGTCCTGCACCGTGGAGTGTAGGCAATCTGGCGTGAGGTTTTGACATGTAGTTCTACGCCAAAGGTGAAGCCAGTCGCGGGAGCAATTGCGCCGCCGAAATAAGCCGTCAAAGTTAACGTGAAAGTCTGTCTTTCTGTACTCAAGTATACGTACTTGCTGCCTCTCATTGCAATCGACAAGCTGCTCCCAACTAGCTGACTCTTTGCAGCACCTATGGCGCTGCCCAATCTCAGGAAAATATATGCTTCATTTGACAAGGACGAAGACGAGCAGGCCCGGGCAGCTCTCTTCAACCTCGTGGGTGCGTTTCATGCGTTGAACGACTGCTGCTAGACGCATCAATGGCTCTATGGCTAACGGACAAGGCTTCATTTCTAGCATTTTTGCGTACAATACACTCGTCAAAGTCATGAATCGCCTATCAGACAGCAAATGAAGGAAGCGTCCAATTGAAAGCCCAAGACAAGCACTTTTCTTATCACTGGAGCTTGAGTTTGCTCCTTCTTGCTGCCCTTCTGGCTAAGATCGCGAATGCTTTGCATTGCACCCCTTTTCCTTTTCATATACCCGCCACACCCGCTCGATGGTCAGTGGAGGCGAAGCTCGTCGTATGTCAAGCCAAGACGAGACTCGTCCTATAAGCAAAGCTTGTCAATGCTACATCAGACAAAGTAGAAACCATGTTTCGGCCTGTCACTATCTACTCGTCGACGATTAGTGCCACTACGAGCTGGATATCGTAGTCTTTAGGTTCTACAGCTGAGATCTAGACCCTAGATTCAATCCGGCTCCACTCCAAGTAGGGTGTCGCACGGGCAGCTGGGCACGGGTGAAGGGCTCTTGCCCAGCCCGCCTGCCCTTGAAAATGCGTTTGTCCGTGTTCGCCCGCGGCACGGGCACGGGCTAATGGGCAGAATAAAGGCGAGGCCAGGCGAACTTTGGCGGCAAACTGGAGCAAAAGTGAGTTTGCCCGGATCATCCGGGCACTTTTTACCCCTTGTCCGTGTTCGCCCGCGGCGCGGGCACGGGCAAACGGGCAGAATGCAGGCGGGGCCGGGCAAATTTTGCGGCACCCTAACTCCAAGGCTCCCCCAGATTGGCGACAACGCCCGACACTTGTGCCCCTACCCATCCTTAGCGACCATGACTGAAAGCAAGGATACCGTCAAACAGATCTGCTTCGATGTGATTGGGACCTGCTTCCATTTCGACGCTCCGATTGCTGTTCTCGAGGAGCGGCTCTCGGATAGCTTGAAAGAACGAAACATCACTGCCGAGGCACTCTTCTTCTCCCTCTTCTACGCAGCTCAGCGCGACTTCACCTATCTGTCTATGGTAGATGCGTACACTCCCATTGGCAAAGTCATCAAGAGTACCGTCAAGCGTGCCTGCTTGATACTGGGTCTTGAGTCACCCCTCCTGACTGAGTCCGGCGGCACCGATCTCGAAGACGCTGTCATAGAGGCCTTCAAGAAGATGCCAGCACGCCCTGGACTGAAGGAGTTGTTTGATGGATTGCAAGATGATGGGTGGCAGTGTGTGGCTGTCACTAATGGAGCACGGAGCACAACTCTTGGCTATTTTAGTGATGCTGGGATCAAGATTGACGATGAGCACTGCTTGAGCTGCGACGACATCAAGGTGGCCAAACCAGCCGCAGCCGTGTACGACAACGCAAACAAGCATCTTGACATCCTCGGTGGTGGAGCCCAAAATGTTCGATGGTTTGTAGCGGCACATTCATGGGATCTGATCGCTGCTCGAAAGGCTGGCTTCAAGACTGCCTACCTGCCGATTGAGGAGCAGGATCCATGCACAGCTCTGTTTGGAGAGTTCGATATCTACGCGGAGAATATGAAAGACCTTCTCAAACAAATGCGCACAGTAGACTTATAAGCTTGAGGAGCATAGCTCATAGTTATTCGGCCATTTTCACAAGTGCTCAAGCATGCCCAAGGATAGGCCTGGGCACATATTCGGCTTCCAATTGTGCCACTTCCTCAGGCGTGAGTGACACGTCCAAAGCTGCGATAGCTTCGTCAAGACGGTCCATGTTACTGATACCAACAATTGGCGCAGTGACTTTCATCAATGACCAGGCAATAGCTACTTGCGCCATAGTAATGCCCTTTTCTTTTGCAATCTTCTGCACAACGCCAACGATTTTGGCATCGGACTCTTGAGCCTTTTCCTTGAGAAGCAAGCGATACAGGCGGTCGGAACCTGCACGGGTCGTATCGGTGTTTTCTCCAGCGGCTGGGTAAGGTCTCGCAAGTGCACCGCGTGCCAAAGGGCTCCAAGGGATCACTGCGATCCCTTCAGCAGCGCAGTAGCGCATCATTTCTCTTTCGTCTTCCCTGTACAACAGATTATGATAGTTTTGCATTGAAATGAAGCGAGTATAGCCTTTCAGGTCGGCAACATGGTTGAGCTTTGCGAATTCGACCGCATACATGCTCGATGCACCAATGTAGCGCACCTTGCCTTGCAGAATGAGTTGATGCAAAGTAGACATGATCTCTTCAGCCTCAACTTCTTTGTCAAGTCGATGTATCTGAAGAACATCAATGTAAGTTGTTCCCAGCCTCTCTAGACTCGCATCAACTGCCTCAATGATGTGTTTCCTGGACAATCCAGTGCGATTGATGTACTGGGCGCCAAACTTCTCCTGGAGTTGAGAAGGAGGTAAGCCCATGACCAAGTCGCTTGGCTGATCGGCTACACAATTGTAGCATTTGGTGAGAAGGACGACTTGCTCACGTGGGATATTGTAACGCTTCATGGCGGTGCCCAGCAGCTTTTCACTGAATCCGTTCGAGTACGTATCTGCCGTGTCAAAAGTGTTGATACCTTTATCGAAAGCAGCTTTGATGAGAGGCAAGCTCGCTTCCTCATCCAAGACCCATGGTTGCCAGGAACTTAGCCCATACGACATGCAGCCGAGAATGATGGGAGAGACTTTCAAGCCAGATTTTCCAAGACGACTGCATTTGTTAGACGACTTTTAAGCATGGAAGGCTGACCGGTATTCCATGACAGGCGGCATAGCAAGTGTGGTGTTAGGATTGTGCCAGCTTCGACGTTGCATTTATTGCGGGGAACCACAGATGCAATGACGCAACGACCGAGATAGTATGGTCCCATTATTGGATAGTACAGGATAAGCCATCGAGACACAGGCATCAGTTTGACTGAGATTGCAATACAAATCAACAGCTACGACCAAAACGCGAATCTCATAATAATTACGCCAAGTTTGAGCTTGCCGCTACCAGACATATTCGCCAAGAACGTTTGAAGGTGAATCATTGCACAGGCATCTAGGCAAGGTCATTCTGGCCACCGAGCGAGACGCCGTTGATCCAGAAGCCCTCAAGAGGAACAGCCGACTCGGGTGTCTTTGCGTGTCCGCCGAGGAGCCAGAAGCCAAAGACTGCCTTCGCAGTGACGTCGAGCACGGCGTAAATGCCAATCTCGGTGTCGACGTTGACAAGGCCAAGTCCCTCCGAAACAGCCCACACAACTGGGTAAGCAGTCCACAGGAGGAGAGTGAGGAAGGCGACTTGGTCAAAGAGCTGCGAGACCTTGTTGCCGCGGGCAGAGGCGGTGGTGCGGCCGATGAAGACCAAAGCGTAAACGATGTAGAGGTAGAAGACACAGCCCATAGCCCACCATCCGAATCGGTAGACCTTGTGCGACTCGAGAGACGCAAAAAGACCAGTGAGAATCATACCGAGATCGGCAAAGATGAGGGCGACAATGTCAATACCCGATGTGCCGGCCAAGAAGGCAAGGTCGAGGAGCAGGAGAGGGGTGGTTATTGACCAATCCACGTAACGTGCGTAAAAGATCTGACGGAAGTGGTCCTTACCGACGCGAGCGTAGGTGGTGCCGCCGTGCGTTGCCATGGCATAGTAGGACAAGGCAGCAGTGAGGGTAATCATGGTTGTGATGTAGTGGAAGAGACGCATTTCCTTCTTGAGCCTAAATGCCATGACAATGTAGCTGATGGAGGAGAGGAGCATGAGGGCGAAGACCACCCAGAGGATGGTGTAGCCGACATGTCCTGCGGTTTCCTGCACAATAGGAAATGGAAGAGGCTTCTTGTAGACGGGCGCGTGTTCTGCGATCTTCTCAAGCATGGTGAGTGAGGAGGGAGGTGGGTGGACGGTGTGTTGGTGGTGGTGTTGGACGAGGGAGGTGTGGGAGGGTGCGTTGGGGGCTTTTATACTTGGAAGGGTGGTGGAGGCTGCGCGTCAGTCGAAGGTCGCCCAGGAGATTGCGCGCTGGCTCTGACTCTGACAGTCTGACTCTGACTCTCGCTCTGGCTCTGTCTCTCCCTTTGGCTCCAACAAATTTCACGCCGATGACGCAAGGGCCCGCGTCAATCAGGCACTCAGGCACGGAAGACTCGTCTACTCAATCAGGCACATACAGGCGGCAGCTCCGACCTACACGACAAGAGCCAGGTACTCCGGCTGACTTTTGGCCTTGACCCCTTGACTGCATGCTTGAGGTTGTCCAAGGGACTGATGTCCACAACCTGGGAGTCTTATGATTGTTACAAGAGGATCAAGGTGGGGCAGATTTTCTTTGGAGATGCTTGATATGTAAGGCTGGACAGACACGAGAGATCTATGTACGCAAGCACTGGACAGTAGAAAACAATGAGGAGGCATTCAGCTTGCTTTTAGCCCATCTGTGGCTGCACTCATGGCTCGTACATATATATATACATGACCGGATGACATAAGACCATCTCGTGGACAGATTTCGCTCAAGATGTCGTGAAACTAGCACGTCGAAACCAACTCACCTGACATACCTTGCTCATATGATGCTCGCAGCTTCATGTATAGGAAGCGATACACACGGCTGACTGGCTCTTCCAGCTTTCAAGGCCGGTGTACAGAAAGGTAGCTGCAGAGAAAGCTCATCTTTGCACAAAAGCGCAACTGGGGCTTGCCACGCAACTACCCGCATGTCGAAGACCTCTAAAGGAAACTGCTGCGACACAGAAGAATACTACTTAGCTCAGTTCTTGCTTGAGCTATGAGCAAGAGACCATATGCTGCAGCCTTGGCGGGCTCGTCTAAAGCGGCCAAGCTAGCTGACTATGTTATTAACGAGCCCGACCACACGTCGGAAGCCTATGAAGCTTCTGAATTTGGAGGGTTCTCTGACTACATGAGGCGTAAAAAAGTACGCCCACTCCCCTCAGTCACGACTTTGTCTGACCAGCCCAGCTCAAGTTACAAGATCAAGATGCACAGTTCCGGGCCAATGCTGATCCTTCGCTCCCCAAAGTGTTCCAGGGTATGGTCCTGCACATAAATGGCTACACCAAGCCCGGCCGACTCGAACTTTGGAAATCCATCGTGGCTCATGGAGGTTCGTATGCCCGTGAAGATTCTCAGCTGATGGCAGGTGTTTACAAACAGTACCTGGAAAACAAGACCGACATTACGCACATCGTATGCTCCAATTTGACAATGAAGAAGGAGCTTGAGTTCCAGAAGTACCGTGTTGTGCGTCCAGAGTGGATCACAGACTCCATCAAAGCCGGAAAAGCTCTACCATGGGCCGAGTATGCAACGATACACACGGATTCGCAACAGAAGAGATTGTCTGCAATAGCACCAAGCGCCGAACCTCAGCACGATGTAGTCCAGAGCAATAGCTACAAAAGAGTATCATCAGGCGTGCCTAAGGATATCAGGCAAGAGGGTACCACAGAAATGATGCCACCCGAGTCTGCACGCGAGCGTCAGTCTGGTGTCAAGACTTCGACACATCCCGATTTCATTCAAGATTATTATGCCAAAAGCCGACTGCATCATCTCTCAGCATGGAAGGCGGATCTTCGACTCAAGGTCCACAATCTGCAACCTAATCAAGGGACACGGATTCAGAAGATCGTCATGCACATCGACTTTGACTGCTTCTTCGCAGCTGTTTCATCCAGAGATCGCCCAGACCTCATTGGACTTCCAACTGCCGTTACACATGGTGGTTCCAACAGTGGTGAAATCGCCTCTTGCAACTACAAAGCTCGTGAATATGGCGTTAAGAATGGCATGTGGATGAAGGATGCGGTACAGCTCTGCCCTCAGATCGTTTCGCTGCCGTACGACTTCCAGGCCTATGAAGCCGCCAGCAACCAGTTCTATGAGGTCCTTTTGAGTCTTGGAGCTGCTTGCATTGAAGCTGTTTCTATTGATGAAGCTCTCGTCGACATTACGAATCTCCTGCCCTCGCTTGGATCGCTCGCGGTACTCAGTGCGCCAATCACAACATTCTGTGAGACTTTGCGCATGGAAATGTTTGAGCGGACTGGATGCGAGGTCTCCATTGGCGTTGGTAGCTGTGTACTGCAAGCCAAGCTTGCCACGAGGCTTGCTAAACCCGCCGGGTACTTTCTGATTACACCTGCAAATCTCTCCTCTGTTTTAGAGAAGCTGACTTCCCGAGACCTGCCTGGCATCGGCTCTGCCACGGCAAACAAGATCCTGAACGCGACAGGAGCGGAATCTTTGCCGCAATTGCAAGCTCTATCAGAACAGTCCCTCAAGGACTTGCTAGGACCCAATTCTGGTACCTCGATCTTCAACGCATGTCGTGGAATCGACACAACATTGGTTGGGAATCTCTCAGACCGAAAATTGGTCTCCATCGAGATCAATTGGGGAATCAGATTCTCGCGGCTGGAAGAGGTGAGGGATTTCCTCGGCCGCGTAGCAGTAGAGCTGCAGGATAAGCTTACTCGAGCTGGTTTCTCGAGCGCTCGTCATCTGTCAATCAAAATCATGCGCCGGGCCCAAGATGCTCCGGTCGACCCTCCAAAGTTCCTTGGCCACGGAAAATGCGACAAAGTCAATGCAGGCCGAGAGATACCAAGCACAAATGAAGCAAGCCGAATAGCACAACATGCTATAGGTTTGCTTGAAACGATGAACATTCCGCCATGGGAGCTTCGTGGTGTTGGTGTAGCTCTCACAAAGCTTGATACAAAGCCCGTTGCGAAGCAAAGAGACATGGCAGAATACTTTCAAGTCCAAACAAGTCGGATTGCTGAAAAGACATCTTCATCGGATTCTCAAGCATTGGAAATTTCTGAAATGTGTCGAAAACCCTCGCAAGCCTCTTTGCCACATGCGAAACCATATCAACCTGCACGCTCATTGCTGGACACCCAAGCAAAACAGAACACACATGAGGCAACCGGTCTCTTCCACCTTCCTGAAGCTGGAGACTTTCAGACCGTCGCTCCTGTACCAGGTGAACTTCATTCCCAAAAGCGGGAGTCGATGCAAGGCAATGTCGCCGTTTCTTTCGATGGACACTTTGGAAATTTTGGTGAAGCGCGTGTTCGCGATACAGGAAGTGAGCTTCGAGACACTGATAAGTGCCGCGACGCCATTGGTCTTCCCTGGCCAGAAGCGAGCGCACTGTCAACATTGGGTCTTTCAGACTTGCAACATACCAAAGATTACATTACAAGCTGGATCACGATGGATTCACCACAAGGTCCGGACGAAGTCGACATGCAAGACTTTTCCCAGTTTCTTCTTTTCTTAGTGGACGACGCAGATTTTGAAAAGCTCGAAGAGCTCCTGCGCTGGATGGGTAGTCTGGTCAGAAAGACATTGGAACCAACTTGGTCTTCGTACTTTTTGCAGGTGGCTCAAATGATTCGCGAGCGCATGCAAACATCGGGGCAGCCTTTCTTTAAGGGAGCGTTCCACTAGTCCAATCACTGTAGCACCTTGTTTGCGTCTGTTTCTATGATTTCGATGTCTCCATCGCGAATGCGCCCACGTTGAATAGTTTCACCCTTCGCTCTCAGTACATCTTCGATATTGGTATTGACATCACTGAAAATCTTCAAATTGTCCGCAATCATATGTCTGTTCTTGCACGACGGGCATCTACAGTCGATGTCAGCCAATGTTAACGACATAGACCATACTGTATGAGAACTGTCCCTTCTGTATATGCTTGCTTCGACATTTCATGCGTGGACCGGTGGTCGCAACTTGAAATTAGTACATGATGGTAATCAAGCGACTTTACGCTTTGCATGTAAAGGTGATTTGTAGCTTGGGTGTGACTCGAGGAGGAGGACTTGTCGCAGCTGCTCCTTCCTGAGAATTGAACATCCTGCGACAGCTGGAGCTTGAGGGGACTCGAAGCAGTGCCCAAGATTGTTTATGAGCTGTCATAGTGTGAATAAAGCATGCTTTCTCTAGTTTCATCGAGCTTTGTGCTAGTCTTGTCTGAATCAGCCGTTTGGGAAGAATAAGCCGCAACATTGTTCAAATAAGACCTTGAGTCGATATTGATGGTTCGCAGGTGTACTCTCTGCGCTTGAAAAATTTGGTCGATGTGCTGGGCAAATTATCAACTAGCCACAAGAATAATGCTTCTATATGATGTCTACGCATTGTGGACCTTTTGAATACGCCATCTTCCTTTTCGCTCTTGTCTTGATGTTTCAAATATATATGACGTGCTTCATCAGCATGTAGTGTACAGACCACAACTATACATGTCTATGCGCATCATACTAGCCAGGCCCATAACAGTTCTTTCGTTTCAGATCAATCGATGTACATTATCAGCTATCCTGGTATGCTACTCGACAATCAGATAAGCTGTCAGATCGCCTTCTCGACCACCATTGCCTGTAGACACGCTGCAAAGTGGACGACGGGCATTGCAACTACGCAAGATAGCGATAAAGCTTCCTGTTTTGCTCGTCGCGCTCAAGATAGTCCCTTTCGATCAAAGATTCAATACGACCCTTGATCATCGTGAGATCTGGTGCAAATTTGGAGCTCAACTGCTGTGTGGCTTCTGCAATGAGATTGTTGTGGTCAGCAACCTTGCGCGCCTTCATGATTCTGACGAGGCATGCTTCTATCGAGTGCTTCCGTGTTTCCTCTATTCGGCCCATTGTTTCTTTGTGCTCGGCGTTCGTCTCCGCTTTGTTGGCTATCGTTGCAATTTTGATGCGAGACTGTGCATTTGTGAATGCTTCGTTGATCAGAAAGCGATCAGTGAGAAGTACATCTCGCGATTTTGGTTGCTTCGACAATATCTTGTATTTGGCGCAGGCCAAACTTTGAAGTGTCCGCGTCACGTCAGCCAAGTTGATTCGTGTTCGCTCTTGTAACTCTGCAGTGGACAAGGAAGCACCATTCGACAATTGATTAAATTGAGAAAGGACGACCATGGCATATGTTGAAACATTCAGCTCATACGATCGAGCCCCGAACTTTGCTTTGATGTCGGCGGTTCCATGACTTGGGATCCACGTCAACTGGCGACCAGTGAAGCGCTTGAGGTAGAACTCCTGGAACGCCCGGCAGTGTTCGTCGATCTCTGCCGGGTAGCAGCAATCATTCCGCCCAGCAATTTCTGAAGCAGTCAAAGGCCAAAATGTTGATGTCAAGACAGTTGCGTGCAAGGGCACATTGCCATCGCGAATTTGGACGCTTAAGAATTCCTTCATGTTGTCGTTGGACAGCTTTATATCCTTGAACATGCCCTCCATCTTATTTGTGAAGTTTGAACCCATTTCCACCTTGAGCCTCGCGATCATCCCCCTTTCAGCGTCATCCGAGACCGACCTACCGCTGAGCAAGCGCTTGCCCAGGTGAGTTTTATAATATCGCTCAAACATATCTTTATCATGCAGGTAGCGGAAGAGGCTGACAGTCTTATCTAGGACCATATCCACATCCTCTTCGGACTTGCCCTTCAATCCCTTTTTCAAATGATCGTCAATGAAAAGCGAGATGAATTCTGCCGCCCGGTCATTTTGGTTGATGAAAATTGAAAATGCCAGAGTTATTGCGTTAGCGACTGACTGGTCAGATTTGTACGCGGTGTGCAGCAACTCGGTATGCTTGTCACGAAGATCCAAGACCTCTTGCACCCAGCGAAGTGCTAATTGCAATGCGCCTGATTTGTCGTTCATGACAGCAGAACCTTCCTCGAGAAGTGACGCATTGATTCGCTCGCCGGACAAGGCAATGAGCTTGGTCATCTTGTCATTGTGCACGAGATGATCAACGTCCACTCTGGAGAGCAATGCGTGAAGTCGACTCAGGTCCTCGACTTTTGCTAGCCGTAACATTGCGCTCAAACCGGACTCTGCCTCAACGATGAAGACCAAGTGGGCGGCTAGCATTTCCTGCTCCACAATTGAAACGATGAGTTGATGGGTACTCGCCTGCATATAAGAAAGGGCGCGGTCAACCTCCTCCGTCAGTCGCCGCTCGACATGTAGCAAGTATTCTCCAATAGATAATGAGCTGATGTAGTCGGCAGCCTCTTGCTTGTAGAAGGCTCGACTGACATTCAAGAATTGCACTTCAAAATCCGAGCCGTAAACGGTATTCACGCCATCTGAATTTGTCACATCAAGCGTGGCCAGCATTTCAAGACTAGCCTTGATGAGCGGACGATCTATCAATGCGCCAGCTCGCTCAGCCGCAATGAGATCCAAGATTGCCTGTACGAGGCGCTCGCCCGTCGGTGTTTGTCTCGAGTGCAGTAGTGTGTCGCGAAAGATGATCAAGCCGGTATCATATGCGAGTGGCTTGTGGGCATTTTTGGAATAGACACGATCCTTGCATTAAAATTCAATTCGATAAGGGACAGACTTGGCCTTACCATGTACATGAGAACATCTGATATCATGCCCATGCAGAGACAGTGAAATGACCAGGCTTCGAGAATTGCTGACAAGAACGCTGCCCGGATTTCCAGTGCATCAACAGCCGTCGTTGCCTGCGCTTTGCCGGCAACCAGTGGAACATATGCTCGTTCAAGATCTGTCGAATTGATAGTGGATAGGTGTTCTTCGACAATAGTGCTGAAGCCCTCGTAGAGTCGTTCGCCTTGCTTCTTCAGCACAATCTGGTATGCATTGCGATAGAGTTGCTCAAAAGAATAGTTCCCGGCATTCCGACGATGGATCTCAGTGAATGCATCAGAAAGGAGTGACCAAGACTTGTCGAATTCTGACGCGTCTTCTGTGGCAGTTCCAAGTTGCTAAGCGTTAGTGATCATGCTTAGTCTAGAAGCGCACAAACCCTCTTGAGAGGCCCTCTGATTTTGGCCTTGAGTCTCCCCGTCATTAATTTGGTTGATTGTCTGGCGCTGTCATTCGGTATCGTCCGCTGAGCGGTGACTGAAGTGCTGACTTTGTCTGTGTGTCCGACTCTATCGTAATTCGAGTAGCATGAAAGTCGCGGAGCGCGACCGTGGACGTCGACCGTTGTGATTTTCCCACGAGATGAGCGCTAAACGGCACAGCTATCAAAAAGTCGTCACTAGGACTGCAGTGGCTC